GGCAATGAAAATATTCAAACTTAATTAATTTAATTATAATTTAAAAAAATGATTCACTTTTAAAATGGTTCGTCGTGTTTGTGTCATATATTCTGAAAATTTCAAAATAAAAATGGTAAATTTCGTGACTAAAAAAAATAAGTGGTGTTCCCCCTTGCATGAGAATGTTTACACGCTTTTAACATGCATTCGAATGCGAGTGCGATCTCAAATATGACATACCCGTACGCAAAATCTTAAATCAATTTGTAGATCCGTGTAATGGGCTGAAACCGTTTAATCCGTAACCGAATATGAAAAAGAGAATAATGTCAAATTTGCACAATGAAAATGTGAAAAGTGGGTGGTCAGTTTGTGTTCAATGGTGTCGGCTGTGTCGTTTGTGTCGCAGCGGTGCATAGTCTAATAACAATAATAATGATTGAATTAGTATTGCATTGATTGAAAAGCAAGAGTATTTACAATAAATTTAATAAATGTTACGATTTTTGTTGCAGTAATCAACAAGAACTCTGAAATAATAAAACAAATCACACACACCCGCACATTCGCTTGAATCAAAACAATAATTTAAATGCGATTTAGTGGGAATCATTATCGACGTGTTTGTGTTTATGTTTTTTTTTTTTACTTAAGCTACAGCTAATTCGTGGCAGCGACTAATATACATTTATTTCGTTTCAATTTTCTTGTTTGGCTCTTGTTGTTAATTCTTGCCATCTAATTCAATTCCAACATATAAATGCAAATTAAAATGTCCATCGTCAATGACATTGCATTGGTTGCTCAAATCAGAAACGCTTTCGAATTTATGTGAATAAATTATTGCTATGGCAAATATGTCATACACAAAAAAGGCACACACAGAATAAGAAGTTGTATTCAACTTATGAAATATATATCGCACGCAAAAGAACAAATGATTGAACTGCGCACACAAATTCCCTTGCTTTATGTGCTCAGATTCCAAATTCGATTACATTAGATTCTTTTCTATGCACCAGTGCGTGTACACTGCGCATTCATTTATCGGTTCTTAATGCATTACGGCAATCTGATTATGTGATTTGCTGCATGTGGGTCTCCTATTTCAATCACATTGGCCAAATCGAATTGTTGCGAATTTACATGAAAAGTGAAAAAAAAAAATATAGTAATAACAAACGACGCAACATCAACAAATTTGTACCTGTTGGCCAAATGTAGAAAACAAAATAAAACGGTTTTGCGAGATCATATAAACCATAAATCATATCGAGAGAGAGAAAAAAAACGGCGCAGAACTAAAGAAATGATATAAATGATATAATTGTTTGGCCGCCAGTCGATTTTGCTACACGCAAGATAAGATAAAAACATAGGACAAATAAGCGCGAATAGACAAAAAGGGGGCTATACCAATCACGAATACCTTAATACATACTTTTAAAATGACACATGTGATTGAAATGATTGAGAGCCTATTGAAAATTAAAATTATGCTAACGCATTGTACACATTCATTTTTTTACGCACATTCTCATTACATCGTGTCCGTCGAACGCTTTAGTTATGCTGCTGCTTTTTTTATGACATTACGCATGAACAATATATATATATCCAATTTTGAGTGATCGATTTTCGTATTGTTTGTTGTTTACTTTTTGCTCTAATTTCTATTGTCTACCAACGGGTTTGTCTATGGTCGCGGCGTCCGAAATATAAATTATCAAAATCCAACTCGATTTAAACAAGTAATAGGCGGCTCATTGATTTGTCGGATTTGTGAGAAAATGGATTTAATGCGTAGAACTCAATAACGGTTTTAATTTAAAACTTTTAAACTAGAGATCGATTGATACAAACTATTTTTTTTCATTCAACTCAAGGATATTGTTGACATTTCAAGAACTCAATGGTCGCTATCTGGTTTGGCCACCTTCCCACAAATCAGCATATCGATGTATGCCGATGTTTTTTTGTTGTTGTTACCTTTGTTGTAAAAGTGTTGATGTACCACAGATTCCTCAACACCAAATAAAAAAGAAATTTACGAGAAAAGGTCTACGTAAAATCGATGTAATTATCTTATTTTGCCAGACTTAATGTCGTTAAGATGATAAAAGAAAACACTGAACAATATTGCAACGGAAGCTCTTCGCCGCGCTTATTCCGTCGAGCACATTTCGAACATCACCACTTTATTTCGATGCAAAGCGAAGCGAATTCAAAACGTTGGATGACGTGGAAATGTGTATAAATTTCAGTTCAATTTCAGTTTTTCAAAAATAAATATAATTTTAAAGCCAAAAAATGGTGGAAACTGTGGGTTTTACTCTCATTATTTATTTATTTTTTGTAACTCTTTGAGAGGATGACAAATCAATTTTATTCTATAGCTGTAGAAGACCAAGCACATACCCGCATAAACATCAATAGTGCATACCACATTCGAAAGCAATGTTTCCAGTATGGTGTAATAATTTGGTTTTATGTCATCTATCTTCCAGTCTTTGGATTCAATTTCAGCCTCGATTTCAGCTCATATTGGTGTAGGTTTCTTCTTTAATATTTCCATTCAACTGTACCGATGTATCCATCACCATCACTACAAGTTTGGAAACTCGAATAATAGAATTGTTATATTTCTGTGGCGAGCGAGTTTTGTTTAGTTAACCACACCATATTTGTGCGCATATTTGAAATGACAAAATTAATATGGTTATCTTTGTTTTTTTCTTCTTTTCTTTTATGAAAAACTCAAAGTCAACACTATGATTTCAATGTATTTGATCGTGGACACATGCATCGTCTTGATGTTATCTTAACACTTTTGTGTGATTTCGCACCCTTGTTGAATTATTTTCAAGTGATTCAATTTACAATCTACTTTTTGGCATATAAAATGATCAAAATCGACGTCGTTCAAAAGCGTTGCTCGGTTTTTCGAGTCAAGTCATCGAGAAAAATGGATTTTATGTACGCATATAGTATCAGAATATTTATTTTCCTCCAAAATCGAGCCAAATAAGGAAACACAGTGTATTCACTTATGTGTTATTCTATTTGCAAACATTTTTGTTGAGTAATCAAAACACACGAGGGCAAGATCAATTTCATATTTTACATGGATCAAAGCTGAACAAAAAGGCAGAAAAGCCGTTAAGATAACGACAAAAAGAGAAGAAGAAGAAAAAAAAAAACATTCGCAATAAAAGCAAAATGTAGAGTAAGTAGTAACTTGCTAAGAAATGGAAAAACTTGCAAATGTACTATACCGTATGTGCACTTATTAAAGTTTTGTGCTGTACCTATCGAAGATGTAAAATAAAATGAAAAACCTTGTATACTCTCGTGTATGTACACGTACAGTACACATTTATTCTTATATCCACGTTTGGCTTTTATTACGCATTTATTATGCATTCATTGGTTTTTGCTGCACTGTTTGCTTTCCTTTGGCTTACTGAACCACACACATTAACTGGTTTATAAAGTTTAATATTATTATTTTTTTTTCTTCTCGCGATTGAACTTACTTCACTTGCGGTGCTTTACACACTGTCATGACGTAATCGATAATTAATCTGGATGCGAACAAGAGCTCGAGAAAAAAATATTATAAATCGAATGTAAAATTACCAAAAAAAAAAAAAATCGACCGAAGACGAAAGAAGGAGAAAGAAATAGAATTGCAGACGGAGGAAAAGTAGTATTTAAAAAAAGTAGTGAAATTGAGTAGGCTCGAGTTGCATACTTTTGTATATTGTAATTTGGAGGAAATGAAAAAGTTGTAAATTAACTTGAAAAGTATTTGAACAAAAATGAAAACAACAAAAAAATCGATAGGAAAATTGTTAGGATGTTCTGTGAAATTTAAATTTCACGTACAATGGTGCCTTTTTTGAATTTTTCCCTTTCTACCGCATTTGATTATCTTAAAATGTAACTTTCGATCATCATGTTATAATTCTAATAAAACGGTTTCTGTATACCGGAGAGTGGTTCATTCAAAAGGCATTATAGTTTATTACACATTTGCCGCGCATTCAATTCTATAACTTTGATCCAAGTAAAAAATATATATACAACTCATAGTTTCAAAAAATGTGTACATATATAAGCTACAATGCGTTTCAATAGCTGTTGATTTCTGTCTCTGTTTTTTTTATATTTCGATTTGGCTGACGGTTTTATTCCAAAAGAATTCAATTTGAATGGCATAATGGTTTTTGGTCTTTCGTGGCACTGGACACATGTTACTGTCAGACTGTGATGTGGATTTTTACTACTTTCATTATATTTTATTTTGGGGCTACGCACCCATAATAACACAGCGCCATGATGTGATCTCAGTTTTCTTAATGAACCCGTTTTGAGACCGCATAAATGCACACACAACAGCAACGAAAAAAATTGTATTTGTGTATATAATTCTTATCATTGGAATTGTGTGTGAGCGCGCGCGGTTGCGCGTGTGCGCAAAGACATAATCTTTTATTTTGGACAGAACGCATATACCGTATTTTAAATTTGCGTTCATTTTCAGATCATACGGTGTCGGTAGTAGTAAACTTTTGAACTATAAAAGAAAAGTGGGGCAAATAAGCACGCCAATAATTCAGAGCATATTTCATTTTTTTTTTCACTTCGTGGTCGCATGGAATCAATGGCGATGGAAATAAAATAATATTATGGGGAAACTATTTTTGTATCGGTTTGAGACCACAACGTTTTTCGTTTGCTTGACGAAGGCCTGTTCTTTCTTTCTCTTTCTTGCCGAACCCAAACTAATGTACATGTTAAACATACACACTCATTTAATTCAATACTTTGCGATTGATTATATTCTGGCATCCAAGTAATTTTATTCGCACCATTTTTTTTCTTCTTTCTTCATATCGTTATGGTGTGTCTGTTGTCGTAGTGGTAGAATTCAAAACGACACTAGCCCAGCATGCTGTTCGCTTCAGCATTTATTAATATGTCTTTTAGCTCTTAGCTCACTAGCTAAGCCATTTTTTCGAAAATGATTGTTTTTTTTTGGTAACATATAAAAGCCAACTGTTCAGGGCTCTTGCCGGCTATCAGTTCTCAGTTTCTACCTAATGTGGATGTCTTTTCTGCTTCCATACTATCGTGTTTTTCGTGACGCCAAAATACACACAATTGTTTTAAATTTTCTCATCATCTGCGTAAAGTGTTTCGGCGAACAATTTCTTTTATTTTATTTATTAAGAAAAAAAATAAATATAATTTTAAAAAAAGTGCTTTAATCAGCAGGTGAATTTGGAGTACACTAGCATTTATCATTTTTCGTGTGAAGCAAATAAGGATTTGCGAAAAAAAGTGTTTTTTTTTTTACTGCAAAATTCTGACTCCTTGTGAACATTACAATTAACTAATGTGTAATTAAAAGACAATTAACAATTGATTTATTAAATTTTAATTGAATTATAGACTGCTAATCAATCAAACGAATCAATTACTAATTGGAAGAAAAACGAGTTCTTCGCTTCGTGGTGTGTTTTTTTATATATAAACTTTGATTCAAAGTTTATAACGGCATTTGTGCACACAGAAATTATATATATAGAAAAACATTCAAAATGAGGGTGAGTTTCAATTCACACTGAAAAGTTGTGAAAGTGCAAGTCAATATATTTTCAATTTAAAATAACAATATTTTGGCATGGACTTTATAATTAGACATTATAATTTTGAAACACTTTGAATGAGAAGAAAAAAACACATGGTAACTTGTTTGATGACAATAGTGTTCGTAGATTTTAATCTTAACGGATTAAGCAATTTCATAACATTCGAATTCAAATTTGATTTAAGTCGTTTGTTTTCAAATTTCCATCAATGACATGAAATGGTTTGTCAAATTTGTTTTTCTCTGCTCCGTTTTTAATACTGCTGATGTCATATGGATAAAAATGTGAAAAGGAGAAAAATCATTGAATTGTCAGCGAAGATTAATTTTTGCGCCAGCTCGGTTTGTAACGAAAAAAAGAAATCGATTGTAGGTTAGATTTAAAGTAAAACTCAAAAATATTATAATATGAACAATTGAATGCTTCCATTTTCATTTGAAGTACAGTTTTTGTCGTCACTACCGTAATCGAGTTAATGAAATTGAACACACCTTTGAAACGACGAATAAAAAGATAGGAAATGCTTGAATTTATATTGGAACTTGAGTGGCCACTGAAATGATTAAAATTGACATCTATTTCTTAAAATGAATTTAAACTCACAAACACCTGAAAAAAAAGCATGATGGAAAAACCTTTTCATTTAAAAACAAAATTAGCGCGTATCCACCCTTTGGCATTTAGCTTTGGCATTTTAGTTGTTATAAACATATTTATTAATTTTGCAGCAAAATTCAAAAAGCACCGCATTGTTGGCTCTTTCTGTACTTATGTAATTTCATTAAAATTGTACTGCGTTTTCATGACATTCAAATGTTTCTGTCAAAAAAAGTTAAAACTTTTGCGCACAGGTTTACAGCATGAAAATCAAGATTTGATCCAATTAGATTTGATAAATACAACACAAGCAAACCGTAAATAACACAACATCAAAGTCTTAAGACAGACACAATTTTAATTTGAAAAACAATAATATAATTGGACCGTTTCGTGTTTCATCCATGATTTTACTTCGAAATTTTGATTATATCGATGGATTATATTGTTTTGTTAAATTCTTGACTTTTTCTTTTAATATTCATCTAGATCTTGGTCACTATACTATTAGTGGCTAATTTATCAGTACACATTTTAGCCGGAATACCGGACTGTATTCACGCAAATAATGGCGGTTATGTGTATCCAAAACCGAATATTCAACTAGCAGAGGGTATTAGTACATATTCGGTTTCACCGTCTATCGCCACATACACACAAGGAAATGCGATTAAATATTCGTCGCTAGAAGAATCAGCTTACTCATCCGTTACACCTGGACCGTTTATCAAACAAACGGTTTATTCGTCGCCAATTGTTCCGAAAGTTCCCATTTTACCAGCAGCTCCAGTTATCACAAAATCTTATTTGCCACCAACACCAATTATTACCAAATCTTATTTACCTCCTGCCCCAATTGCTACGGTTGCTTCACCATACGCATCGATTGCACCATTTGCTGCAGTCACGCCAGTCACACCGATTGCATCCGTCGCACCTGTAATCACAAAATCATACTTGCCGCCAGCGCCTGTAAGCCAGGTCACCTACACAGCACCACTATCGAAAGTCGCGACATACACACCAACCAGCAACATTGTTTCAATTCCAGCTGTGAAAAATATCGCATATCATTACCCGAAGATTTCACCGGGCTATACGGCAACCAGTGTTGCGTAGGTTTTTTTCACACAAAAATTTAATAAAAAGCAGTTGACTCAAAAATCCTCAGCAAATCGAAAGAACTTCTCTCTCGTTGCTTGGCTGCCGCCTAGGGAGGGTGGCAGCTCGGACGATTTAGGGGGTGGGGGTTGTTAACGGGGCTCTGTGCACGTACAAAAAAATGTCACGGAAATTATTTGAATTTGCTAGGAAGAAGAATTTGCTTGAAGAACAGAATGACCTCTTCAATTTTGTACGGTCTTTCGATTTGCTATGGATTTTTTTATAATCAACCTGAAAAAAATTGCTCGCACATTACTAGTATACACGTAGCATTTTCGTAGCTGTTTCGTATTAGGAAACGAGCGCACCCAAAAATTACATTTGAACCGTTGAGAAACATAGATACCTTCAGTAAAGTTAACCATAAAACTGCAACATGTCCAAACATTTTTTGTATGGACATGTTGCAGTTTTATGGTTAACTTTAATGAAGGTATCTATGTTTCTCAACGGTTCATTTTGCTTCTTAGTTTTCCACAAATCAAATATTTGATAAAAAAATTCTATGATCGACCCGACGCAATGAAATCCCTACTAGGAGCGCTAGATGGTGTCGACACTAATGAAAGTGTTTTTAAATTTATTTTAACGACGCATCATGGATATACTTATCCATTATAACGTACATATAACAGAAAAAACACAGTCACGATTTAAAGAATATTTGCAACCGTCAATGTGAACTAGATCGAATACGCTATAGCGAACATATACGACGAAAAAAAATGAATGTCGACACCACTCTGACATCAATCATTTGACAATAAAAATACGTGTTATTGTTGTTATCGTTTCATTGCTGCGGATTGAACCTATGATATTTTTTTGAATTCCTACGAGTACGAACGAAGAAATATTTTATTTTTGATCCCTACGAACGAATGAAAAGAAAAATGTATCGGAATTTAAAAAAAAATCATTTATTTACAGTTACACACCAGCTGTTAAAAGTATTGGATATTCGTATCCAAAAATTACACCTGGATATTTGCCACCCAGTAAAGTCAGCGCTCCAGCTTACACATTGAGTTCTCCAACCTATTCGGCTGGGCTTGTGACAAAATACGCAACCACACCGGCGATCGCCACAACAGCTGGATATAATAATCAGTACAGTAATTCATACGGCTCATATGGTTATGACGCATCATACACAAAAGGTGCCTATTACTCGGCACCAGTTACGAAATACGTTTCGCCTGCAGTTGCTACAACATTCGTTGCTGGTAGCCCAACCGTTTCACCGATATCATGTGAGTGTCTATATAATATAAAGCACACATTTTGAATATATTGCATAAGTGCCGGCGTTTTTTTAAATTGTTGTCAATCGGACAAATTTCGACGAAAAAAGCAAAAATCTATAGATTTGAAAGTTAATTTATAAACAATTTCAAAAAAAATCTATAGCAAATTAAAAAAAAATCACAAAAAATATCAAAAAATCAGCTCAGACAGACATTTTTTCGATAAATGAAATGACTTGACTCTATTCTAATGAAATCCAACGGCTGGGAGTTCAAAACCACACAGTATTTTATTTTTAACTTGATTTTTTTTACGAATTTTTCAAAAGATGGTCCGTCACTTACAGCATCACCAGCCGTGCCATATAAAGCCTCGTATGGATTATCATCTTCGTATTATAGTTCACCAAAAGTTGTTTCAGCCCCAGCCATAGCGACATATTCATCGCCAGCTATTACATCATCTGCATACTCATCAGCTCCAGCCGTTTCATCGTACTATTCGGCAAACAAATTGGCATATGGTACAGTGGCGCCTCTAAAGCAAGTTGCTTTTTCGTCCCCAGCTGCCGTAACTCAATATGCTGCCGCACCATATTCAAATGCTTATGGTGGTGCTTATGGTGCTCATGGAGGTGCTTATGGTGGTTCCTATGGTATTATGCATTTTCCCATAACTGACCATTTTGTGTCCTAAATTCGTGTTTTCTTACTTTTATAGCTTCTTATGGTTCATACGGATCGGCTTATGATTCAAACTATGGAGTCTCGAAGGTTGCCTATTCTGCACCAGTCAAATATGTGCAATCGTACTCAAGTCCGGCCATTACATCATCATATAGAAGTCCAGCGATTACAAAACAGGTGTCATACGCAACAAATCCATTGCTTAGTGGTGCATATGTATCTGGATACACGAGCGGCGCACATGTTGCTCCTGCTGTAGCAACAACGGCCACTTATGGTGGTGCTTATGGTGGTGCAGGCTTAGTTAAATCAGCTGGTTATCAAGTATCAAATCTTGGGTACTACATTTAATTCATTTTACTTTGTCAAATTACAAATTCTTCATTTTTATTGATAAGATTCTAAGATCTGCAATATATTTTTAGAACTTAGTTAACTTTTAACTGGAAGACTACTTTATTTCAGAGATTTTGTTTGTAAATGCTCCCTATATTTTCATTAGAATCAAATAGGCCATATTTGTTTTTCATTTGAATAACTGATACAGTATGTTCAACAACAACAATAATTTTCTAAAAAAAAAAACATAAATTTTTACAGATACGCTCCAGTTCAATCAATTGTTTCGCCGGGATTGTCATCAGGTGCATACGTTTCTGGCGGAAATTTGGTATCGGGAGCAAAAGTGATTTCAAATGCTGGAATTGTTGGCGGCTCTGTATATCCATCAAGTAGTAGTGTATATGTTCCCGGCGGTGGACTATTATCAGCGGGTGGAAAATTAGCAGCAGGTGGCCTGGTCAGTTCGGGGGGAATTGTGTCAACGGCATATCCAAGCGCGGCGTACGTAGGCGCTGGAAATAAAATTATCACTGGAAGCGGTTTGTATAGTGCAAATGGTTTGTTAGCTTCTAATGGATACGCAAGTAATGGACTATATGCCGGCAGTGGACTATATGCCGGTAATGGACTTCTAGGACATGGAGCTGGTATAAGGTAAACATTTAAATATTTATAAGGATAAAATAATAGCCTTTTTTAATTGAAAAAACTTTTATTCGTTTTATTTAGATATGCCCAAAGTGTGGTACCATCAGTTTCAAAACTAACAGCAACACCGATTGGTCTTGTTAAATCCATTCCAACTGCTGCTGTTAAATCGGTATGCTCTCTATGATTTTTTTTTAGGAATTCAAATATTTCTATGAATTTGTAAGTAAGACATGACCGCACATATAAAAGAAACTGTAGTCGCATTTGCAAAAATATCGCCAAAAAAATGAGATTCGATAGTGGTGCTGGTGTGGCCACACAATCGGAACAACAGCAGAAGAACATTTCCGAACGTATTCGTATTGATCGGTGGACTCTGTAAAGGCTCTATTTCCTCGGCGTCGGATTGTAATCATCTCCTATATCAATGGGCCATCGATTTTTTCATCGGAATCCGTTTTGCTATATCCGTTTTTTCGGAAGTCAACTAAAAATCGACGAAATCGGACGCCAAAAATTGATTTTAATTTAAAATATCATCGTAACACGATGATTTTACTACACTGACAAAACTAAGGTTATGATTTTGACAACACCGTGTTGTAAATGCTTACATTCCAACGAATGTTGTGAAGTAGCCAACAATTGTTGTCATTGTGAATACGTACAATGGCATATATTATATGTATTCACAACGACAACAATTGTTGGCTACTTCACAACATTTGTTGGAATGTAAGCATTTACAACACGGAGTTGTCAAAATCATAACCTTAGTTTTGTCAGTGTAAACTATGATCCAAACTCTACGAATATTTCTCGTAAAAATTAGTAAGGATTTTTTTTCTTTTCCGGTGATCGATTTTATAACTGCCAACTCTCAAAATTAAAGCAATGTTGTTTGTTCATTGCTTTACTCTAAAACAATATATAAATTTAAAAACTCATTTTTTATAAAAATTCTCCAATTCTTTTATCAAGTTTTTCAAAACTTCTAAATAACCGCAATTTTTTCTGGCCACTCTAGGTATACTCCCAACAAAATGAATTTTATGTGAGTTAAATTCTTTATTTTTCAAAGAAAAGCATTTTTTTTACAGAAGTCTAAATTTTTTAAAAATATTAATGATACAGGATCTTCATCCTCGTTATGCATTCGAGTATGGTGTAAATGATCCACATACTGGTGATATAAAACATCAGAAAGAAGTTCGTGATGGTGACGTTGTCAAGGGCCAGTATTCATTGGTGGAACCAGATGGAAACGTTCGCACTGTAGACTATTACGCTGATTGGGAAACTGGTTTTCATGCAACTGTGACCAATTCTAGAGATGGAATTCCGAAAGTGATAGCAAAACGCAATACCAACAAATCATAAATTCCGAAAAAAAAGAATTCGAATATTTTTCTTCTGTTTCTCGTTTAATCACAAAAACATACACAAATTCAAAATTAAACCATGTCCATTAATATACAGATATACGAAAACAAACAATGGAAAGAGTATACACATGCCAATTGTAATTGTAGCAGTCATAACTTCCTTTATTTTATATATATTTTGAATTAAATAAGATCCAACGCTGAATCGAAGTAAAAAAAATAATAAAAAAAAAATTGAATAAAATTCTAAAAAAATAAACATAATTGAACTTTAAATTTGTTGTATTTGAGTAAAAGTTATTAATCACATGCTTCGTTCAAAGCGAAAATCCAAACATTGATATTATTTGTTTAAAAAAAACACTCACCATCCATTTCTCTAGAAAGTAAACGCATCTTTTTTGCATTTTTTTTTTCTTCTTTTTGTGTACATTCATTTTTATTTATTTCCCACATTTAAAAAATATATTTTTTATATTGAAACTACTCTGAAAAAATGTTTGCTTATTTACTTACCATGATCTAATGAAAAATATGAACTAAAACAAAAACAAAAACAAAAACTGTTGGACTCGGTAGAATTATCATCAACATGCCCATGGATTGTTTTCTGTTCTCTTCTTGGAACAACAAAAACAATATATTTGTCTGGAGATTTTCATACCGCCAACACATTTTAAACCAAAAATAAAAATAACAATCATTGATAACACGTGTAATATATTTGTTTTCACATTTTTTTGTGTTTCGTTTTATTGTAATAACATTTTTTCTTTATTCAGTGATTTTTTTTCATCGTAATGAGGAGATAAGAAAAATGTTAATGTGCACTCTTTGCAGCCAAACGTTTGTCACGTTCTTCAGCAATGCTCAATTTGATACCTTTGCCTTTAGGTAATGACACGTAGGCCTTTGTACCTTTGCCAATGATGAAAACGTTTGACAATCGGGTGGCGAATACGTGTCCTTGCGAATCTTTAATGTGAACAATGTCAAATGAACCTGGATGTCTTTCACGGTTCACAACGGTACCAACACGACCCAAATTTCTACCTCCGGTAATCATACACAAATTGCCTAAAAAAATGACAAATATTTATGAGATTTAATGAACATACTTAACAATTGAATCGATGGTAATACTATGTTGACAATGTTTTTTTTTTCACTCAGCACTGTTTTTGCTTGATTTTAATGTTTACTCTTTTTGGTGAAATTTTTTTTTCAATTGTCAAAATTACTGGCATCGATATTATTGTAAAATTGATGTATTGAAATGTGGTTGTATTTACCTGATTCGAATTTAATATGGTCGGTGATTTTGGTGGTGGCGATGTCCAATTGGATGGTGTCGTTAGCCTTAATGATTGGATCTGGGTAACGGATGGTACGGCCATCGTGTGTTACCAAGAATGGAACGTTTTTAGCACCCAATTGTACTTTCTTGACTTTGCACAACTTGTACTGTAAAATAGAATAAGATCGATTTGAGGTAAGAACATATCCTTTTGCATCACATCAGAAAAACGTGTACTCACTTTGGCTTCTTCAGCTGAAATACGATGAATGGTGAAACGACCTTTAACATCGTAGATCAAACGGAAATGTTCGCCGGTTTTCTCAATGGTAATAACATCTGTGAGTATGTAAAAAGAATGGAATTAGAATGTTTTCACACCAAGTTCCAAGCACGTGTTAATTGAATGAAAAACATACCCATGAATCCAGCTGGGAAGTTGGAGTCAGTGCGAACTTTACCGTCAACTTTGATCAAACGTTGCATGACAATCTTGGTCACATCAGCGTTGGTCTATATGAAACAAAGAATTGAAATGAATGAATACATAAACAAAAAAAAATGCATTTATCAAGAAAAAAAGGAGTTTTTTTCCGAAAGATGAAAAAAACCACAGCAATAACTTACCAAAGCGTACTTCAAACGGTTACGAAGGAAGATGACAAGTGGCAATGATTCACGCAATTTGTGTGGACCGGTTGATGGACGTGGGGCAAACACACCACCCAATTTGTCCAACATCCATGCTTTTGGGGCATTTAAACGCTTCAAATGTTTCTTTGGACCGCGAGCCTAACAAAAAAGAACAAAAATTTATGCATTTTATTAAGGTTATGTTACGCATCAAATACGAATCAATGGTATGGACTTGTGTTTGTTGTGCCGAAGTTACACATTACTTTTCATCATAAATTTCAAACCATAAATGAGAAAAATTGAATTGTGCCGGCACGATTTTTTTTTATTTGATATTTTTTTCGCTTGCACTTGTGAATACACTTAATTACATTATGAATATAGATTTACACAAAGTAATGTTTGAATTCGAGACACAATACACAATGTTCAAGTCAATTCAAATCTATGTAGCACAGTGCTATGTATGTAAACAGATAATTTTCGATATTTTCCATTAATTTCACAATATTACACAAAAATACCATAATTTATCGTAAAATTGTTCCTTTCTGAATAGTTTGTGAATGGTTTTTTTAATTTATTGCTAAAAACACGGTCGATGATTTCAAATTATTTTCCGCAAATTTTACGACACTTACCATCTTGAACTCTAAATTGAAAAGGAAAGAATCCGGAAATCACGTTGACAGCTTGACAAAAAATCCAATGTGTTTTTGAAATATGGTTGTGTGTATGTATTGTGTGATGTACGAGTGGCGCCCCCATCGGTCGATTTCGCCGTGTGTCAATCGCTGTGTGTAATGTCAAATCAATGAATGTGTTTATGAAATAACCGTTTATGTGTTGTATTCGCTGTGTTGAATGAAACGCACACATTTCTCTGCTTTCAAATGCTCAACAAAAAAACCACACTCATCATCTCCGTAGATGCGTCAAAAAGAATACATTGAACTATCATACACACATTCGGTATTTTCAATTCCAACTATAAATAATAGACAGTGAAGTATCCCGGCCATTTTGCAATTTAAGCGGCATGAACGATTGAGTTTTTTTCATCATCGTCGTTGTTGGTCGTATAATAGATGTGTCTGATATTAAAATTGTTCCAATATCAAAAGTTAATTATGATTGTGATTTGTTGAAATATTGTAAAAAGAACAAAACGTTTGACAATTCCTCGATTTGTAAATTTCGGGACGGAATTTTTTTTTTAATATCAAGTGTCAAAGTTTTACACCATATCAAACTCCAATCAGTTCAACAACACACATATTTTAAGAAAAGAAAATGCAACGGAGTGCAATTTAAACGTTTTTTGTGTGGAGAACAGAATTTTTTTGGGTCTCTTGGTCTGTTCGCAAGGCGAACGTAGAACCGACACCGAATTACAAAAATATAAATACTGTAAGATTCTCACACAGTATTTGTGAGTATTTTTTTTTGTAGAAAGCCATAACTGAAATCGCAATACCCATTCGCTGCATACATTTCACTTTGCTGTTCGTAATACTATCAAATCGAAGAATTCAACCATAGACAAGATGATGTTTACAGTAAGTACAAATAGAAAAAAAACAAAGAAGTTTTGTCATAATCTCTACCTAGCTGTGCACTTTTGCGGTTAACCGAACAATATACGCATCGAGTTATCAATATTATTTATTATTAATAGTTTTGTCACTTCGTCGGCAATATTGCGTGTTGCACACCACATTCTGAGTTAACTAGTTATTTATTTTGCGACACATTTTGCGAATTATTTAATCAACAGTGCAAATCTATCGGGTTAGAAATGGTTGTTATTAAAATTTTCATCGCTGTTCATGACTCATTCCATTTTGAATTGAGTGAGAAAAGCAAACAAATTGGATACCGCTTAATATATCGATTTTTCAATTGTGCCTACAACTACATATTGATATACGTGTACTGATAATGTAAAAAAAAAAAACAAATTTCAGGGGACAAATCAACAACAGGATACTCGCTTTAGCGATAAGGAGAAGAAATTGCTGAAGCAAATGAAATTTGGTGATTGCTTGAATCAAAGGGTATGCATTTTATTTGTGTGTGTGTGTGCGATTTTTTTCGCTGACATTACATACCATTGTTTTTGTTGATAAGATGACCGTATAACATAAATGCAAACTTTGTTTTTGCTTTGTTCAGGTTGACATGGAGAAAGTAAAGCTTGATGTTCTACGACCGTGGATCAGCAAAAAAATCACTGAATACTTACACATTGAAGATGATGTTGTAGTTGAGTTTGTGTACAACCAACTGGAGGACAAGGTAAATAAACAATTTTTTTTTTTTGTTTTATCACATATTTTATTTAGACTTTTAAATTAAATTCTTCTTTTGTATATGTCATTATTTGTTTGTTTTTTCATCTAGTATCCATGCCCAAAAAAGATGCAAATCAATATGACAGGATTTTTGAATGGAAAAAATGCTCGACAATTTATGGATGAATTATGGGCGCTATTATTATCTGCTCAAGAATCGGAAACAGGCATACCGGAAGAATTCATACAGCAGAAAAAAGATGAAATATTGAGGCGAGACGAAGAGAATAAACTGTTTGAACGGGAGAAAAGTGAGAGAGGAAAAAGTGATTCGGATAATTCGGCACCACGATCAGGACGATTCAGGCCACGAAGTAGCCGTGACAGCAGTCGAGAACCTTCCGTTCAAAAGCAATCGGCACCATCACCGTCACCAGGTCCCCGTAAACAGTCGGCAGATTCAACCAGTGTACCAGAAAAAATTGATGAAAATGCATCGAAGGGCAAGCGAAGCCCATCAATTGAAAAAAACAAAGATAACATCAGTAGAATTTCGTCGTCAAGACAACGCTCACGCGATCGATCAACCGAACGTTCAAGAGGTCGCTATACAAACTCTTCATCGAAAAATCATTCCGAAAATTCGACAAAAAACCGTGAATCGGGGGACCAAAAAGGTGACGCCAAATCAGCTGCACTTTCAAACATACAAAATAAATTATTCAATATGGCTGAGGGAAAAAAACGAAACCAACGTTCACTCTCACGTTCACATTCACGGTCTCGATCCCGCTCAAATAATCGCAAAAATAAAAGTGCAAGTCGATCAAAATCCAGGTAATATTTTTCTTCTCTTTTTTTTCAATTTTTATGGAAAATTTTAAAGGTTGCATTTATGTATTGACGTGAGATTTTTCCTACTATAATCTTAGATCAATCGGAGCTAAGAAACGGTCACGTTCTCGATCGCGTTCTCGATCGACATCAATAAATAAAAGAAGTAAGTATTAGTTTCAATACAGTACAGGTCAAAATTAAATACAAATCTTTTAACAAAAATGTTTTTCGGTGCTGCAACTTTCAATTAACCGATACAAATAAATGTTAGCTTGTTGTATGTCTTGAGAAGAAAAAAAATGTCTTGAAAATATTTCATTTACATGACGACTGTGTTTCGTCATCTAGCTCTTTAATAGGGATTTCATTGCATCGCCTATTTCCGCTTTCCAAAAACTGGAGAATTTGGTACAGTCATCATATTTTCTTTACTTCACAAAAAGCATGAAAAATAGATCTTTCTCGCGTTTTTGTAATATTATTATACATTTCCAATTATCTGTTACAAATTGATTTTTGCATGTTTTATCTATCGAACTTAAAGTGCATAGAGTTCCAAAATAAAGGAATATAACTGTACCAAAATAGTACTTAAACTAAGGGCACCGCTTTGGTTATTTGATATGAAATGTTGCCACATTTTTCCTCTCAATACATAGAAGTAAGATAACGAAATTGATTTGGATTCCAAAACAATCCGAAAAATATTATACTTTAAAAAGGAGGTACTATCAGGGAAAATTTTGTTTAATGATTTTCAGACAAAAGTAAGGAAATTCATAAGAGTGAAAATAGTGTACAGAAAAAGCGACACTATCGTAACAACAGAGATTCTTCACGTAGTGAATCACCTGATCGAGCCAGAGATCGGCCGGCAAATAATCGCCGATCAACATCACGTCATCGACGAAACTCAAGAAACCGATCACCGCGAAATCGTTCACGCTCTCCACGACGTGATAATCGTGATATGAATCGTGACAGGTAATTAGTTAATGGATAAGATTTGAATTAAAATTTTAAAATTAATTGGCATAAATTTCTCTCAAAAATTGTATAAAATAAGATTTGGAAGACGATGGTCACCTCTACCTAATCGTTGGAATCAAAATCGTCGCCGTAGTCCGATGCGAAACATACGCAATAACCGGAATAATCGTCGCAGTTATAGCCGAGATAGAGATCGCAATCGAAAGCCATTGAGAAGAAATTCACGCGATAGACATCAGTCGTCCAGAGAGCGTGACAGAAAACGTGAACGGCCCCGCTTCAGTGACGGTGGTAGTGATCGAAAAGTCGAAAAAGAAAGTCAAAATCAGAAGAGCAAATTGGAAACAGAATCACCTATTAAATCGCAAGCATCAGCCAGTGATAAAGTGACAAAGGCCAAGATTGATAAAAAACCAATTGATGATGTGACCAAACCAAGTAATGCAAGGTTGAATCGTCAATATTCGACCAGTTTATCGCGTACACCATCACCATTTTTAAAGAAGAACGAACGTTCAGTGACCAACACACAATTGCCGAGTGCATCAAAACCGGACAGTCGATCATTGTCGAAAAAATCGGTGAAACCCTCCGTTGATGATTCAAGCGATGAATCCAATTCGTCTGATAGCGATGTTAAAGTGGTGACCAAGAAAAAGAAAAAGTATTCATCAGATAGTTCTGGAGATAGTTCGACTGATGACGACTTTGATAGACGTTCCAAAGAAAAACAAAGGGAAACAAATCGAGAAAAAGGACGAGAACGCGAAAAAGAGAGAGAAAAGGAACGAGAAAGAGAAAAAGAACGGGATAAGACCAAAAATGAGAAAGAAAAAGAAAAGGAAAAGGAAAAGGAAAAGGAAAAGGAAAAAGAAAAATCTAAGCCCAAAGAACCACCATCAAGTGTGCAAAAATCATCATCATCGTCGACGTCTGGCAGATATAAGCGTCCAAGTGAAATGATTGATGAATCGGCGTCGCCCAGCAAAAAGGCCAAAGTCGATGAGTCGGCCATTCGAAAAGCGCCAAAACGTAAACCATCGACTTCTGAATCGGAAGCAGATTCATCGAAAGAGTCACTATCGAAAAAGAAATCATCGAAATCGTCGCGAAAAATATCCGATGACAGTTCAAGCGATTCCGAGGCCGAAGAGAAACGTAAAAAGTCAAAAAAAACTAAAAAGCACAAGAAACATAAAAAACACAAGAAACACAAGAAACATAGTAAAACGGACAACCGGGAATCACAGTCAGATGATGAACGTACAAGAGGCATACACCGGGGCACATACGTTGTAAACGATGCATTAGAGAAGCAATTACGAGAGAAAGCACTGAAATCAATGAAAAAACAAAACAGCAGTACTTCAGATTAAATAGTCCGAAAGCAGTTAATTTTATTTGAGTACGGTTTCATTTTAATTATTATTATTAATAATTCCATAGCCCATTTGGCTTCAGATATCTAGTGCTCATGCTGATTTTTTTAATGTTTAGTTTACTTTTTTTTAAATATGTAATTCATATGATCACAATTCTAAAAGGAACACAGTTTTGTGGATAAAAAAAACCAAACACCCTGAAGGATGTGTTTTTTCCTCTTATTTTGTTTAAATTAAGATCATTCATACGGATTTGTAGTACATACATCCCAACATAACAAAAATAAAAATAACCAAATACGATTTCCAACTGTTTTCAATTCTTTTTTAATTTTATAAAACTAGCAACAAATTTATGCTGATTGGTTTTGGAATATTAAGTCAATAATTTGTTTGATCAAGTCGTTAATCCAACTTGCTTGATGGATACTGAGAGTTAAGTACAGAAAAAACTAATACATCGAACTAAGTGTCACCCAAGCGAGCACAAACTATGCGAGGTAGTTGAAACTCACACTAACTAGTAATGGTATCCAACTTCGCCTTTGCATATTTTGTCCATTTCCCCTGATGGTCAAACAGAATATCACCGGTGGATGTATCGATAATAGAGGAAGTAATAATTTTTTTGACGCAGGGTAAGTAACCAATGCAGATTGATGAGAAGTAGTGATCCACACCGCTTAAAAAAAAATCTTGATTTGGTATCTTTTAAGGAGGCCGAGGTTGAATGGACTTTTTCATGATACATCTAGTTTGATGACGTTAGAAGGAATTCCAATGAAAATTGGCTGTACCTCCCATACAAAGTTTTCGATTTCATTCTCAATATGAGGACTCTGAAACGAAAAAAGGGGAAGAAAAAAATGGTGTCACATGGTTTTTTTTTCGAAAGTTCAAAACTTTATCCAAAACAAAAGAAAAATCCAGATTTAAGATATAACTAAATACAAAATTTATTCAACTTTTATACATTAATGCTTAAATGCTTTTTTGTTCTCTGTTCTTTTAGCGGGCTTCAAATTATACTTCCTTGATTAAAACTTAAATCAACTTGCTTGTTCGCTAATTTCCAAATAAAATTTACGTCTTTTCAGGTAGTTACATTTTTTGATTTCACTTTTGCCCTTCATACAAGTTAAATAATAAAAAAGAAATCGGTGTGTGTATATAAATATATTCAAATCGTTTCGAAGAGAATTAAAATTAGTATTACTAAATAAATAGATGGTTTTAAATTAAAATGTGAAAATCGCAATATGACTACATTAAAATAATGGGGCGCAATATATATTTCATTTGAGAAACAAAATCATTTCTAACTATTGACAACACTTTTTTTTTATTCAATTTGAATTTTATGTTCATTTTTTCTCTTATAATCGAAAGAATATTGTTGAAACTGTACGATTAAAAAAATTGGCCGTTACGAGCAATCATTCATTTTCCAATATTGACATTTATTTCATCATAAATCATCCATCATCACATTGTATTTTGAATAATTTATGCATGTGTGCAATTTTTTGTATTTGGATTGGAAAAGAGAAAGAAAGAAAAACAGACAAACGAATAAATCTCTTCTTCGTGGCTTGATTGAAGACGAATGAATTTTGGGGCTAAACTAAGATGTTGGTGGCTTTGAATCGGCTGTGGCATCTCCAGCATATTTTGGTTTGCACACGCATCCACTCTCAACAAGAACATAATCTTGGCCGGTTAATGTGACGGGTCCTAGTGGAATCACCAAAAACAAATACGGAACATAGGTTTGTGTGCATTCACCACGGACAACATCACACTCGGAAGATCTAAGCATCATTTTAAATTTAAAAAAAAGAAGAAAATAATAATAAGAACACTTTTGATTCCATTTCACAGTATCGGTTTAAATGACTATTAAACAGTTAAATTGACACACAAACAAACAAAAAAATAAGCGAAAAAAGGCGCAATTAGAGCATATAAAATTCAGAAAGAGAGAGACAGAAAAAAAAATTTGCTTGTGGCCAACAATCTGCATTCTATTATTAAAGCAATAAATCACGAGAAAACTAAATAAGAATAGCTCACAAAATCTAAGAAACAAGAAAAGAAAGAAAGAAAACCAATCAACTTACTCGCACACTTCAAACACCACTTGCTGCAATAAATCTGGGAATTTTTGCACGATTGTCACAGGTTGACCCGATGTTAAACTAACGCCGTACATTGGCGCCGTAGTATTATAGCGTGTTTTACAGAGACGTGCCGGCGTTGCATTACATTTTTCCACGGAAGTTAACGCACGGGCTGCAAAAGAAAAAAAAAAATCAATAAACATTTTACCTATGTCTATAAACCTCCGAGCAGCGAAAAAAAAAAACTGAACAAAAAAACTTGGGTAAACATGGAAAAAAAGCGTAGATCGTGTCAATTGCTGAATATGCATTTCACTGCACAGCATCCAATGACGATTTTATGGTATAATTCTGAATGTTCGGAATGTAGAACAACCGGCCTATTGATTTGAGCCTATTGTTTATATAAACAAATCAATAGGTCTATTGTTCTACATTCCAAAAATTTCATTCGGAATTGTATCGTCGCTGAGTGATAGAATTTTTTTTGTTCACACAAAATAAGTGAAAGATAGGAAATATTTCCCACAATCAATTCCGGAGAGTTGCTTTTTAAATTGCAAGATATGTTCAATACGCGTTCGGTGAATGTAAATAAATCAGAGTCAGAAAAACACAAAGAAATGGCACACCGACATATATATAATATTTCAACAAAAAAAAAAGAAGAAAAAAAACTCATCAAGTGAAAAAACAAAATAACTGAAGTTCTTAAACGCGCTCAAAAATGGCACAAATCAAAAGCCGTCGTCGACCTTCTCTTGCATTCTATTCGTCGGTTCAACCGACTTGTTGCTGTGCTGCCTATGTGCTGTATTCGTCAATTATTATGCATAACTTTGGCCGATGAGAGTGTATTTAAATTTTTGATTTAAGTTTTGGTGGCACACTTAGTCTTTACATATTATCACAAGCAATGAGATTTATAAAATTGACTCGTACATTTTATGGCATGTAATCAACAAATAAGGACTGCCATTTTCCATTTGCGAAAAGGTGTTTTTTTTCTTGTCATCTTTGTTGAACGCAGTTGAAAATGCAAAGTTCTTTTTTTTTAATAAAGAAGATTCAACACTTTCAATAATGACTTTATGATAATGTCTTTCTCTTTATCTAATTCATAATAATATTTACCATTTCGAACAGCTAAACTATGAACATCATGATTGGCCAGTGAATATGAATTCATTAGCATGCTTTGTGTGAGTGATGGATCAAGTGTTGGTGGAATTTGTCCATTCATTCGTCCTTTTCTTGCTCCGCTTGACCAATGGCTGTACACTTTTTGAATGGTTGCACTGCAAGAGTCAATTTATCAAAATGTTTATCAGTAGTGAAATATTTTGAATTCATCGTAGATAGAAGCTAACCAAAAACTAATTCCAATAACTTCAATCACGTCTTTGTGAAAATTACCTTGGATATGGTGCATTATTGGGTCCAATACAGTTGACATCGTCGGTGAGAGCGTTTCCGGATAGATATTTAAGTTTTGTATCAGTTGTGCATCGTTCTGTTGGATATGTGGACCACATCGATTTCGATCTCACTGACGAATGTACCAATGATGATACACATATTGTGAATATTGTATAAACTGTTAAAACCTATTCAATTTTTAGAACAAAAATAATCCAAATCAATTACAAAAGTTTTAAACATCAAAATTAAAATTAAATCCAAGGACATTCTTGACTGTCTAGTGATTCTGGGACCAAATGCTTAGATAATTGAATTTTTGGTCAAAATTGTCACACATTTTCCAACTGAATAGAAGCACATATCCAGCCGGTAACTCAGTCAAGGTATCTTAACACAGTAAAATCGGTAAAAAAGAAAGATATTTGATTGTGCGATTTTGAAGAAGAAGAAAAACAGTTACTTGGTGAATTGATCATGTGTCGATTATGAATGACACAGACTATGATTAGTAGCGTGCACACACACACCTGCATACACATACACATGTTAAAGTAAATGGGGGACACAAAATATGATTCCCAAACAATGACGAATAATGATAAAGAAAGAGAAATTTTCGTTCAATTCGATTCAGGCCAAGTATGAATGAATGCGCTCACGATCAAGAAAGAGAAAGAAATGGATTGATGAAGATAAATATCCCGTTGAAAAAGAATAACATAGAATTTCATTGGACTGATAGCAATCTTTGATGTGATTGACGAAATCACACATATAATGTTGTAGGAAAGTAACAACTGCAACACAAATAAAATTGAAAGAGATATTTTTATTTCACTTCCAAATCGAGAAAGTAAGTGCAAGTAATTTGAATACTTTGTTTCGCGGAAATTTCTGTGGAATGTGACATGGAAAACTCATTCATTTCAATATTAAAAAAAAAATTTGATTATGATTGCAGCCTATATCAATCACTAACCAGTCAAACTCGATTCGTATTTTTGAAATAATAATTTTGAGATGTAATGATGAACGATGACTAAAAATTCAGTGTGAGTTTGACATGAGTTTGACATGAGAAGGCGATACATTCATTATTTGTTTGTTATGTGATATCAATTGTTTGTATTCAACGAGACGGAATTTGTTTAACGAGACATATTTAGAAGAAAAAACTAAATGAAAAGAAGAAAAATCCGTGGCGCATACCTTAGATCATGGTTGACTCTTTCGCTTGCGCATTATAACTTATATGAGAAGTCGTAGCGGATCAATGTCAATGAACCGAGCATTAACCAATTTATTTCTCTTCCTCTCTTTCTCTCAATTTGTCACTATAGTGCTATTGCCATAGCAATATAACTATTTTATTTGATTCACCCGGTTTCAAAATGTGCACACGTCATTGTTTCAACGTAGGTATGAAGAATCGAAAACATCATTCTGAAATATGAGTCGTTCTTTTCTTTTTAAGAGTCAATGCAATTCTTTTAGTCGGTTTTTTTCTTCTTCTCAGTAAAGTTAGATTAATCAACCAGTTTCTACGGCATGTATTGATATTGCTTGCGAGTATTATTTCTGCGGTTCTAAAGAGGTATATGAGGTGTGTTTTATATCATAAATCTTGTCTGAGAGACAGAGGATCATATACTGATTCTGATTATAAGCATAAACTAATGTACTATCGTATCACTTCGCTGTAATGTCTCGTCACCTCGATCATGATGAGAATGAGGTATTGAGATCTACAAACCTATGTATATATATAATTATCGCTCCGGCTCTATATTGTCTTTCGCAGCACACACTATGTGAATGCCTCAGAGCAAAAACACTGCACATTTTTTAAATTTAAGTTGCTTTGTGTCTGTCACGAGTACAGTTAAGCCAATTAATAGCTGACACTTAGATTAAGTAAGTGAAGTTTGAATTTGAGCAAAAGTAGTACAAAAAAATTTGAGCAAAATAACAGGTTAATCCAAATGTAAAGATAAAAATGCAAACAAAAAATGTTTTTTGCTTTAAATTTTTGGAGTTCTTCACATTTTTGACAATTTATTGTTTTTTTTTTTTTTTTTTTTAATATTTTGTGTGTTTACTCTGCGATGTTCAAATATCATATTGAAAGCATCATTTTCTTTGTTATTCGATCGAATAAAATCAGTTTGTTTCAAAAAAAAATCGAAATTAATCAAATTACTGACTAATTTAACAACAGCATTTGAAGAAGCATTTAGCAACAGCATATTTCATTCATAGAATATAAAAATGACCAACCTATCAAACGAAAATGTTATCGTCGTTGTAATTTCCATTTCATTTGCAAAAGAAAAGCGAATCAGCATTTATGTGCTTGATTATTACAATATTCTTTATTTCTACTCATCAGAGTCAGGCAAATTGGTAATCATAACAGATAATGATTATGATTGGTTATTCAAAGAAAGTAGTCAAGTATAAAAACGTCTTTTTTACGTCGTTTTTTTTTAATTAATCGTATATGGTCAAAATAGTAAGATGATTATTCAAGTTTTTGAATAATGTCGCAGTCTGTGTCTCATACTCGATGTTTAAATATAATAATATAAATTAATTATGCTCATGTAATTGATTTACCAACAGCACCAAATATTGCTAGAAAGAAGAATCGTTTCAAAGAGGCGATTTTCGTACGGTTTATTTCTCTTGTAAGTTGTGTAATGATTATTTATTAACCATTGTTTATTTATAATATCAAATTTCCTCATTGAGTGTAAATAAATTCGCATTTCTCAAGAGCGTGTACCCATACGTTGATCGTGATATTTTTTATGTCTCTTTATTTTTCATTCAATAATTGTAGCTGTTATTTTTTTTATTTATATCAGACTGATCTAGCACACGGAAGTTGTCGTCTCCGACTTTACACACAATTTTACTTGTTCTTCAGCTCATTGCTGTTAACTATGAACCTGTTGCACTTCTTGTTTTCTTTATTGTCTGTAACTTCAACTTGCTTTTCATATTGTTCTCAATGTGCGTGAACTCTGCCGCATGTACCTGATACACATGAACGTGCGAATTTTTTAGTGAAATTAAAACGGTTGCGTTGAAAAAAAAATGTTGTCATTTGGTGATTGTGTGAGTATCTGTCTACATATCTGTAACACTTCGGACAATTCGAAAACAGAGAAAGTTATGAAAAAAAACCGCTCATGAACTAGAACTATTTTAAATTCATCGAAAGTAATTTATCAGCAACACACTATCGGGGCGACTAAAGTAGACCAGTTTTTTTGTTGTTAAAAACGAAATGTTTTCGGTTCAGGCCATGAACTTTGTGTATGTATGAATTTTGAAAAAGAAAAAGAAATTGACGGCAAATAAATTAACGTGCTTTGATATGTTGTTTTAATATTCAATGAAAATACGCGAAATTTGTCGCGGAGGAAACCGAAATTTCAAATGTTAAAAAAACAATGCTTTAAATCCAATTTGAGATTATTACATCTATTTTTTTTCGCCGTAACGGAAATGAAGAGAAATTTCGAGCAAATTTATCCTTTCCGTCTAATAATATGAACACGTTCATTGAAAACTAATCAATCATTTTCGACGCGCTGTTGGAAAAGTCATTATGATATTCAAAGATTTTTATCAAAAGATAGCCAATGTGGAAAAGCGTAACTTTTTACGTGACACTGTTAGTTTTTCGTTTTTTTTTTTTTTTTTTTTTTGATTCAATGAATTCACGTTCCTTTTATCTTTTCGATAGGCATGTAATGTTTGGCTCACGTTTTCATTCACGAACGTACAATTGAGCATACAAATGCTATAAAATAGTTTAGTTTTTTTTTTAGTAAGAAAAACGTGAGCGTTTAAAATTTCCAATTTTATGTTGTATTCACAAAGATTCAATTCCCTATTTAAGATAAAATCTTTTTATTTTATCATATAATTTCACTTGGAGCGATGGACTCAAGACAACAACCAATTCAAAGTGCGAATAATATACGTTTTATAATACAGCCGAGATTTAAGATACAATTTCCACAATTATATCATTATCAACGGATGTCAAACTAATTTCAATGGTTTTGTTTCGTACATTTTTTTACGTGCGCACACACGTACCCTGATCAATGCGATCATCGAAAACGACTTTAAGTGCTTCATTATACATTGTGTCGCGCTTGAACATATAAAATTTGCATAGTAAATGTATTTCGGCGAAGAAAAAAAAACTAATTGAATACGTGATTTGTTTCATCTCATCGTGTATTTACGGAAGAAAATTTAAATAGTGAAATGTAAGATGACTTGAACTTTGCGCTATTATTTTGCTCAATCTGGTTCTCAAGTGAGGCTCACAGCTACCTGATTCATTAAAAAAAATGTTTACTAACTTGACTTTGACTACCACAAAACTTTATTTTGGCGTAAATAAGATGAAGATCAATGTTTGGTTTTTAAGTTCTTTTTTCTATTGTTTATCTGTCGCTTATCGTTTGAAATTCTTCTTATTCAAATAAAATTGATTCATTCAGAGAAATGAGCAACGTCCCTAGAATTTGGAGACAAAATGAAAGCAATGTTTTTATTGTTGAAATGGGCATGTCCGAAAACCGAAATAAAGAATGGGAAAATGTATAAAATATTGCCAAATTCACAAGTTCACGTGATGAAGATATACAATAAAGATAATGGTAACGATCCAACCACCTGAAAACTCTCAAAGTACATGCAAAAGACGTATTGCTAATGAATGAAGCAAATAAGAATTGTTCCAACGAGTGAACAATGAAAATCTTAACTTTTCTTTTTCCCATTCTTGTTTGAGTCAAATTTTAAAAAGAAAATGGTGTCGAAACAGCCAAAAATTATCAACGATGACTAGTTTTTTTTACTCATTTTTCTATCCTCTTCAGACTCGAAGTGTATGTTTTGTTTTAATTGTGAGAAAAATAAATCGTATGCAGTCTTTCGGGGCAAATTTTGATACAAATTAATAAAAGCCTCCGATCGACGGATTTTATTTTATTTTTCGAACCGATCGCATAGTTCGATTTGATCGTGTTCTACTTTTAATTCAGCTTACTGTGACTGAAAGCATATTTAATCGTGACCACAATTTGCTTGGTGGTAACGATTTTGATTACAATTCAAATTTTCAATTATTTATTTAAGAATCAATTTAAATATATGTTTGGAGCCATATGGGTTAAGATGAAACGGAAGTCTTGTACAGCCAAACCAGCCGTAAGAACATTTGTACTGACTGAAAAAGTCATTCATTAAATGTCACGCCGTCATACAAGAAAGTTTGTGAAAGAAAAAGATAAGCGTGCGTCTAGTATAGAACAATTGAAGTAAAAAACAATTGAATTGCCAACTATAAATAGCACACAACACGGATAATTATTTCGTATTTAATTGGATTGGAACACTCGTTTTCAGTTCGGGTGCAAGTTCGACGAGTAAAATTGTGGTATGATGTGATGTTTGATATCAAAGTATAAAAATCAAATATCACAGGCTTTTTCTGTTGTATGCGCAAGTTAAAGAAAAAGAAGAAAAAAAACCACACACAATGTGATTTGCATGGTGAGAATAAAGCGCGGTTTAGTTTCTGTTTTGTTTTTGGCATTGGCTTTGGCTCTTTTTTATTTGCCTTGAATGTAGTACATTTGTACATTCCATTAGCTCACCTACATTTTCTGATGGCTGTTTTATGGTACGCCATCACCAAGTTATGACTGTGTGTAGATTTTTTTTTTCGTGTGCGCATGGTGCGCGCGAGTTCTTTTCCATTTCTTTGCATCGTTCGTTTTAATTCTCTTTCTCTATGTATCATTTTCTCTCTTTCTATTTCTTCGATCGTGCTCTTATTGTGTATGTATTGACTTGTTTTCGTGGCCAACCGTATTGCAATGCTATCGAAAAGAAACCAAGACGACAACAACAGGCAACGACGATGACGACGACGAAGCCGCGCGATATAACGGTTTCTTGTTATGTGTCTTCATGTGTTATATTATTCTTGTTCTTCGTCAAATTACATTTCTTCACCATCGTCATACCGTCATTTTGAATCTTTTGGCTCCGTTCAAGCTTGTATAGATAAATGTTGAAAGGAGAAAAAGAATCGCTTGTGTCTCTCTGTCTTGCTTGCTGTCTGATATTCGATTCATGTTCTCAGCCATATCGAATGAAACCACAACACTGTACAGCCGAGAGACGTGTACATTCGGTTCCGATCTCTTAAGAATTTCTTGCTCAACATTTAACCGTAAACCGTTTATATGTGGATGTGTATGTGCGCGCGCGATTGAAATCAAAAATAATTTCGGTTTTTTTATGACAACATGAATACTATTTACAAAAGTCCGAGTGATAAACGAAGAAAGGCACAAAAAGGTCCCATTTGTTTGGCTTTAATGGAAAATGATCATGCTGTTGCTAATTGTATTTCAGAATATATATTCTGTGTATTAGCATGAGCATGACTTGTACATGCTATGGCATGTCTTCTCTTCTCTCTGCCTCCAATCGATAAGTGAAATGAAAAACATACGAAAGATAGATGAATGTGTTATTTGATTGATTATTTGCATAGAAATCAGCTAGAAACGTTTGCAGTACCAATTGATGTGCTGAGAATATGGACTAATGTGATGGATTCCTTTGTGTGTCTCAGGTAAGCAAGTAACATGCACATTATTTTCTATTGCATTGGACTTTGAAATGAGTTATGTTTGCTTAACAAGGCCTATTATTCGGGACATTTATCACTTTTTTTTGAATTTTTGCGCGTTAGCTCAACTAGTTATTAATTATATTATTAGAATTATTATTACAACTATCGACAATATATGTATAAATGTGTGTGTTGTTGTGTGTGGTCATTTTTTTTTCACAATATGTTGCACCAGAGCAAGCCACTTAAAATTGTGGACGATTCGAAATTGATCAAAGCACACATGACAGAAAGAGATAACAAATAAATATTGTGGCAGAGTGAGAGAGATAATAAAAAATCAGGTCGTTCCAATGAAAATACAGAATAAATATTGCGGAAACAAAAGGAACGAGTGAGTGAGAAAGAGAGCGAAAGAGAGGCAAATAAATGAGAATAAAGATGTGTGTATGTTTAACTAATTACGCTTTTTTAACCGTATAGATTTTTTCCTATTGAGGTGGTGTGTTATATTTTTTTTATCGTTGGTTATATTTCTATTTACTAATTTCACCACGCAAGATGTGCGATCATAGCCGCTTGTTCAATAGTTTTTTTTCATGTAGGTATATACCGTTCCCAATCTAATGTGAACAGATACACTTATAAGGAAATATTATTTAGTTCTCACATATTTTATAACAAATCTTTTTCTCGCTGAATTCAACTTTGTTGAAAAAATATGCTGTACAAATAAATTCTCAACTGCATTAAAGTCAAGGTGATGCAAATTCTTGAATACTATTCTACAAATTTGAACAAATAAAATTATCCTGGAATTTAAAAAAAAAATTGTAGATTTCACTTACTTTTGATAAAGCACCTAAGTAATCCATTTTTATAAGAATCAATTTAAGAATTTTAGTCCAAGATAGAAAATGTTCACTTTTGGAAAGAAAAAGGTTCAATGTTCGAATATATTTTGTCGACGATTAGTTTCGATGCACCAAAGCCAAAGAAAAAAATTATACGTAATATGATTCATTCAAGTGAAATGCGAACTGTATCTCAGCACGGTGATGAATTTGAATTGAAAACTAATCCAAACGTCGGAATGAAAACGGTAAATTGATAGCTATGTTACCACGAAACGGTTAATCACTAACGTAAATAATTCAAATCTCGAAAGCCCGCAAAATATTGTCGCAATAAACAACAACAAGAAACCAATATCAACGAATTTTTTTTAGCATATTCGTGTAAAATTAATTTCGAATATATTACATTGAATAAAATACAAAGAGTCACAAAAAGAAGAATTATTGAGGAAAAAAATTGTTGTTCAAAATGTTGATGACATGCACTCCGATATTTAAACGAGCTACTGAAAATGCTACGTTTTTTTCTGTTTCATTTGGTACCAGAAATTGAAATTTGTTACCACAAGCACTGATAGCTGTCGACTGACTGACTGTGGAATGGTTCCGTGGCTTCTTTGTGCATGGGCAAAAATCTCAGTGGGTTTTGTACTTCTGTATTTTGCTTCTTCCTCTTCTTCTTCTTCTCATATTCTCCTTATTCTTCTTTTTTTACTTCGATTTATTCATTTACTGTAACTTTTCTTTAGCCGATGTTTCTTTATAACCATCGTCTTCGTGTTCTTGTTTCTGGTAATCACCAGTCTCTGTCTCACTATGTCTCGGTCTTTATCTTTCGGTGTGTTTAAATGTGTATTTGAGCTCAAGCTTTATGTGTGTCTGTTTCTGCATGTATATTTTCGTTTATGAATCTCTTGCGCCATTGAACTTCACACGTCAAAATGAACAACAACAATAAATGTGACAATGAAAACTTTTATTAAAAAGCTCAGAAGTTGCTTTTTTGTCTTTATCTCTGTGTAATTCTTTGAATTCAACTAAAACAACGATGAATACGATCGTTAACTATTTCTTTGGATTTAAGGAGACTTTTCAAAAATTCTATTTAAGAATGATGAAAATCAACTATTTTTATCAAAGTGTTTAAATATTCAATTGAATTCGAACAAATCAAATATCAAGTATCAATCGAGTATCGAATTAGAAGAGTCTAAAAATTGGTCTAAATGTGTCACTTTTTAAATATTTTTTTTTTAAATCACAACACGATGTGTCATAGCTTGCAATCACAAACGCATATATTTTTTTGTATGACTGCATAACTGTTTAAAATTCCGCAGCGCCAAAGCGTAAATTCACAAACATAAGTTAACGATTTTGGTGTTCAATATTCTTGTCAACTGTTGCATCTCTACAAAATCAATACATCGCATTCGTCCGTTACGTACTTCATCTTGTGAAATGCTCACCGGAAAATGAACCCAAAAATTTATGTCATTTGTTCGATTTGTGTTAACTGTTTCAAGTCAAAAGACGATGTCGGTCTACTAACAGCATGCGGTCACATGTTTCACAAAAAATGCTTGAAGAAAAATTGTTCAAATTGCCCAAAATGCCAAATAAATGTGACTGAAAATAATTCTATCGAAGTTTTTCTTGACTTCCAAAAGCAACACGAAGATTTCCACCAAACCTTGGTATTCAATGAGACCAATATTTCCACAATCACATCAAATGGACATGAATAATCATCAAACCCAATCAACGAAACGAATATTTCTGATCACATTTATCAGATGTATCATCAAACCTAATCACCCAGAGAATTGTGGGAAAAATCATCTCGAAATCAACAAAAGTGTCCAGACTTTCGGATAGAATCAATCGTGAAAATCGGATCGGTGTAACCACTCGCTCAATGGCAATACGAACTTGACAAAATCAACTCAATGAAACTGGTTTAGTAACGATGCGTCCGAAAAAACTAACGGTGCTGTAAAGCTGCAAAATTCGATATATTCAAGACGAATTTGTTGACAACGGGGAAACCATTTAGAAAATCATTCAAAAATCTATTAACATTTGTACGAAATATCAAAATTAAATATTTTGCGGTCGAAAATAGCTAAATCTTAATAATAAAATGAACCTTTGGGGAATAATTTTTCTCGCATAAATGCACGTATTATAAAAAGCGATTTATATCGCTGTGTATTTTGAAAGAAATGTGTGCCGCCAAAAACGTCTTATTTAATATTGACAGTTAAACGTTATTTGCAAGCGGCAATACTGAACGTATATAACGTCCATTGGCCAGGTATATGTTCACGGCCGAAATCAGGGCCGGATTTATGTGTAGTTTCAGTCAAATTCAACGTCACAATGAAATAAAAAAAAAAACGATTCAATTGCTAATCAAACTCAGCGAACTAACAGATGATTGTTATAAACTAATTTCTTGATGGTGAAAATATGATTTCTCACGTTGTTAGTTTGTAAATGTTCTTTTATTTTAAAATAAAAACGAAAACAAACACGTAAAGAAATATTTTCGTTGCAAAATCACAATTTTAAAAAAAGAATTCAATTGTATGATTTGGATGTGACAATGAATCGATTACAATTATTTTTTAGAATGAAAACAAATGCTGTTCGGCACCGGTTTGATGTGCACAGCAGCCAACTGTCAATTATCATATTTATGCGTTCTGAATTCGAAGTTTGAAATTGTAATTCTGTTCATGAAATCAAATAAATATTGCTGAACATTTAAGCAAAAATGCTGTTGCCGAAACTAAAATCAAGTCAGAAAAATCTCTTTGTATACTAGTTGTTTATTATTATTTTCTGTGATTATCATTAGAATTCAAATACAAAATTGAAACTTAACGTTGTGTTAAGTCGGGTTCACACATAATCTGTCTTCTATTTGACACGAAAAACCAAGATGGGTCAAAGCGGCAATACTAAACGAGTATTTTGTTTTTGTTTTTTTTTTCTTCTTTTCAACTACAGTAATATCCCCTACGAGCATATATACTTTGTTCATTGATATTTTTTCGATTGGTAATTTTGACAGATATGGAATATGAGTCATTTTCATGTATACATTAAACGATGAACTAACTCAATTGATTACTAACTACAACAAATTTCGTCAATCAATTTATTTCTAATTAGTTTGGTGTTTTCAAAAAATTAAAAACAAAAATTTTGTCGAACAGTACAGAACAACAGGATTGTTAAAATTTTATATTTGAGTGAGATTTTGTCTTCACATTACACACAAAATTTCATAGTTGCTTTTTTTCATACCAGAAAAAATTTAACATTCTCTAAACTATGTCGGCCATGGAAAGTAAGCTATTATGTTTTCATTTATACTAATGAAGACAGTGTTATATTCGATATAGTTGGCATCATTGATTCATTATAATTCATTTATTTCCACAGATCATTTATTCAATCTAAAATTTGCGGTGAAACAATTGGAACGTGAATCGAAAAAGTGTGATAAACAAGAGAAACTAGAAAAAACTAAGGCAAAAAAAGCCATTTCGGCTGGTAATGTTGATATTGCCCGTATTCATGCCGAAAATGCCATTCGACAGAAGAGCCAAAAAGTTAATTATTTGCGTATGAGTGCTCGCGTTGATGCTGTTGCCAGTCGTGTACAATCTGCACTAACCACACGAAATGTAAGTTTAAACATGGCTTTTAGTTGTTTGTGATGATGTCATTATTCTAATCTTCAGGTGACTACTTCAATGGCTGGTGTTGTTCGTGCTATGGATGCGGCAATGAAGGGCATGAATTTGGAGAAGATTTCATCGTTGATGGATAAATTTGAACAACAATTCGAAGATCTGGACGTACAAAGCTCGTATATGGAAAATACCATGTCGCAAACGACCACTACGGCCGTACCTCAAGGCGATGTTGATTCATTACTACAGCAAGTCGCAGATGAAGCTGGGTAAATTGTCATTTTTATTTATAACGAAAGCAAATTTATTGATTTTTTTTTGTTTTTATCCAGTTTGGAATTAAATATGGAGCTGCCAAGTGGACCACAAGCATCAGTCGGTCAATCGACCCAAGTTTCACAAGAACAAGATGAACTTACCCAACGTTTGGCCCGACTTCGTCAAACCGAATAAACCAAATACACAAAGAGAGCGCTATATTCTTTTCTTTTTCCTTTATTATAAAATATTCAAATTTTATCAAACGAAAACAAAACAAAATATAATTCATTAAGACAACGCAGAATATTGCATCTCTATTGCGTATAAATTTATCGAAACTATTTTCAAATGATGTTTAGTTTCGGCTGTAAAGAATATGGAAAATAAATGAATATTATTGATATGATGAATGCAACTCTTTTTCCATTTGGCCTGAGAGTATGTGTATTTATGTAGGTATGTAAGAGAGACAGACAGAGAGAGAGAGAGAGAGAGAACGGGAGTGTATGGGAAAAAGCTAGAAAGAAAAGCATATGCAGAATATAATAATTGAAATGTTCTTCTTTCTATTGAATTCCAATTTTTTTTTTTGATTTACAATTTTATTGCTGTGTAAAAGTAATAATAATACATTGGATTCGGCTGAATTAGAATGTAAATGGGTGAATTTTAAGATAAACAAGACTACATTATTATTTAAGAAGTGACCATTTAAGTTGTTCTTTTGCTGATTGGATCACCTGCATGGAAAATGTTCGAAAAATTCATTAGTAAATTCACTGGAAATGATTATGCCTTATATAAAATAAAACAAAATGGCTTAAATTGATCTAATTGATATATTGAACAATTAAAAAATGATTTTGTGTAAAGAAAAAATAGTTTAACAATTTATATTCAACAAAATGTTCTGGGTGCAGGGCAAAAAAAAGGAAAAAAAAAAAACATTATTCAAATAATAAACAAAAAGAAAACTATTTATATTAGGTATGGATAATTTTGGCAGCGACGTGCATGAGATTTGAGTCAATTTGTTCATATGGTTGTGGAATAAATTTGTGCATATATGTTTTTTTTTGTTCTGTCGGCCTTGTAACAATATATCTACTACCAAAAAAGACCGTTCAGTGTGTTGGTTACCTGTGCCACTGTTTGCTCTCCGATTGGAATGTCATCATTACGTAAATCGACACGTTTCACCACCGCCGATGGGTCAGCTTCCAAAATAATTCTTCAAAGAGAGAGAAAAACCATTTCATTCCACATATTTGTTTAACCATATCCCGCATTCTACTTACCCGCCATCACAGATTTCATCAAATGCCAGCATGATAATATCTAAATTGTCCAATACGGCACGCTTTTCAACATTTTTCTTCAAAATCAAACTTATTGAGTCATACAGGCAATTCAATACCGACAATAAAATCAATTCATTCTCCTGTGTACTGCCCATCACATAAAAGAAAAGATCCACATTGTTTTTATAAACACACGTCAAACCATCCAACATAATGATTTCGGATGCGGCTCGATGTGTTTTATTGAAGAGATTTTTTTCAAATGTTTTTTGCTCTTTAACGGTTGCCAAAATATTTTTGTCATAATATTTGGCGAGAATTCGATTGCCATCATTATCTAAAATGCACATTCCTTTGATGGTGAACAGAGTCGGTTCCTGCAATAATTACATGTTTTTTTTTTTCAAATAACTTACATGTTTTAATTTTTTTTACGCAGACACGCATAAAATAAAATCCAAATGAAATTAATTTACCAGTAAAACACCTTCCATCTTTAAATGATTGACTTTCGTTTTTGGTCCAACTTTGATTTAATTTATTTTGATGTGGAACAAATAATTGTAAATTTGTTTATGCAGCGCACAGAAATTACAGTCTATACTCATTGACACGTATTAATGCCAGATGTCAGCAATATTATGGTTCATCTACATGAAAACATAACCTCATTCCGATAAAACTTGAATGTTTGAAAAAGAGTTTTCGATTATTTTGAAATTGTAATGTTTTTTTTTTATATTAAGACAGTTCAATCGCAGTGATATTATGAAAAATAGAATCGAACGTCGAATAAATAACAAAATTATGATGGATTCGATGTGATCAGAATTTACATCATCTTGAAAAATTGAAATTAAATGTATTTTTAAATAATAATGTTTCGTCTACATGAAAACATAAACTTTTATTGAAGACGAACACATCAGATGTCATTTTCTGTCTGATTTAAATATCAAAAGTCTATTCTGTTTTCCTCTGTGAATGTGCTGGTTGTTTTATTTATGAAATTTTTCTTAGTTTTTTCCAAAGAACGACGAAGAAATAAATTACAAACAGTGGCAAATGTTTAATATTGATTTGGAAAAGTGTTTCACATGAAATCGATTGGCATAAAATAAATTAGATGGAAACCAATTGATGTACACTATGATTGTTATAGTAAATAAATAAGTTGTTCATACTTTGATAAAATGGTGTTTGTATTTAATGTTTAAACTCCTGGTTGCTTTGTCGTTCGGTCAAATATGTACTAATTTTATAAGTAATAAGTAATGAAAGATGCGAATAGCAGAGAAATTATAATACACAACATTTGTTTGTTTGTTTTTTTTTTTTCACTCATCTATATAGTAAAATCAAGATCGTGCAAGGAATCGAAGTTCTGAATGGTTCAAATTTAATTGAACAATATCTGAATATATTGAAAACGAACATCACGATTATGCAGTTTCGTGTTTGAGAGTGCAATTTTTTGGATCAAATTTATTTGGAATCGCAAAAAAAAAAATGGCTCGTACGGGTTTATTGGTAGTTACGAATTTATCAAAAATTCGGCATAGCTTGACGGCTGTCAAAAAATACGTTTCAAGTACATTATACATTCAATTATACACGGGTGTTGTTGTCGAACGTAAAAAATTCGTAAACACATTGAAACCAGTGACCAGATATTGTAAACATGCAACTGACATATATTCGTTATCATTGCGAACATGTGATCATTTGGATGTGATTCTTATCATTGGAAATTTAAAAGATAGTGTACTTTGGCAAACAACATCAACCTTACACGTCAAACCAGTCGATGTGCTTCTGTTCGATGACGGCATTTCAAACAACGAAACGACAAAACTGATGGATCGATACAAAGCAACTAATATTATTGAAATTTCCAATGCATTGGGAGAAAATGTTATAAACACAGAACCGGCATCGGTCACCTCCAATGAAAGCCATTCAGAAACTATCGAAGGTGATACGGTTGTATTGGGTGGAACATTTGATCGATTACACGTCGGCCATAAAATGTTGTTAACCGAAGCTGCACTGCGAGCTAGAAAACGGGTTATTGTCGGTGTAACCGATGTAAATATGATTCAAAGTAAAATAACATTTTTTTTCCTTATTTTTGTTTGTTTCGACTGTTTAAACGTTTTCCATATACATTTTTTGTTATTGTTACAGGCAAATTGTTACATGAATTAATTCAACCGGTTAAGACAAGGATCAGTGTAGTTCGTGATTTTTTGGAAACTATTGACAATACATTAATATATGAAGTGGTTCCAATTCAAGATTCATTCGGTCCAACAAAAACCGTTCCGGATTTAGATGTACGATTTTCAAAACAGTTTTCAATATTTTCATATTTTATTAAATGAATATATGTTTTAATCCACACTCTATATAGGTTATTATTGTAAGTGCCGAAACGTATCGTGGCGGTGAAAAGGTGAATGAAATTCGTGAAGCAAACAATTTGAAAAAATTACAAATTCATTGCATTGACATCATTGAATTGGAGAACAATGAAGAGGGCAAAGAGAATAAAATAAGCTCAAGCAATCAACGGATGGATTTGCTTGGTACACGACTTAAAAAACCAATACCAAAACCACATTTACCAAATTACCCATACATAATTGGTTTGATTGGTGGCATTGCATCCGGTAAAAGTATCATTTCACAACATTTTGAAAAACTTGGCGCAGCAGTTATAAACTGTGATCGATTAGCTCATGATGTATATGAACCGGGCACCGATTGTCATGCAAAACTTGCCACACATTTTGGCAACGATATTTTAAATGCCAGCGATGATAATCGAATCGATCGCAAAAAATTGGGCGCAATTGTATTTTCGAATAAGGAAAAATTGAACGAATTGAATGAAATTGTGTGGCCAGCTTTGATGAAAAAAGTTCAAGAGCGCATCAATCAAATTCGTGTGGAAAAATCACATGACGTTGTTATGATTGAAGCAGCCGTACTACTGCAAGCCGGTTGGCAACACGAAATGCATGAAGTTTGGTCATTGATTGTACCACCTGAGCGGGTAAGTATCGTGCCTACACCTTTCGTAAAAGTTGTATGAGTTTTTAAATACTTTTTTCTCACATAGGCAATTCGACGTTTAATAAATCGTGATAATTTGACAGAAGAACAAGCAAAACAACGAATCGATGCACAGCCATCCAATGAGACGATGGTTAGTGAATCAACGGTAGTTTTTTCAACACAATGGAGCTACGAATTTTCTCGTCAACAAGTAATATTATTATTTCATTGCATTATTACACAAGTAAATTACATTTATAATTTATTTTTCAGGCGGAAAAGGCATGGCAGGGACTTCAGGAGTATTTAAAAAAATGAAGAAAAAAAAACAGTCTTAAAACGATTGCATTATTATTTTAATTTGAAAATGAAATACAAAAAAAAAATTGTTAACTTGTATTGCATAGGGATGTGTTCTTGTTTTAAAAGTGTTTTAATATCGTTATTTTGTCGCAATTTTATTCTTATTTAGTTAATTTTTATATATAAAGATTTTCGGATGTTGGTCTCAAAAAAGAAAAATGGTTCAAGTGAAAAGAAAATACGATTTTGGGCTTATGTTGTTTTATTTCCAATAATTGCAATTGGGTGGCTTTGGGGGGTGGTCATTAATGACTTTCTCCTTTTTTGCCGGCGATACGTTTAAAATCATCCATTTTGGTTGTAGCGATTGGTGAACCGATAAAACCGATGTAATCAAGCTGTGTCAGTTCGCCGCCACTTTGATTATCCTTTATGAAAATCTGAATGTTTTGCACATTCTGGAATTTTACATAACGTAAATTGATTGCATTGCCTGATAAATCTTTTGGATCAACACTGTTGATGATATAGAAAACAGAACATTAGAAAAAAAGAAAAACTATGATAATGTAAATTGTGAGGTAACATACACAATGTCTTGAATGGCCGTGCAGCATTCAGCTTGATCAAAATCGATGGTTCTCGGCTGATTGATGAATAGTTTTAGTGTTTTTGGTCCGAGTTTTTCGGGTGCTTTCAATTTAATTGAATGTATTTTGACCGCTTGATTGAATGTAACCGATAAAATTAATTGTTCATCGCAATCCGACTGCAAATAGCCACCACCGCTGGTGAATGCATGTTCCAATGGATGATCGTCTGCTTCGTTCAAACACTCGCATTGATTTTTTGTTATAAAAACATTCAGATCCATCTAAAGATTTAATATTTCAGATGAAAAGATTGATATTGATGAAAAATGAAAAACAAAAAACGTACCAAACCCTGTCCCAAATCTTCACCTGAATCAGCATCACCACTTCCGATGTGTTGTTGAATTTTTGCTTCTAGGCCGGCAAGGTCAGCACCTTGAAGACGATCTATCTTTGTCTGTGGGTGGAAAAAACCAACATTTTCGATATTTAAAAAAAAAAAGAAACGGTTTTAAAACAAACATTTTACCTTATTTCTATAGAAAAAGAATGTTGGCATCGCACTAACGCCTTGTGCAGCTGCTGTATCTTGACACTTATCAACATCAACTTTTAGGAAAACTGCTCGTGGATATTTAGTCGGTAATTGTTCAAAGTGTGGTGCAATTCGCTGGCATGGTCCGCACCTTTTCACACATAATGAAAACAAACGAATATTCTCAACGAAATCGAAAGACGAACAATTATACTTAACAATAAAATAACATACCAACTTGCTGTAAAATCAACACACACCAAACGAACGCCAGCTGCTTGAAGCTCTTGTTGGAAATGACTATCATCTTCAATAACGCGTACACTCATTTTCAATAATATAAATTGCTATTTTTTTCGTTTAAATTAAATTGCAAATCGAAATGATTTTATCAAATCACTTTTATTTGAACGCAATAGTTTGAGCAATAAACTGTCTAAAATTCTTCACTATTCCTTGTGAAATTCAATGACTGGCTCTTTTTATGCATACAGATACTTTGACAGTTAGCCACATTTCGTTTAAATAAAGTGTTGTTCACACGTGAGTTATCTATACACCGAAATACATTGGGTACGAATATTTATAAAAAAAAAATGTGTTAATAGTAATAATACATTTTCAATAATAGAAAATCGAAAAATTTATGGACATTTTTATTCAACAGTAGAAAATTCGAAAATGACGTTTTTCAAAAGATTTCACATCATTTTAAACATTGTTTATCGTACTTGAATGGTCAATTATTTTGTTGTTTTTCTTTTTTGGGTAATCAGCTGGCAAACTCGCACTGTGGACGATTACTGCAGTCGAGAAAAAAAAAACACATACAAAACATTCAGAGAAAGAGAGAATTTATGAAAAGTCAACGCAAAACATCCAATTCACCGACAACGTTGTCATTGAAACAAACTAATTGAACGCATAATACAAACAATTATTTAAAAAATTGAATATTTCTGATTAGAAACAATTTCCGATTTGCTAGACATTATTTTAAAACTTAATCGGAAAAGAATTTTTTCCAAAAGTTATATACGCATAATGGAAGAGGGCGAAAATAATAATTCTGATTCGAACAGTGAAATAGGAGCTACAAATGATTCCAATTTACAAGTAACAACAGCAACCACGTCGAAATCACCGAAACGATATAAGTTGGATCCAAACGTTCCGTCGACATCAACGTAAGTTAGATACGGTTTCGACTTTTTTTTTAATTTAATAACAATATTTGAGATGAAGAAAACATTTCTAATAATCGATACACATTACAACACACATACAGTCAATCTGAATGCAATATGAAAACAAGTTCCGAAGATGTTAAGAATGTGACACAAGAAATGGCAGAAAAATCAGAAGCAACTAGTGGCAGTAGTTGTGGCGGTGATAGCGGTAGTGAAAGTAAGAAAAATAAAAGTCTCTTTGAGCGATTTCCAAAGCGAAACTATCGCAAGCGTTCGGATTCACAATCATCGAAAGAGAGCAGTCCAATGGAAGCGTCATCATCAACCCAACAATCAAATAATGTAAATCCAGAACATGCAAATAATCAAGAGGTAACATTTGTTTGTTTATTTTAATCTTGTGTATAAGAAAACTTATTCGTTTAATTTCAAAGAAACCGATCGTTACACCGCCAAATAATTCCGATGAAGCCATGATGTTACAAATGGATGATGAAAGTTCATTCACCAGTACCAGTAGTGATCAAGATGATCAAACTGACGATGACGAATCATCAGAAAGTTCTGGAAATTCCACCGAAAATGAGCAGAAAATTCAAACGATTTTAAACAAAGCAAAACCAAAGTAAAAACCACAGTTTTGTTTTTATGCTAAATATCGGTATCGGGAATGAAATAATATGATTCATTTTATTTTTTTTTTTGTATTTGGTTCACAGATGTGACTTAAATTTGGTACGAAATTTGATTAATCGCCAATCTGGTACATATAATCTCCAATATTTTTCTATATACTTTTTTCGAATTTCCTGTAATATAATCGCATTTTTTCAGGTATATTTTACAAAGGTGATCGTCGCATTTACGTCAATGACGCACTTAGACTGACCCAACGTATCAGCAGTTCGATTTATAGCGTTGAACGAATGATGTGTTTGCATAAATTGGAAAAACATCGTGGTTGCGTTAATTGCCTTAATTTCAATAAAGCTGGAAATTTACTTGTCACTGGTTCCGATGATTTGGATGTGATTGTATGGAATTGGGCGAAAAAACAACCAATTATTGTAGAAACATCACATCATCGTGCGAACGTTTTTCAATCGAAATTCGTTGACAATGGCACGGCTACCAATCAAAAGGATTTTAATTTAATCACATCGGCACGTGACGGTGAGGTGCGACAAATTCAAGTCACACCAGATGGTAGTGCTCATCATCGTACCATTACAAGTCATAGTCGACCCGTTCATAAAATTGCAATACCCGACTCGAATCCAAATGAAGTGCTAACAGCTGGTGAAGATGGTTGTGTGATGCGAAGTGATTTAAGAGATAATCGACCGTCAGAGCGGCTGGTACAATTAAAACCGCCATTGTACAGTGTTGCTGCACATCCGTATGATCCGGAATTTTGTGTTTGTGGTAGAGATAAATTTGTTCGTGTCTATGATATGCGTAATATTAAAGAATGCTCAAAAATGTTTTGCCCCGAGAATATTCTTGCACAAAAGGTTGGTTTTTGTTGTTGTTGTTGCTGTTTTCTTAGTGAACATTTACGATGATAACTTGATTTTCTTTTATTTTTCATAACAAACAGCGAAATGTATGTTATATTAATATAACTTGTGCTTTATATAATCATAACGGTCAAGAGATTCTTGCATCGTTCGACGCATCAAATCGATCGAATATTTATTTGTTCGATACAAATGACAACACACCCGGCACATATAAAAAAAGTTATTATGGTCACAAGTAAGTGTCGAATGATGTTGTTGGTTTTTTTTTCTGATTTTCTGATTGAAATATGTGTTCTTATAAAAAATTAGAAATAGTCAAACCATAAAAGGTGTAAATTTCTTTGGCTCGAATTCGGAATTCATAATGAGCGGCAGTGACTGTGGTAATTTCTTTATGTGGGATAAAAATAGCGAAGCAATTGTACAATGGCTACCGGGTGATGAGAGTGGCGTTGTTAATTGCCTAGAAGGCCATCCACGGTTTCCAATCATTGCAACGTCTGGGCTGGATCACGACATTAAAATTTGGAGTCCGATGAATGCAAAAGATGTATGTTTTATCAGTTTTGCTTAGCTTTTCATTATAATTTTATTTATTTTGATTTAATGTTTGATTTTAGCGTCGGCCATCCGAAATTGATTTGCGAAGATGCATCAAAACAAATCTCCATCATGGTTCAGGTCATTTGATTTTCTTTTATTTTTCATAACCAATTGCGAAATGTATGTGTTTATTAATATGAAATTGTTCTTATCCATGGTTCAGAGAATTTTGTGCGAACGTACATGCGAAGTATAGCACGTTTGGTAAATGGTGGATATCATCGATCAGGAAGATCAACCAGCGATGATGAAACGTCCGATTCAGATGACGAAGAAGATGGACTGCGCACTTTTTATCGACCAGATCGCAGCGGACCATGCGAAGTTCAATAAATTCAAGGTTACAGATTTAATCTAAATATGCATAGTATTAAGTTATTAAGAAGACCAACCGTTACAGTTTCGTTTGCATCGAACGTCTCTTATCATTTTATATATACATATTCGATGTGAAGATACGAACAAGATTATTTAATTTAAAAAGAAAAATAAACATTCGAAATAATTTATTGGAATTTGAATTATTTCGTACGATAAACAAACTTACCTACTATTTTAATCTGCAAGATCAAGCATCCAGCTGCACAATCTGGTGCATAATGGTGATTTCAAGTTCGGTATTTCAATAAGTTGATAAAAACTATTACATATTTATAAAATGTTTCTGAAAGGTTTGTATTTCATTTTTTCTTATTGTTTCATTTAAAAAAAAAAAGATAAAATATCAACATTTTGCAAAATGTACACTTAAAATTATTTCCAAAATTATTGTGAAATGCGTAAGTACATGCTGCAGACTACTGTAGAAACGATAAAATAAAAATGTTGTTTGGATTTTTTACAAGTTGAAGCATTTCCCTTGTCATTTCCGTTCGTACCATGTGGAATTTCATTTTCTTTATCTTTGTCTGGCAAATGTGCTTCTTGTGAAATTTCATCAAGTGCTAAAACGGTCGCTTCATTTATGGTTCGCAATAGTGGATAATTGGCATTATATCTCTTTGGAATGGTCAGATCGACACCGGGAACTGGTTTAAAGTCGATGAATGTGTCATTATCAATATCACACTCACCGCGAAAATCATCTGTGTCCACTGACCACACCATTGCGCCACCCAAATTACGGCTCATTGCAAATTTTATTTTCTGTGCAATTGAACGACTACTGTCATAAATGGCGATACGCATTTCACCAGTCTCTGCGTTTTTATACTTTGCAATCGCTTGACTCATTTCAATATTATAAGATTGTTGCCATCCGGATGTGCGATTCGTTAACAATGCACAAATTTCATTGTAACCCATAAAACCTTTTTCTCTCGTTGACGGTCCTTCAAAGCCAATTTCATTAGATGCATCACCAAAATTACCATCCAAATGGTTGACAACAAATGTTCGACCATAAAACGGTAAACCCATTACGATTTTTGTTGGCGATGCACCCAATTTAATTAAATAATCAATGGTGTATTCAACATTCAAAATGCCTTGACCTTTTAACGGTGCATTTGCTGATACTCGTCTATCCCACGCACCTAGAAATGAATGGTATATGGTACAAATACGGAACATGGTAGAAAAATTGTCATCGCAATGTATTGTATCAGAAAAAGACAATACATGAGGAAAAAAAAAAGTCAGAATAAAAGCATTGTATTGGTAATTTCAGCAACAAATACTCACCGCCATAATCGTAACACATAATGTGCATAAAATCAAGGTATTTCGATAGTGCTGGTATATCGTATGCTTCATCAATGATTTTTTTCGATGCACCAAATGCTGATGTTAGCAATAGATTGTGTTGTCGGAAACTATCCTTTAGCTCTTTAACAAGCAATACAAAATTATCTTTATCGACTGGTTGACCGCCGCGTGCGGTTGGGAATTCCCAATCTAAGTCAAGACCATCAAATTTATAGCGCAACACAAAATCGGTTGCACTTTTTACAAATTGCTTACGAAGATCTGTATCGGATGCCATTCGTGAATATTTTGGTGGATCTTCATTCCAACCTCCTATCGCCAATGACACCTGCAAAAATCGAATTTAAATAAATTCATCAAATTCTATCTCTTGAAATGTCACCAAAAATAGTCAATTACTTTCAAATGTGGATGTGATTGGCGTAAGTTAGTTATTCGTTCATAACCACCTAATCCGTAATTGTCTTTCAAATCTTGCCAGGGATCTGGGTGTTTGAAAATGCAAATAATAATGATAAAATGTTGTTGATATACACCTATATTTATACTTTACCCATTGACTTTATTGTAAATATATCTTTATCTAAACCGGCAAATGCGTAGACGAGATGCGTGCAAAGATTTGGGTCAATATTTTCAATCGCAAATTTCCCATTATTTGGTCGATACACAGCCCATGTTGAGACATAGCATACGACAACTTTATTGTGCGATGGACCTGTCCAATTCAAAGTTGACATTTGATAAGCATTAAAACAAACAACAACAAAATTGTCGTGATTATGTTATTTATATATAAAAAAACAACAGCAACAAAATATATAACACATTCACGATAAACTTCTTGTTTTTATATAGCGTCAGACTTGAAGTAGAAATTATCAAAATAACCTTCAAAAAATTTAATTATAAATGGAAACTTTAATTTAATAAAATTATACGTACCGGTTTTGGCCGACGATAACATAAACACACTGAAAATAATCAGCAGAGTGCTGACGGAATGCATTATGTTGGCAGTAAATGTATATCTGTTTGAAACGAGTTAAGGAAAAAATACGTTTTTTAAACACATAAAGATAGAGAATTTTAAATTTGTTGATTTTGATGGATCAGAGATTTTGAATAAACTAAACTTTTGAAAAAAGGGCAAAAATAACATTTATTCACACAAAATATGAATAAGCATTTTAAAGGCTTTAATGATACATTCATACCACAATCAAATCGAACGAAAACACGTCCCTACTTTCTTTGAATGAATAAATTTCACATTATATACACGTGACACAATGGTGCAATCCATACCTCCATGGTATCTTTAGAACAATAGTATCACCTGGATGTATGAGTCATGAAATGTTAATATAATGTAAGTAGGTTTAATTTCAATCATATGCAATCTCCATTCAAAAGAAAACGGAGAAGGGGAAAACTTCCGTCATCCGTATAATAAGACAATGGTTTGATGGGAACCAGAATGGAGTAAAGAATATCTACCGAGACCAAGACAGACGATGAATTAAACCACATGAATCAGAGACAAACGAATTTTGCATGGCTTCTCATTTTATATATATGTTTTTAGAATGGGGCACTAGCCCAATGCCATTCAATTGACAAAAAAAAAAACTAAATACGATTAATTGTAAATCATTCAAGTCTTAAGACGGTAGACTACTGTTTTTTGAATCACTATCTTTGTTCAAAGTCGTTTTAATTAGAATAGACGATATAAAGCAATAGAAATGATAAATTAAAATTGATAACTTTGCGAACAGAAATTTAAACTTTAAATTTATTTGAGTTTTTTTCACTGATACCGCTTGAGTTTGTTTTATCTCTTTTATCCATTCTTTTGCTTTCACATTTAACTGCTAAACGTATGCATCAAACATGATTCACTGACCAAAAATATTAAATTGTCAAACCAAAAAAACTTCCAGACTTGGTGTTCCTTTCACCGCTTATAAACCAGTTTTTTGGCACACTGAAAGATTGAATCAAAGATTCTTTGCTATTTTCTTAGTTAACAATATCAAATGTTTAAACAGTAAAATATAATCATAAACGAAGAGAAAAAAATTAAATGCAACATTCAACTAGAAACTTAAAAAAAAAAATAGATTGAAACTTCGTTCATTTTGCTACTACATTCATTACACATAACAAGTCTTTCACTCCGAAACTTTGGCTTTGGCACTGTTGTTACACACCGATTACAACAAATAAATAAACTAACTTTCTGGTTACTAGACGAGCGAGTGAGAGGAAATACAATAATAGAAGCGGTTTTTTGAAATAGAAATACAAACAATGAAGAAATTCGATCAAGAGCGTGTACATGAAGCGAAATATCGAAACGATCTCTTTCGCTCTGCAACATACTCACAAATACAAAGCACTTGTTTAATGTGCTTAACACACGATCAGTGTGTAAAGACTGGGTTTTGAAACAACGTATAAAGCAACACAGCGACATACACATAGAGGAAGCAGATGCAGAAGAAGAAGAAGAAAAAGAATAAAAAAAAAATTATGTATGCCAAAAAAAAGAAAGCAACAATAAAAACAAAACAAAAAAACCACTACTACTACCATAAAACTACTTAATACAACAGTACGGCAAAGCATGCATACGGAAAACAATTCACTTGAAATAAAATTAAAGACTTATTTTACCCCAAGCAATTATTACATGTATTTGGAATGAAATATTCGCACGTATCTACACCAATTTTGTCAGAAACAACTGCGGTCAATCTTCAAACCAAACAAGCCGTGTGACATAAAGAACAAAATATTCTTCAGAAGTGTGGGGTTTATGAAAAAAAATAACAAATGACCAACAAAAAGTGTCGTTGAATCACTTTTAAAATAAAAATAAAATAATTTCTCCAATAAATCAAAAAGCCAATTTGAGCCCAGGAAGCACAGCAGTTCTTGGTCGCATTGCTCTCATATTTTATTTGCAATTTTGTCGTATGAATAGTTACAATTAATTGACACTTGAAAAGGTAGAAAATATGAGATTAAAATCATGAATTCGCGAACTTTGACCCAGACTCGATAAAAATTGTCACAAAATACAACTTGTATCAACATTTCCATTTAAGACGTTCTGTACTATCAACGACACACATATGCCGGAAGTTAATTGTTGAGGCGTTGCGGGCTGATTACGTACGAAATTCCATATTGCCATAGAAATTGGGCGGGTTAACTTATCTGCGGGATTGGATGAAACTGTATAAAAGCGAAAATGATATAGTTGTTTGCAAGGATGATCTTTCGTCGTTCACGGGGGTTCGGAGTTTTATGTAGATTTTTGAGTGACGCTTCCACTTAGCAAACAATTTTATAGAAATGGCCCATGTCAAAAAATGGTTAACAATGTATTTGGTCGTTGCTTTGATTTTTGTGTCGGCGATTTTTATTGCGCTGCAAAATATAAGTGAATCTTAAGGAGCAGGTGGATTCGGCCTGGCGAATAAAATACTGAAAAGAACATCTTTAAGTCCCATATCGAATTCCTGTATGTACTTAATCTTAATGCAGTTACTGTTACTATTCTTGGGATTTTTACCTTTTATTGCTATTGAACTTATGAATATCTTTTGTTATTATTGCCTTCGAAGTACCTATCATGTGTCGTCCGATTTTCATGGTCGTTCCGATGTCAGTGATGATGATGATGTTCAAGGGAACAAGGAAGTAAGTGACGATGATCTGGGATGGTATGTAGAAAACTCAACCATGTCATATACATTTTGTATACGTAAGCAAGAGAATGAGGTGGGATGTGACGTGCTGTTTTTGCTCTCAGCCTCTCATAAGTTTTAATGCTTCAATGTACCGATGTACCGATGCAAATGGTCATAAGCCCCTAGACCGATAATAATTCGGTATGTATATTTTTTCGTCCATTTTCATTCCAAAAATACTGTATTCCTTTGAATGTGTTTAAAAGCTTGATACATATAATTTTAACTTGTTCGGTACTTTGTCCAAATTTAAATAAAAACAAACATTAGTCCGAAAATTTGTAACAGTGTATCGACAAAGAGCCTGTTTTACAGGAAAAAAGCTAAAATTTATTGATATCGTAACTTACACGGTAGAACATCGATCTATTGAAATTTCATGGAAAACTAATTAAATTGAAATTTCATGGAATTATTGTCAAATTCGAAATAGAGGAAATTTCAAAATTTTCATAAAAATGTTCATTTTTAGCAATCGTACTTAAAGACTTTTTTAAGCTTACCTTACTTGGCCGAAAGTTAGGCTTTGTACAATGTACAAGCATATGACTGTATGTGAAAATGGAATACAAGGACATTGAAACTGGAAAACCAATTGATGAACGTGAACATAGAGCGATGGATAGAGAAAAGAAAATGTACATTGCGTAAGTGTATTGCAAAAGTCATAACGACGGCGGCAGCAACGACGATGGTATTGTGGAGCACGATGACGACAGCAAAGACGAACATTTACGAAATACAAAATTCCGTTCGAAAGCGTTCGGTTGTCGGTACATGGAGTCGATGATACGAACGCACTTGTTGTTGTTTTCAATTTAATTTCGTGTTCTGGTTCATTTATTCACAGTGAATCGGATCCACATCGGTTTCTTCACACCAGCATTTATTTTCTGTCTCTCCTTCTAACACAAACACACATGTTTGAAAATACGGCAATGTGTGTATGAGTATGTACAAGTAAAAATTGATGAATAAAAGGGAAAAAAATTCATTCAGAATGTGTAGGCGTTCGAGGGATGATGAACAACCATTTAGAAGCAGCGTGATGTGGCGTCAGAGACGAAATTTCATTCTATAAAATGACTGAATCAGCAAGCATTGCACGTCACTCTATTCGTGGCTTTACTGCTATTCACATCGATATTCGACAGAGAAAACTAAAAACAACAACAAATCAACGGCGAACAAAATAAACAACAACCGATCACATCCATTGAAGAATCCAAAGGAAAATATATATATATGGGGCTATGCAAGTGATTTTTCACGTTGTTTAAGTGATTTATAAATAAATCGAGCAAGTTTTTGAAATTTTGTATTAATTAGGTGCATGTGAAAACGCATTAAAACATTTCTATGAGTGTGTCTCTATGGCAATTAAACTTAACATTCCATTTGTGCTTAAAGTTTCTGAACTGAGTTCACTTGAAGTGGTGCATCAAACGGTTTTTCATTTTGTATGTAAAATTATCATTAGGGAGTGAAAACGAAAAGTGATAGACTCCGAATTTAGATAGCAACAGTTATAATACAACATCATAGCGAGGGTTTTGCTATACAAACAAACAATAAAACAAATAACATAAATAAATGATCGAAAAATTTGCAGTGAACAAAGAAAAACGGCATTAGAAGTAAAGCAAATAACAAATAGCACCCACACACGAAGCATAACGATCAACCGACTGGATATTTAATATTATTTCTTTATTCCGAATAAGGAAACTTGGGTAAGTGTTGGATTTTATGTGTTTGACCCTTTAATTTGAACTTTGATATTTGCGCTCAATATTTACATAAGATTATTCAAGTAAAGAACTAGAGACGATTGAGAATCAGTCGGAGAAATAAGAACCGATTTGCGAATGGAAACCATACACATTCTCGGTTTGATCATGTCTCATAAGGTTTCTCTTCCAATCAGTCGAATGGCTTTTTTTCTTGGTCCTTTACTCTTTTGATGGGATATTCAAGTATTTGCTAAAAGTCTTCAAACCATTTTATTTTGGATTTACTGAGAATGATAGAGAATAAGAAATGATTAGGTAGTAATTATATATCCTTGTGTAAAATAGTTAATTGATGTTTTATTGAATATTTTCGAAACATTTTTGATTAAATTGTAATCAATGTTGAGGGCAAATTATGGTGATACAAAATTTGGTTCTTTTGTTTGAAAATCGTCTCAAACTGTTGGTGACACGAAAGTGACAATATTTCCAACATATTTAAAAATAAGCGAAATTCCGAAAAGACAGTGAATTAAGCGGAAATTATCATTCTCTCCCGTCCAAATATACTTATTTATTTTTGAGTGGAGAAATCAACTGAAAAAGCTTTCCAAAAATACGCAATCAAATTTGTTACGGTTTTAACAAATGATCTTGATTTGCTGTCTCCATGGCAAAAACATAGAACGGTATGACATAATGCTAAGCCCACCGTGTAATTCTTCGAAGTACGAGCATTTCAAATAATTTTCATAATGATCCACTTGACATTTTACTTTTACACAACTAACACATAACAAATCTACATGAATCTTCCTCAAAACAGACAGAAAGGTGAAGTATGTTTGAACTAGGCATGATTATCATAAGCTTTAAATAGCTTAAATAATGCATATTTTTTTAGTTAATATTTGTTTTACATTAGTCGTTAAAATATGAAAACCAAATTGCACATCATGTTGATGGAAATTCCTCTTTATATTCAATATTCAAACGTGAATTTGTTGTTATTGCGTAAGAACCTGACGAGGAGAATGAACCTGTTGTTAAAAAATGGGTCAATTCAATCGAACAAAAAGTGCAGCACTCTTCAAAATGAACTATTTTGTACAAACTGACTGTATTAGGCTGTATATATACACACAGAAAATTGTGTATACCCCATCGCACTGCACAAATACACTGTCTAGATACATGAAAAATGCTATATAGACCTATGGTATGGAAATAAAATTTGAATGAGATTAAAATGTAATGTTGTTGCGATATGGATTTTAAAAGGGTCGTGAATGTTGGAACGTGAAGCAGATGATGTTGGCGCAATGGCAAATCTTTTTACCTCATTGTGAAACGACTGTCGATTTACACGAAATCTTTAAATTCATAATGATACTTTGTATCAATGCGTTTGATTTTTTTTTTGAACATTTGGTCTGGCATTTTTATGTCTGAATTTGGCTTAAAATGTCATTTTCGAATCGAACTGAAGTGATTCAAAATTACACTTGAAAAAATGAAAATGCTTGTGTTAACAAACATAGAAATTCGTCTCCATGACAATATTTTCCTTTTATTTTACAAAAAAAAGAGATTGGTAATAATAACAAGCTGTTTGATTTTTACCTGGAAACAATTAAAAAAAGAGCACACAAACAGCTAAAAATATATGCTTTGTTGTCTGACATTATATTGAGTTATTTTCAGGCAGCTGAGATTCAGCTCAGGAAGCAAACGGCAGGCGCTGAAATGGAGTGAAAACAATAGAAGTGATTGTTATGGTTATAAAAACACTATAACAATCACTACCTGAAAATATCTCAATATAACGTCTATTTGTTGTAATGAAAATACTGATGCGTCACATTTAGTTCACATGAAGAAAAGCACCAAAAATATAACACGCATTTTGTCACGTGTCACTTTTGAATAGTACATTAAATAATATTGACCCCCTATCCACTAAACTATTTTTAGCCATACGATTAACCCCAAATCGACACAAATAAAATACATATGCATGTTTTGGAATAGTTTTTATACAGCGGTGTGTTGTTGGCGAGTGTTCTAGCGCGTATATTTAGATAGCCATCTCGCATGGAAACTTCCAAACGTCTGTCTAATGTGGAGTCTATTTTATGCACGCTATATGTATTGTATTTCAATCAAATTTTTAATTGACAAACCATACATACAAAATTGATAAACAGCTTGATGATGATATAAGTACAGACATCGCCCAAATAAATATACTAACAAAATTCATATGTGCGCAATTTGTTTACCGATTTTTGGTCATGGGCGTAAACAAGAATGGTTACTTAATTTGACGTTATCTGCGGGTCCAACATACATATTTCAACGCCAAAAATCATTTGACGAATTTCAATATGGTTAATATTCATTTTGCTGCAATGTAATGTGATAACAATTTAAAGCTCTGGAAAATTCAATGGAAATGATTGATTTGGAATGATGAAAGCCAATTCCTGAACATTTCAAATGCCACGTATTTTTTATAAATCTATATTGTTCTTAATTGGAGCTTCCTCTTCAGTTTTAACTTAGGCGTTATTTTGGCATTTTTCATCTTTGATTTGTTCTCAATTCACCCTCGTTAAAAGAGCCTCACCTTCTTGCACAATTCCTCAGTATTTAATTCGTAATATTACCAATTAAAAGATTCATTCTCCAATAATAATTTTTTTTTTACGTAAATATATATCTAATTGGCATAGATATGCCGTATATTGTGAAGTGTACAATAACATCCAATAAACACGTAGATATGTATGTAGACGTATATATCATCACAACACAGTGTTTCAATACATTTATTGTACATTGTATGGGCGATGCAGCATAAGCTTACAAGCTATAAAAATGCTAAAAATAGAATGAAGCCAGTGAATGAAAACAAAACAAAAGCTGCGAGTGTGCGACGACTGTGATAACGACAATGGCGACGGAAAATACATACCGAAAGAGAGACGGAGAGGAAGCGAATAAGCAGTAAAGCGAGAAAACAAACTGCCAAGAATATAAACGTTTAAAGAATGGCAACACATGCAAGTGGCAGCAACAACAGCAGCAACGTCAGCACGATACACAAAAAAAAATGGTAATTTTTAGTGACGCCACTGTAACTACCAACAAGTATCCTTCTACGAAAATTCTCTCGTGCTGATTCCATTAACCACGAAACTGTATTGTATATGTATATATACGGGGTGCGAAAAGAGTGTGTGTATCAGTTCGGTTTTCCGCAGAAGACGTGCAAATTTTCGCCTTTGAATTAGGTAATTCAATCCATGTTGACTGCCACATGGAAATTCACAGTTCTTCTGTGGTACGGTAAAAGAGAGAAAAAAAAGCACTAAGATTATATGAAAAACTGTAGGAAAAAGCGGTAGCAGTGAACGTGTTCACGCCAACGTTTTTGTCTGTATGCATTGAGCAGCAACATCAACTGCAGCTAGCCTTGTCTTAGCTAACGCCTCCGCAAACGAATTTATTCTGGAAAAATGAATGAAAACACATACATAGATGTGTGAATTCGTGCGAACACATACACAAAAGGAAAATTACTTCAAACAAAAGGAATGACTACATTAAACTGGAAAGAATATCTTAATTAATTTCATTTCTTGTTCTTTTTATTACCTTATTGTGCACCGAATTTGAGAATATTACATTTTTTTTTTTCGAACAATTGAATGAAATCCTTGAAATTACCGGTTAAAGTGGTGGTTAATCAGAAAAAAATTATCCTACGCTTCGAATTCAGTGAATGAAATCGCTTGTACGGATACTTCGGTTATTACGTCATCGGTCTTCACACAGAAGGCATGATACGGAGCGTGGAGGAGAGAGACAGAAAGAGATAGAGAATAATCATTCAATATTTGGATGTATAGATATGATCGCTTAGTAAAAATACTATGCAATTCTATGTCATGATAAAATAGACAAAATAAACAAATAGACAAAGAATATTCGATTCGAAAAGGTTTTTTTTTTTTCACAGAAACCATTTAAAAAGATTGCAGATATCGCGTTCATCGTCCGTTTTATTTATAAGAAGTAAAATGATTTTTCCACTTTTAGCTACCACAGTGACTTCGACAGAATCACTTAGGCAAGTTCATAGTTCTGAATGAATGAATGAAATTTGTAAATTCAAATCTGTTTTGGTCAATGGGATTTAACTGGCATCATCACCATATTATAAATCATTTTTTCATTGCATCATACAATATTTTTAGTTCCAAAAACGGAGTATGTTTATGAAAATAAAATGTCTTTTAGTTTTTACTTGCCGGTTTATTAATTCGATTAGTCCATTAAGCAAAGAGAAGTATCCCTAAAGAACATGTATCTTTTACACATTAACATGCCATATGGTAAAGTTTTTGGCCGCGTACTGTACTGTACATATTCCATGCCGTGTACACGTTATTCATTTTACGTCGTATTCACTGTGATTGTTGCATTCATACATTTATTGCAAGCGGCGCCAGAATGGTTGAAAAACTATTTGAAAAAGTTTCGGAATCTACTGGCATTACACATATTGTTGACGTTGATATTTTTAGCATTACAACTACATATACAAAATCGTCATACAATTGTACAAATCCCATGTTGCACACAAAAAGCTTTTCTGCCTCTATCTCATTCATTCCAAAATATATTTATATATCCAAATAGTCGAAAAATGTTTGGTGTAATATTCACAATTCTTTTCTCTATTGCTCTTGAAGTGTATAAAGTTTGATGTGCTCGCTTGTGTTTATTCTTAAGTATATACATGCTTGGCGCTTAGATAGCGATATATATATACATAAATTTATACATCCGAAATGGATGCTTTCAATAGTTAACAAATAGCTATTGCTTATAGATCATCCTTACACATGAAATCTCTGTGAACAAGCTGAGCTATTATATAACATTATTGATATAACCATGGTTAAGTGCCACCGAATGAGCAGTGATGACGTACGAATTTTCCCAGAAAACCATGCCGTGGAAAAAGCGAGCGCATTGTTGTAGCGCACACACCCACGCACCGTTTAGATGTATTGAAAATATGGTTACATGATACATGGATACAGCTTTGTGTTAACTAAACTATATGGCGAAGCAGCAACCCACTCGAAAACATTCAATTGTCAATTAAAATATACATGTTGGATAATGTTAACTGTTCGAACCATTCTCGGTCGCCTACGCACAACGGTTTTTTCGTGCATACTGCATGATAAGTAGCAGAGAAATAGGGGCTGTTTTTACCATTCATGAAAATTCGAGATAACAAAACACTTCGAATTTAGAAACTTAGACACGAATCATGATGTCGCTTTGTACACTGTCATTTTTCGAGTTGTTACGTGCGATTATTTGAATTTCAATACGTTTGAAGCTTATGGTTCGATCCAAACAGAAATTTTAATTAAAGTAATTTTGAAATAAATTGCATTTCTAATCAAAAAATGAGATTTATTGTAATGCAAATTGTAATTGATTTATAGATCGTGCGTATTTTCGCGAAGCGATAAAATTGAATTAGTTTAATTGCAATTACAAATGTAGGTTAATCTCACATATTGGCACGTATAGGCGGTATTTGAATGGAAATGGGAATTAAATGGTACCAGATTTATTAACCTTAATTGCAGATAGAGTTACATCATCATCACCAAAATCGTAATCTAATCAATAATCTATTTTTCTTTCATTATTGCTTCTCTAGAGATCTGACAGAAGAAAAACAAAAACAAAACACCTAATCACCATGCTGACACAAACATCACACATATTAATTATGGTTCTAGTGGCCATTCTCTTGCCATCGGTATTTTCATACTCAATTTATGGCATTAAAACCAATCGACGCTCGTCACGCGCCAACACAAACGCCAATAATAATCCATCATTTTCGGCTGATTCGCAGCAGCAACAACGATTCGATCAGTCGGGCTATCGTTCACCATCATCACCATCATCATCATATTATAGCAACTATGATTCATTGTATGATTCGGGACCTGTTGCTGATAGTTATTATGTGGACGATGATAGTGATGCCAATCGTCCAGAGCGAGAGTATTTCTATGGTAGACCAACATATCATGGTGAATACAAACCCACACGATACTATTATGCTCGTGCACCATATTACAATTATTATAATGACCATTCCGAATCAACAAATCCATTGGACGATTTACATGAAGAAATGATACAAGAAGAACATGAACGTCAACGAAATTGGCCAACGGGTAAAACAAATTGGTTCCAAAATACTGGACAACCAAAAAGTTTGACAACCAACAATTTCATGAAAAATCTTATGCTCTACAATAATGGTGTTAATGTGGATGAACAACAACAACAACAACCGCAGCAACAACCAATTGATGTGGCCAATTCGTATGACGATGATGATGTTGTAGAAAGTCCGTATTTTAGTGATATTACCAATGATCAAAATGAACCATACGATTATTTTGATCCATTGAAATTCCAATCGCAACAATACAATCAATTCGTTGATTCGACATCAAATAAGCCCACGTATTTCAATCAAAATAACCGCAAGGAAACAACCAGTAATTATTATAAATCAAATGTGAATCGCAAACAAAATGACTATGATGATGGCTGGCGGCGTCAAAACCAAAAACAAGAACAATCGAAACATGAAGATAAAGAAGAAAAAGATCTCGAATCGCTACGAAAACCGTCGGTGAAAACACTATGGAATAACGGCATAAACGATGCGGAAAAACACATAATGGTCAACGATGCAAACCATTTTGAGGCGAACAGCAAACATGATGACAGTTACAATGGTGGATATGACAATGGTGGTTTTGATTATGACGATGATGAATGGATCAATTGGGATCGAAAACGTAGCCTACCAAAAAAACAAAATGAAAATCTTCGACCATTGAAAGTGCTGGAATTCCAATTGACGAAAGCATTACAGGACCAACTAAGTGGAAAAGCATTAAAACAAACACCGACAATAACTGTACCACCCACGACCACCACATCAAGGTATGTAAGGGTGTCATAACCACAACCACGCACAACATTTATTGCCCATTTCAATCAATCTCATTGTTCATTTGTTTACTTTCAAACGCTTAGCAGCAGCAGCAGCAGCAGCATTACCGCCCACGAGCATAAAGGTCAAAAAGAAGAGGTGCTTTCTCGGCCGGCAACACCACTTCGTCACCATTTTTCCGATTCGGTTCTAGAGGCTATTACAAAAACAACAAACGAGATGAAGCAATCCAATCAGGTAAATACAATTTCCGCAGCCCGGCTGTGTCAACCCTTTTTATATTAAAACCTAATTTTCCATTTATGTGTGTGTAACGTTAATCTAGGATAATAGTGCTAAATACGATGGAAACAAAGATGATGCTCCAAAACAACTGAAAAAGTTGGCGGGAAAAAAACATAAACGCTTTGTATCGAGTGAAACATCACTTGAACAACAATTAAATGGTTTGAAGCGAAAAATCAAGGCATAAATGAAACAAACAAACAAAAAGGCTATACACTGGAATTTGCGTCGCAACTACTACTTTGATGTTCAAAAGGAAAAGGCGCGAGAGAAAAAGAACTAAAGTGTTTAAAAGACATAAACATTTAATCAATACGAGAAGAAAAAATTTAAATAAAATATCATATATAAAATATAAAATTGAAACAACCTGAATGAATGACAGGAAAGGGAAAAAAAACCTACATCCGTATCGAATATTTTTTTATAGAGGAATACAAAAAAAAATTGATATATTTTTCTAATTTTAATCGATATGTGCTCATTTCAAATTAATAATGTAATGGCATCAAAGAAAACAAAAAAAAATAAAGATTAAAAACCATTCGAACTTCCATATGGGGTGGAAAAAAGTATGCAAAAAACTTCTTAAATTCGTTATGTATGAATGTCGAATAAAAATGTCACATAAATGATGTTCACACAATGAATTGATAAATCAGATATGGTGGAAATGCATTCGATATATTAAAATGGCCAACATTTTAAGAAAACTGTACTACTCAATTGTGCATGGGATATAGTAGCTGTAGATATGTGTAAATTTCATAAATAAAATAACAATACTAATCGTAATCAAGACTGAAATGTAAATATATATTTAAAGCAAAAGAAAAAAAAACAAAAAAAAAAAATGAAAACCGATGACAAAACTCAGAAACTCTTTAACCATGAAATTTCGTTAATTTTTTTTTGCTGCGGAAAAATTTTCTTTCACTTATATTTTATGTTGTCATTTTAACATGAATGCTCAAAAACTTTTTTCCAAGCATTATTTCTTCATTATATTATATCTTTTACAAAATATACAATGAATTTTACCTAATCTAGCTCTTAATTTTTGTTCATCGCGCTTTGTACAAAATGAATTTCTTCAAACTATATTAAATACTTGTGTGATATTTTTAAACGTAGTTATTTCAATTTGAAATTTTATGAAATTGTATTCTGATTTAATTTTTTTTGTTTGTTTTTCATTCCACTCTGTCCCCTTCAAAAACTTGAAAGTTGAACGAGAAAGAAAAATTCCGTAAACTTTTGCTACAAGAGTTTTTTTTTTGTTGCATTTTATTTTTACACAATGCAATTAACCAGTGTGTTCATAATATATAGAAATAGCACTAAATAGTGTCGATATCTACACTATATCGGTGCACTATATATGGAAGATATTGCCGCACGGCACCGTATCGCCCGATCGAAGTGAGTGCGGACGGTAAAAATCACAAGTTGCCGTTCGGCAGTAGAAAGAACTGTGTGTATGCGTCAACATGTTTGCCGTCCGCACTCACTTCGATCGTGAGTTACGGTGTCTTGCGGAAATATCTTCCATATATAGTGCACCGATATAGTATAGATATCGACACTATTTAGTGCTATTTCTATATGTTATGGACACACTGCAATTAACATACTATTTTTCATCTTATGATAAACAATAATAAACAATAAAAAACAATAAAACGAGAAACATAATATGCATTAGATGAAAAAAACACAATTTAAAATAGAAAACCGATTTTGAAGCGGCTCTGATTAATTCTCAAAAAAAAAAAAAACAAATAACCAATGTTACTCATGTCTAAATGTCTAAGCCGTATCCGATAAGTAAAAATGTATCCGTAACCACAAAAACCGTTTGGATACAGTATCGGATGCAGTTTATCTGAAAAAAACAGATTATCCGTTGTAGACCTCTATTAGACACTGGAACTATATGCAACTATTGTGTTTATACCAAGAAAATGAATGTAGAATAACATGGTTTACAATCCAAAAATTATCCATAAATCATAGCTACTGGACACATGAAGCAAATAAAATAATTAACTGGCCTATCTATATGGAAAATATTAACGATACAATTTGAAATTGGAGTCGCCTACAAAACATCGTTAATCACGAATGCAAACATATATAAAATGAATTATTCAAATTATTTATTAATTTTTCAAATTGTTTCTAACACATTTAAGATAAATGTTCATTTTTGAACAAAATTCATTTCAATTCAATGCAACTTTTTTACTTTTTCTTCTTTTTTTCTCATGCATATGGAAAATTCATTCAATTATAATGAAAAATTATTCACATCCTCTTTCATTCACTATTTAAATTTAAGTCGTTCACTTTTTACCAATCCACACACACACACATGAAACATAAAGCCTAATTTTTCATAATGCAATGGGAAAAATCCAAGAAAATACAAAAAAAAAAACAAAAATTTCAATTAAATCATACACAAAATTATATTTAGAAAAAAAATTAAAATTGGAACACTTTTCCACCATCATTGTAATTGTGCTAAAAAGAAAACTTTTTTATTACATTTTATAATCACGTGCGTTTAAGCAAAAAAAAAATATTTTTTGCATGATACATGAAAAAAAAACCACTACACATACAATTTTTATGTAACTTATAAACAAAACAAAAAAAAACTGATACTAAAATTAATCATGTGTAAATTTATGAATTGGACTACTTTTTTGTAAAGGAAATGGGATCTTATAGAAGACGAGACAAAAAATACCTAAAAAGTTCCAAATATTTTACACATTCACAAAATTAAAGAAAAAAAAAATTAAGGTATGAAGATAGAGTATGGGATAAAAAATTTCATGGTTGTACACAGTTTCAGAGACCCACGCAAATATTGTATGTATATTTTATGTGAAACAAACAGCTTGAACCAAACACAATTCATTTTATCTATCTAAATGAAGACTATATCCATTGAAATATGAAATAGAAGACATTTACTATATATAGTAAGTAATAAATTAATAAAGCTTCTACGTACAGTACATATCTATCGACAACAACAAACGATGATTTAATTTTGAGTCAATAAAAATTTGAAAAATTAAATCGCAAAATATGTGTTACCAAATCAAATCTGTGTTTTCATTTTTCTCTTGTTTAATTTTCAATAAATTTGTATTCTTTTGGATTTGAACAATTTTTGGCGCCATAAACGTTCAACTTATACTCATACAACAGCGGCAATACCAATTCGCAAACCGATAATAAACGACATTTCAGCTGTCATCGATAGATGTCGCTCTGCGGAACAATACGGCAAATTGTCAAGAAGCGAATAACAAGCGTTCATTTTTTATTAGTACGGCATATAACATATAGTGACGAAATCCATTTCCATTCGGTAATTTCTTTTTCGTAGCAAATAAAAAAGAAACAAATAACAATGTCTGATAGTAATCAAGAGGAAACGCAGTCAGAGTTTATGACTGTGACTGGTGTGGCGGCAGATCGTGCAAAATTTTATTTGGAATCGGCCAATTGGAATTTGCAGGTAAATCTAATATCAATGTATTGTCGGTGTGTTCATAAAGTGCAAGTCAGTGCACTGTCATTCATAGGCATTTGATCACAAATTTATTGTTTTTTCAAACAAAATATTCATATTCGATTTGGAATTTGCTTTGCAAAATAAAACTTCAAAAAATTATAAATCAATGGAAATGTTTGCTTTTCATTAAATTTCAGTTGGCATTGTCAAGCTATTATGAAGGTGATCAAGATCCAGATGTGGATTTGGATGAAGATGTTGAACCGTCATCAGTGTCACAGCCGCAGGCACCAACATCGTTGTTTGGTGCAAGCAATGACAAAAGCAACAACGATGCAAAGAACAAAGCTAAAAACAAATACAATGTCGGTGGTGCACGCATTGTCACGTTAAACAACATGGCATCCGATGATGATGAGGATGAAGAGAATACTGGTCAGGTTCGTTTGAATTCCAAATAGTAAATAAAATATTTTTTGGGTGTGTCATTTGAAAATTAATCATTTTTTTAAGGCATTTTATGCCGGTGGATCGGACTCATCTGGACAACAAGTTTTGGGACCGCCACGAAAGACTAACAAAGACTTTGTATCAAACATTTTTAAATCAGCCAAAGAAAGCGGCGCTGAAGTGGTTGAAAATCCACAACCCAACCGACCCAGCGGCAGTCGTGGGTAAGAGTTTTCCATTAGATTTGAAAACATAAACAATTTAACACAAAAAAAAATTATCTTATTAATTGAATCCAGGTTTGCTGGTGCTGGTTATCGATTGGGCCAAACAAACGATGATCATGTCTTATTGGCAAATACATCGTCATCACGTTCGACTGAAAGTTTGAATCCAATTATTCTACGCCTTTGGCGTCAGGGCTTCACAATCAATGACAGTGAACTTCGATTGTACGAAGATCAGAAAAATAGAGAATTCTTGGAATACATTACAAAAGGGTAAGCACAGACCATAATTGTTTTAAATAAACCACATGACCATAGCTGTTTTATTTAGAGAGTTGCCACCCGAATTACGACAACAAGGCAATATGGTTCCAGTTAACATGGAAGATCACCGACATGAAGATTTTAAACAATCCAAAATGAAACCGTTCTTCGGTAAAGGCCATACACTTGGCAGGTAAATAAAAAGCAACATTAATCCAACAGAAATTCCATCTCGAACATTTGAAAATCCATTGAAATCTCTCGTCCTGTTTAGCCCGACACCAAACATTAACGATGGATCGACATCAATTGCATTAGCACCACCAAGTGCCAGCCAAAATGAAGAAAATGAAAAGAAGTGGGTTAATCGATAAATTGATAAATTTATTGATTTTTAATCAATATAATTCCATTCAGACAAATGAAACAGAGAAAAATGAATGGTGACATCAACATTTTTTCTCCGTTCAATTTCTCTGATTGTGAGAATCTGAGAGTATGGAATAAAACAATATTGCATACATTTTTTCAGGGCTAACGAAGAACTGAAATTGGATTCGGCACAGCCGACCACATCGATACAAATACGATTAGCCGATGGTAGTCGTTTATCGGGACGTTTTAATTTATCACATACAATAAATGATTTACGAACATATGTTGTAAAGTAAGTTATCATCATTTATTTCAACACCAATTGCCATGAGTTAAGAGTTTAATTTTCCATTTTCAGTGCTCGGCCACAATATGCTTCACAAACGTTTGCATTGTTGACCACTTTCCCAAGCAAAGAACTCAACGATGAGGCGCAAACAATTGAAAAAGCTGGTCTGTCAAATGCGGCCATCATGCAACGTTTGAAGTAGATACCGTACATACAAACACAAAAAAAATCAAAATGCAATTTATCTCCGGCATTCAAGAAATGAACACAATATAATTGGAATGGAAATCGCTCAACATTTCCAAATGATTTATATCGCCAATAATCCAGATACAAAAAGACAGGCAGACACACATACAATACAATTAACTCGTTCTAAGAATCTTCATTACGCTGCAAAGTCAAAACTGAAAAAGAAATAATTTAAATTGAAAACAATAAACAGAATGAGAAAAATTCTTAAAATGCCTTTGTTTTTTTTCTTAAAATGTGTGTTATTTGCAGTTAAATTGCAACAATTGCGTAAATCTTGGATATCATCATATTAACTTGTTTATAATGACCGTACTGAGATAGATTTTAAATACAACAAAAAAAAAACTTGCAATCAAGTTATAGTTAAATGACATAAATGAGTTATTTCCATAAGATTGAATGAATGCTGTGTTTTACGATTTACGAAAAAATTTACTTTTATTACTTTTCTTATGAAATCGCTGAAGTCGCCCAATAGATTTGACAACTTGTTTTTTTTTTTAAATTCAGACGATAACGCAAGTGCTCTAAAAAATAGAGCATTTTAAGTGCTCTAAATTCGTCAACATGAAGTTCATATTTGGAAACCACTTCAAAATTCCTGCGCAATTTTTCTAGATTCAATTTACAACAGTGTGAAATTTTTTTTTTCTCAATATGATTTTATGGGAATTCAAAAGCATTTTCTCATGAATTCTTCGAGGATTTGAAATTATACTTTCAAGTGTTTTGTGTAAGTATATGGTGTTATCTCTGGAGTGTTTCCAATCTCACGACCATATATAAGGTGTAGAGTGCAATCAACTCGATGGTAGTGTGTTCAGAAAAATGGCACGGCTTATATTTTTCATTCTCTTCGCAATTTTAAATTGCCTGAATATATCAGCGTTAACACCGGTCAAATATCAATATTTAGACAATTTTGAATATGAAATTGATCAAATAAATTATCGATTGCCAAACAATACAAAGCCAGAAGCATATAATGTATTTTTAAGAACGGACGTAGCCAATGGCAATTTTGAGTTTTTTGGTTCCGTTAAAATCACCATACGGGTGCTTCAAACAAGCAATGAAATAACATTACATCAGCGTCAATTGAACATAACTAATATTGAATTGGAGCAAAGTGATGGTGAAACTATTCCAGTTTTGGGAAGTGAATACGATAAAAAAACCGAATTTTTTACAATCTCAACGGCCAATGATGCACTCAAGCAAGGATCAAAATTATATTTGTATATCGAATATGAAGGAGTGTTGAGAGAAGATTCGGCCGGATTCTATCGATCGTCATACGCCAATGAAGATGGCAAGGAAATGTATTAAAAATATACCGTATTCGATTGAAAAGACTCTACAAATGACACTTTCTTTCAACAGATGGCTTGCCACTACTCAATTCGAATCAACTGATGCTCGCCACGCATTTCCGTGCTATGACGAACCATCTTTAAAGGCAACTTTTGATATTGATATTGAACACAACTCTGAATATACAGCAATTTCAAATATGCCAGAAAAACGCCAAGAAAAGTATTGAGTTTTGATTTTTAATTTGTTCAAAAATTACGGTAAACATTTTTTTTTTTTGCTTATGCAGACGTGGAGAACGTACAATAACATATTTTGAACAAACACCACCTACATCGACTTACTTGATAGCATTTATTGTTTCGGATTTTGCGTTCAAAGAAAAATCCGATCAGCATGGATTTAAATATCGGGTATATTTTATTTTATATTTGACGATTTTTCCATTTTTTCCATCATCTGTTGAATTAATGGAAAATAATCCAATCCCTATAGGTATTTGTAAAACCACATGAAATCGAAACGACAAATTTTGCATTAGCCGATAGTGATAAAATATTAAATGCAATCAGTGAATATGTACAAGTTAATTTCACATTACCGAAAATGGATCAAGCAGCAATCCCTGATTTCAGAGCTGGAGGTACGAATTTCCCAAATTTCAAATATATACCACTAAAATGATGATAAATTTTATATTTTTAAACTTTTTATGGATTGATTTTGCAGCTATGGAGAATTGGGGCTTGGTAAGAGTTTTGACTATATTGTTTTATGATTAATCACACTGTCCTAGTTAAAACAAACGACAGAGACGGGACTAGTCATTCTTACTTAATTCGGGGCCAAGAAATCCAATGGTGCTAGCCATTTTGCTTGGTTGGCTCCAGACTTCATACAAATTTTTCTGAAAAATGATATGTTGACTAATCGATTTTTGTGAAAATCGGTATTGGGGGGTTTTTTGGCACGAGAAAACCGAATTTTGCATCCATTTTGCGATACGATAATATTTGGATACACTTTCCGTACAAAAAATCGAAAAAATCACCGAAAATGAAAATCACATGAATGACTGGTAATCATCTTAAAATATACAATTGTATCAGCATCCGATCGATTCAGTTGAAAAAATTATAATTTTTCTCTCAAAAATTCATTACATTTTGTGTTTTTCCAAATATATCATAGAAATTAGCTTTGATTAATTAATATTTTTTTTTTAATCAACAAACTCCATTCATTTACAATCAATTTCATATGTTTATTTAACTTCTTTAAACAAATGTTGTGGTTTTATCAAAAATGAATGAAATTAAATTCAGTTTTCGTCTTCATCGTTTGGTTCCATTTGTAAGTTCCAGCAGAGGTCAGCAAGCAACGAATTTAGTTTCTTGCCACTATACCAGTGTTCAAGTTGAGCGGTCACCTGATGAAACCGTTCACCGTGTTCATCAGATTCAGTAGAGGCTTGAATCTCTAATTTATCTTGATGATGGTGTAGAAAGTGTATTTTTAGAGACATGGTGACGCCTAAAATGTCAAATGAATCAAGCATGTTGTCGGTCAAGGTGCGCCAATTTTGTGCACGGTGAATACCGAGTACACCTTCGATAAAAGCTTTCAAATTATCCCAAGCTACACCTTCTTCTTCCATCAGACATTGTTCGAATTGAGCATCCTTCGTTAATTTCCGGATATCTGGTCCGTTTAACACACCTGAGCCAAAAAAGACACAAAAAAGCGTGATTTCAATAAACATGTTATCATTTTGTACAAAAAATGTTTACCCTCTTTAATTTTCGCTTTGCTCAATCGAGGAAAAATTTGTATCAATCGTTGAAATGCTTGTTCATTATTTCTCTTTACCAAGGCTTTGATGAAATTCTTGACAATGCCCAATTTGATATGCAGCGGTGCCAGTAGCACTTTTTCCATTGGAATAAGTGGCTCATATCTCACGTTTTGACGTCCAATTTGATAGGTATGTCGGGGTGGCCAGTCCCGTTTTTCGTACTGGTTTGGGTGCCGAGTATCCCATTGGCATAGGAAGCACATGTACTTGGGATATCCTCTATGTGGTAAACCACGCAACAACGCAACCACTTTCAGATCGGCGCACACTTTCCATAGATGCTCGTCGTATTTTATGGCATCAATTATTTTTTGCATCGATTCTTTTGATTCCTCAGTTTTGGTGCTGATTGCAAGCGGAATCGGGCTCTTTGTGTTGTCAATATACAGAAGAACCGCTTTCAAACTGCTTTTCGATGCATCAATGAAAAGCCGCCATTCTACTGCATTATATTCATAGCCCATTGCTGTCATCAAACCACGAATATTATTACAATATGCGAATGTATTTTCATCATTCCGATCGAAAAACTTCATAAATTCTCGTTGTCTTCCACGAGCGCCATACACCTTTACACCTGGAGCCAAAATATTCAATGCTTTGAGATGTTGTGTTAACATAATTTGACGTTCTTGTGATAATTTCAATTGACGTGCCATGATATCCAAACGATTTTGAGTACATTCAATGTGTTTACAAGGTGGTGTAACATTTGATGGCTGATGCAAAGAATATGATGATTCGGGTGCTGATTCAAATGTTGGTGGAACGTATTGTTCTCCCGGACTTGGTTTCTTCGGGATCGGAACGTGTTCAGAATGTGGCAATGGTGTTTGTGCTGATGGTACACTTTTGTATTCGAAAGTGCGTGCTTTGAATCTATTCAGGCCGGTAACATTATTCACACACACATAGCAATTAGCAGCATCATGGAATCCAGGTTCAATCCACACCATTGGAATTCCAAATGGCATACTTTCGCGCTCGCCTTTTGACCACCTTTTCAATCCATTAGTACACGATGTACAAGCAATCGATGGCACCCACTGTTCATTTCTAATCACCGGTATATTAAAATATTGTTCATATATTTTACAAATTTCATCACTTATTTTTCTTCGATTCGGCATAACAATGAATTTGCCACAAATGTAACAATAGTGATTAAAACGTTGATGGCAATCACTCATTTTTATTATGAAAACTTCAATATTATTCTACATTAAAATCAAATGCACGCAAGTACAATCAGCTTGTAAACAACGCAGAAATGTGATGACGCAATAAAATGTCAAAATGAACAATGTCAATGGAATATGTAAATTGATTCTAACACCATCTGGTGCACTTACATCGTTTCAAATTAGAGCATTAACCACAAACCACAACATTTGTTTAAAGAAGTTAAATAAACACATGAAACTGATTATAAATGAATGGAATTTATTGATTTTTAAAAAATATTAATTAATCAAAGCTAATTTCTATGATATATTTGGAAAAACACAAAATGTAATGAATTTTTGAGAGAAAAATTATAATTTTTTCAACAGAATCGATCGGATGCTGATACATTTTAAGATGATTACCACTCATTCATGTGATTTTCATTTTCGGTGATTTTTTCGATTTTTTGTACGGAAAGTGTCGGAAAGTGTATCCAAATATTATCGTATCGCAAAATGTATGCAAAATTCGATTTTCTCGTGCCAAAAAACCCCCCAATACCGATTTTCACAACATATCATTTTTCAGAATAGCCCAAAATCAAAACTTCGAAAAAAAAAAATTGTATGAAGTCATGAGCCAACCAAGCAAAATGGCTAGCACCATTGGATTTCTTGGCCCCGAATTGAGTAAGAATGACTAGTCCCGTCTCTGTCGTTTTTTTCAACTAGGACAGTGTAATATAGACAAATCTTCGAAATTTAGGTGACTTATAGGCAAGAGCTTTTATTATTCAATCCATCTATTCATTCTGAGAATAGAAAGAAAAGTATAGTTACCACAATTGCGCATGAATTTGGCCATCAAGTAAGTCGTTCATTCAATCCATCAAGTGTTTTTTAATACAAGACAATTCTCTTTATAGTGGTTTGGTAATCTCGTGTCGCCAAAATGGTATGTATGCTTTTTTCTTCATCAAAATCAGGCAATAGTTGGATATATTTTATATGTGTGTTAATTATCATAGGTGGACCTATTTATGGCTTAACGAAGGTTTTGCAACTCTGTTTCAATTCATTGCTACCAATATCGTAAGATTCACCCAATTTATTATTATTCCGAATGAAATGTGAACAGTATAAAATTGTAGGTGCATCCTGAATGGAATATAAATGAGCATTTGGTAACTAGAAACTTACAACCGGTTCTAAAACTCGATGCGAGGAATAAAACGCGTTCCATGACGTATTATGTAGAAAGTCCAAGGGGAATTCAAGGCCTATTTGACCACATTTCCTATGCAAAATGTAAAATCTGCCATAATTGCCATCAGAGACAGTTCACTTTAAAAATGTTTTTTTATCTGTATTTCATAGCTGGATCAGTTCTTCGGATGTTTTTGCATGCATTTGGTGAAAGCAGTTTTAAGAAAGGACTTAATTACTACCTTACACAAAAGTAAGTACACTAACCAGTAAACATCCCCAGTGGTTAGATTTTTTTTTTTCAAATTCCCAATTGGATGTGGTAGTGGGGTCCAAAATAACACGCTTGGCATCATTTTTTTCCCAAATTGACATGGGTTCTGGGTACGCCTCCTTGAAGTGTCAAAAATCCGAATACTTTTATTCGGCAAAGTTGTAGCCCTTGAAGAGACAAAAAAAATGGGGGTAAAAATGACTCCAGAAGTCAAGCCAGAAGTAGCCCATCATGGCAATGACAAAAATGGGGTCAAAAACCTTACAAATCCCAAAATTGACCCCATTTTTGGATTTCTCACGAAAAATTACTCTTAGAACTTAAATATCGGGTTTGTAAGGTACAAGGGTGCTCTGGGGGTTCGGGAGTTATGGTATCCAAAAATGGAATCAATTTTGGGATTTGGAAGGTTTTTGACCTCATTTTGGTCATTGTCTACCACAACCAAAAGGAAATTGAAAAAAAAACCCTAACCACTTTATGATGTTTAAGTAGCGTACAGTCGAAATTATTTTGTGCATATAACCACAACAGTCTCTGGAAATATTCAATCTAATGATGATTTCCCATTTAAAAGTGAAAATCGGTTTTTTTACCAACAATGTCAACATAGCCACTTCAATTGATGACATGATTTAATTCGCTTCTAATAATCTTCATTCTTCTTACAAACTTTAAATCGTAGATCATTGGATGTAGCCGATGAAAATGATTTATTCGAGAATTTAGATCGTGCTGTTAAAGAGGACGGTAGTTTAGATGAAAATTTGAGTGTAAAAAAGATCTTTGGATCTTGGTCAAATCAAAATGGGTTCCCATTGCTTACTGTCAACCGAAACTACCAACAAAATACGATAAAAATTTCACAAGAAAGATATTTTGATTACTATCCACACCCAGAAGCAAATTCAACATCGTATTGGATTCCATATAATTTTGATACATCCAATAATGTAAACGTCAACGACACGTCGGTAGATGGTTGGTTACCAAAAGGCATTAAATCAAAGCTTATCAAACCAAATGGAATTAAAACCTGGACAAATGACGATTGGGTGCTGTTCAATAAGCAACAAACTGGTTTTTATCGAATTATGTACGATAAAAGAAACTATCAATTGCTTTTGAAAGAGTTGAATTCGGGCGATAAAACCAAAATCCATCCATCCAGTCGGGCTCAATTACTTGATGATCTCAATGATTTTGCTTTGACACATCGATTACCAAGCGAAATGTATTTCGAACATATTAAATATTTAAAACACGAAATACATATTGCTCCATGGAACACAGCAATGGACGCACTATTCAAACTAAAACAATCACTGATTGAAGATAGCGATACGTATAAAAAATTTAGAACATTTGTTGTTAGTATTGTTGAGCCATTTTATCAAAGCATTAATTGGAAATCTACCGACTATGTTGAAAAGTCAAAACAGCAAATCGCCATCAAAGTAGCTTGTGGATTTGGCCTCGAATCCTGTTTACAAATGGCCGAACAATCACTTGAAGTATCAATTTTCAATGATAATTTTGCAGCAGACACAAGAGGCGTCATTTACGAAAATGGTATCATTAATGCAAAATCAAGTGTTGTTGGTAAGATTTGGGAGCGACTGTTGTCATCGAAAAATTCAGAAGAAATTCAAGAGATAATTAGTAGTCTTGGAAATATTGGAAACGAAAAATTGCTTGAAGAATATTTACATAAATCATTTGATTCGAATATAAATCTAAAAGAAGAAGCGCGTTTGGCCATATTCTACTCAATTGCGACCAAAAGCCGCATCGGACTTTCATTAGCTCTTAATCTAATGGAAAATCAAATCGATCGAGGATGTCTGTTGAGAAATGGATGTAAGCAACTCAATTTGGATAAAACCATTTCACTTTTGGCGAAATACATCAGTACTGACGATTCTAGAAATCAGGTATGAAATGAATATTCAATAAAGTTCTGATATTATTTTAAATTCATTACATTTTTTTTAGCTTGAATCAATTTTAAAGACTATGTACAAAGCAAAATCATTAGAAGAAGAAAGAAGTGAAGATATCACAGACTCAATGAACGAAGCAATGAAAATGTTCGAATCAAGGCGGACAATCGTTGAAGAATATTTTAAGACATTGTAATTGTTTTTTTTACGTTTTTCATGTTTAAATATCATGATATTATTGTAAGCAATGCTCATCATAGATATGGTAACATCAGAAAAATCAATTTAGTTACAATTTTTTGTAATACAAAGAAAATAAATTATTAAATTTCTTTGAAGAATTTAATCTTTGAATATAAACATCGCTTTATTTAATTAATTATATTTATTTATTACAGTCCAACATTTATACCATTATTTGGATCTAGCAAGCTAGACACATGCTGGCTAAGTGCCAAATCAAATATAAATTTCGCCCATTGAAATGAATTCGTTTGTCGGAGGTCATTTAAAATAAGTCGAACATTGTAACCCAGTCAGACACCAAATTCTGAACCAAAATATTGCCTTACTGATATTATTATAAGCGTATGATGATGGGTCAATGTTATTGTTGTTGCTATACTTGATCTTTCTTTTCACTTCTCGAAAATTCCGAATTAATTTGAGCCCACATCAACAAAAGTTCTTTCATTGATTTTAAATCTATATGAAATATGGATTTTTTGGTAATTTTGTCTGTTGATGGAGACGGACTCATTCATTCAATTTCCGAGGGATTGATCATTATTTCATAAAATATATTTTGGAACCTGTGCTATACATATGTCTCATATGCACTAGTGTGATGTATGTGAATGAGTAGTATCACGTGTAGTATCAGTAGTGTGACGTGTAAACCACATCGAGTTTTATGCATTCATCTAAAATGTGAAAGATGAAAGTCCAAATTTATAAATCAAAACTAGTTTTTTCTTCACAATTTTCGGCAACTTTCGTCAGCTCAATTAGTTTATCGAATGTCAAGCGGTTCTATGGTGTAATGGTTAGCACTTTGGACTTTGAATCCAGCAATCCGAGTTCGATTCTCGGTAGGACCTATGATTTATTTTTATTTCAATTTTTATGTTGAATATAATTAATATTTTTTGGTTAGTTTCGTTAAATTTCATTTTCGAATGTGAATTTCAACAGAATTGTACAAAAAAAATCTATCGGACACGAGAAGCGATCAGATCACCAAGCGGCTCATCTGACATGGAAGAAAAAGATACGTTTCAAGCAGGTCTCGGTACTAGATTTTACACAAATCGATAAAAAGACGACCGTTTAAAGGTTCGAATCATTTCACCTCTTGTTCTCGCAGTGTATAAATAATAATAAATATCTTTCATCAATGTTCATTCGTTCACTTAATTCATTATTGGTGACTCTGCATTGACTTTTCAATAAATAAAATGTTTGAAATAAAATGACAAATTGAATTAAAGAAATTCGCTGTGGATGTTTTTTAAAGTCTATAAAAAATCCGAAGCATCAATCAAAAACTCAATTATAAAAAAAATAAAATAAAATTTATTATTATTATTATTTAATCACATAGAAAAATGAAAGCTGCTAAACAATCTAGAAAACACGATGATCCATCACTATCGTTGCGATCATTTCGGCGCATTTGTCTTGAATAGTTTTTTGGGTGACTTCGTGGACTTAAATAGATTGGCATGTGTGTATATTTTGGTCGTGGTTTTCTAAAATTGTTCAACATGTTTGTTTGTTCTACAGTTGAACCTGAGTTTTTGTCATCAAATGCTTCTCGAATCAATTTCAGTTCGACCAGATCTAAAAATCGAATATTGTTACTGGCCAATTCAAATTCGCTTGAACTTAGCATTAAATATCTGTATTTGAATGGGACAAAAATAATAATATATATCGAGACTTTGTCATAAGTAAATGTAGAAAAAAAAATGCAAAACAAACCTCGGTGCATAGCAAAGTTCACGTAAAACGGACCGTTCGTTTTCTAAGGTGAGTTCGATATTTTTTCGCCGACATTTGGCTCGGCTCCAGCGTGTCAGCGTATCAATTAAAACCAGTTCTGAGCGTAACAAAAGATCATCTTGGCTCACAATATTTTTAAATTCTTTGAATCGAAGCCCATCAATACCTTCCGATAAGAGAACATTGTCCGCATTCATATTGATAAACTGCAAAACATTGAATACCAAATATGTGAGAAATTCTTCGGGTGTGTAGTTGAATTTTTTGAAATTGGTCTGTTTGCGATCGATTGAATCCTTGTGCGATGTGATTGAACCGTTAAAACATAGCGTACGATAGACAGTGATTACATTTGATACATCCAAATTGGCATCAACTTCACGCAAACAATATATTTGCATGTCAGCACAATTATATCGTTTGGCCACATTAAACATTTGCAATCGATGATTTTGATCTTTAAATTGTAATTTTTTTACTTCAAGAAATTCAATCATTTGTCGAAATTCAGCTTCGGTGACGTCGCTTATAATGTCACAATTGATTTTTTCGTTTATAATACGACGCAAACGTTCGCTAGCACGGAGTGCGGTCGTTGAAACATCTAGTGCAACAACGAATTGGGTTGCATTTGTATCCACCGATATCAAGGATTTCAATGGCGGTGCACTCGGCGTAATTGGTTTTGATTGGTTTTCCGACGAATCTTCCGCAGGAATTCCCAAAGCCATTTTGCATGATCTCTCTCTCTTTCTCTCTCTATTCCTTGCTTTTATTTTTGTAATTCACTCATTTGTTAAAGTTGTTTCGTGGTGCTACAAAATAATGAGAAAAATGTACATGCTTTTACGCGTTTCAATATGAAGACGATGGAAAAAGCGACATTTGAATTCAAAGGTGTCTTTCTACTCTCAACCAGAATTGATAGACAATATTATTTTCAACGTTTGTTCAAATTCAATATCAATTCTTTAGATTTCTATTATACCAGTACTCTCGAATGCATTGTCAATATATATCTGCTGTGCATTTTACGGTGGTATGGTTGAAATTTTGCAAGAATGTAACAAATATTTAAATTTGTATTTGTGAATTTATACAACGATAAAACTTTTGTAACAATGGTATCATTACTTGTAGAAAATTGCTTGGTATACAATTGTTTGCAAATATTTTTAAAAATATCTGTGGTTTGTCGAGCGCATACAGCTTACACATTTCTGGTGTCTGAAAATTGTTTTTCCTGATTTTATTATAGTTTTGCTATACCGTTACCATGGGGTCAGATAGAATTCTTCTTTCTAACTTATTTTAATAGGAATACACGAAGAGCGTGAAAAGGAAAACGTAAAAAGAGGGTAGTTGGTGACATTTTGACTATGATGATTTCATGATTTTTCATATCTATACAATTCTGAAGCAACTCGTGTAAACTTTATCATCAATTGTTGTGATTTGAAAATCAATAACAAACTAACCATTTTTTTGATAGTTCGAATAAAACCTCCTTCGATTATTAACTTGATGAACGAACCAATCAACATAAAGTATAACCGAATAATTATTTCAATTATCCCATAATATTTGACCAATAGTAAATTTATACTGGAAACCAACTGGTGATTAACTATAGTTAAAGTTTTATGGAAAACCACGCGATCAAGGTTACGCCTCATTTTTTTGTTGAATTATTAATAAAATACTTTTTCTATATAAATACGATATTGAATTGGCGATTTTCTAGTTTAAATCTAACGTTGCTTGAACATCAATGGTTTTCTTAAATTAAATCGTTGAAAGTAAAAATAAACTGGTTTTGAGTGAGCTCATAGAAAAAAATTATTTATTTACCATAAAATTCAAATGGCTATGCTTATTTCATGTGTTTGAAACTGGTGATATTTCGAATTAAAAAAGAAAAAGTGGTAAATAAACTTTTTCAATTTTCCACAACAAATTAATTGAAAATGTTTATTTCTAGGCGGATATCGTAAGAATATTCTTGGACCCATTTTTCTAAGCTGTGCAAAAGGACCGTGCTGATGGAAGGAAATGGTCACATATTAGATTTAAGTTGAATTTTCTTAAATGATTTTTTGAATGTATGTGTGATATTTTTTAATTTTACTTTTAAATGTTTCCGAATGTTTCGTTATATTGTTTTAATAAATGATAAATGTATTTTATGAAAATTGTGTGGTTGTTTTAATTGCTCCCTAATAAATAGTTGGATAACGATTTCTAATTTGCTTATCGTATGTACAAAAATATGTACGTGTATTTAAAATATGAAAAAAGTTTATGAAAACAATTTAATAGTGAAAAGATATCAGAATGCGTGGATTTCAAGTATTTGACTTCTACGGAACATTGAATTTCCATTGGTTCAATCAACTACTCTTTTCATGTCATTCTTTTTTGTCATTATTGATTCATGAAAGCTTATGATATTATCTCCTAACTCGATTAACGGAACAACCTACATTAATATAGCATTATTGTAGGTTGTTCCGTTAATCGGGTAAGGAGTGACATCATCAGCCTCATGTTCTATAGAGTTAGAAATAATGACATTTCCAACACGCACATAAACGGATAAACAATTTCGCGATTGTAAATCTTTATAACAGTCCTTGGATGTCAATACTGCATATGGCGAAATTATTGCACCAGAACTGTATAAAACTTTTCGGCGTTGCCTTCTAGGCACATTATAGCTGCCGTATGACAATATTACTCATTAGATTAGGTGCTACTTTCATTCCGCCGGCTATGGCTGCACTTTTTCTAATTAAAATTAATAAAACGAGAATCGAAATTAACTTGAACACTTTCATGATCACACTCAAAAACCTCTACTTTTGTCGACGAAAGATGACTGAATATTTATATATTCAATAATAACTAATGTAGTTGAAAAACAACAGTGAGTTATAATGAGGAAAGTGGAACGATAATTTTAACTGTGCTTAACAGATAGAAATGAATGAACAAATGTTTGGAAAGCATTTTTCTATGCAGACATTTGAAGTATTGAAGTTTTCATTCATTTAACTGAACTATAGTCGAAAAGTGATGCTAAGGTCCGTTAGTAGATTCTTATTCCAATCTCTGTTTATCAAATACAATTCTTCATCATTATTCGACAAAGCACATCTCAAACATTCATTCGCATACTATCGTAGGATATTACATACATATAACAATGACTAGGATTCTAAAGCATTGTACATTCGATGTATACAACTCTTTTGACATCCTTGTGTCAGCTGTATTTCGCGTTTGTCATTTCATATGTTGGAATATCATTATTCTACTGAACTTAAAAAAATCTGTATTTTATTTTACGATGTATTTTGTAATGTACAGTTTGAAAATTAGCACAAAAATGTATTTAAAAAGCATAGTAATTGAATTTCGTTAAATAATCTCGTTCAAAAAGTTTGTATAAAAATAGAAACGTTTTTGCTTCACAGATTAAACAAAAATGAAATCAAGTCAAACGGCTCGTTTCCTTGATAACAAATGACGTATTATGAGTGAGTATGGTAGCCAAATACGCATTTCTTCTATACTTGGACACCAAATAGAAATTAGCGAATAGTACAATAGAAAATACTAGAAGTTTTTATTAAAAAAATTATTTAACAAAAAAATATGAAATAGTCTTTATTAAAACGACCGAAGTTATTGACTTTATTTATTGATATTTTTTTATTCCTTGGATTCTGAGGTGTAAAATTGACATTCATTCGTGAGTGTCCATATGTATTTTCACTTCTCAGTTTCCAAGGATCTATATCTACACGCAATTCACGAACATTCTGTATAATTCATAAAAATGGGTGGTAATTCCAACCATTTCGTGCGATCATTTTGTACGATACAACGAATGACGAATGCGCACACTATAATTACTGTATGTGATTTCTTTGATGTTCACTTTTTTCAACTGCAACACCGGGAATAAAAGATTTGATTTTGTATTGTAGTGAAAATTGTTGAAATCCAATGAAATCTTTGATCATCGCTTGACATTAAAATACAAATATTATTTATTATATAAAATTGAAGCAGGTGTCCGTATAAAAGAAGAGAAATCTGACAAATATAATAATTTATTCAATTTCTATTATTTTCGGTTGTTGACTTTGAATTTTATTTGAAACACCCACCAAAATTTAAACAATAGATCACATTTTACGTCGTGCTCATAACTATTGATTCGCTGAAGATTCATCACAAAGTACTAACTTTTAATTATCAACATCGTCAAAATTGAATCATAAAAGAGAATATCAGGTGTTATCATTAAAATTTTAAATCACTTTCGAAACAAAAAACAACGAATTCTTCAAATACTTACCTTTTTTAAAAAAAAGAGCAGTAATAATAATAATTCAAACAAGTAGAAATACAAAACTCTCTTTTGAATATGACAAGTGTTGTTCAGGTTTCAGCACAATGATAATTCTTTTGGTTTTTATTATTAAAATTGTTGTGTTTTCATTTCGGTTCTATTAGAATTTATACACGGATTTTGATTCACATAATCTTTAAACCGTTTACTTTATTTATTGGTTTGTGCATATTATGAATATATTTACAACAAATAGATTTTTATTTTGTTTAAATTTGAAGACTATTTTAATGTTGTTGGTTTCGAATTGGTTTTAGCGTGTTTTAATCAACACGTCTGTAAATGAGTTGCTAATTGATTTAGCGTATAATTTCAAGGCTGATTGTTTAATAAGTTTTTTTTTACTTATAAGAAGTCTGTATAATGTTTACCAAAATAAAACAAAACAAAAAAGAAATCGAAGAGAAAACAAGACGAGACCACGAGATTTGCTTTACCCGCAATCACCATTTTTCACCTGGAAATTATTTCTGTTTCGTGAATGTTATCATTTTTTTTGATTTCACAATGAAATTTGATTTGTTATGCGATTACATATTAATCAATATGCTTTATTCCGTTGTTTTTACTTATGATCGCACTTGATTCGTTCATCTCAACCGAACATTAATTTAAACTGGCTTTGTGGCGCTTGTGGTTTTTTCCTCGTCCATTTTCTCTTAATCTCATTTCTTTTTATCTACATTTAAATTTAAATTGTTTCATTTTAATCGGCGATATACACTTTTGTTTAACATTTATTTACATAAAATCGAATGAAGAAAAAAAAAATCTCTTAATGAAATAAATTGTTAATAAATAAAACAATTTTTTTTTAAATAAATATAACAAAATATGCATATTTTGACACATTTGATCTCAATTTCAATTCAAGTACTATTTTTTTTTTTGTTCGTTTAGTATTTTAGAATGGAGTTGGCTTTTGTTCATATCAATTTATTCTTGCTAAAAAAAATAAATTTTTAGTTATTTATCATATTGATTTAGCATATATGAGTTCACTTCATTATCATGTTCACGTCTACTTGTTATATCCTTGTTTTTGGTATCTGCAAATGGCATTAAACGATTCAAGTCTGAATTTGAAAAACAACAAATTCATATTACCCAATGGTGGTGAGTATATATATAAGTGGTGGCATAAGAAAAAAACCGAATAAAGTCCCAGTAAAAAAGTGTCATGTTTGAAATGAAAGAACAATCTCGCTTAAATTTATATACATAAAAAACGAAGAAATTGCTATACAAAAATACATATATGAACTGCGTTAAGAGTCTCCTAAAATCTTCAAAATTTCATTAATTTAATTTTTTTGGTTTGTTATTTTAATTTTTTTAATATATAATAAATATTACCTGTTCGCAAATTATTATTTGATTCGCATTATGCAATAGACCTTGGTTAATAATAATAATATGGCGTCAATTACATGCAATGTGAATTCATTTCTTCATAATTTTTTTTTTAATTTTTTATAATATTTTTTCTTTATCTTCTTTTTAATTGTGAGACTAATGGGCATTGGTTTTCTGATAAAATTACTTTTACTGATTTGTTTTTACATACATATTCAATTGAACCATGCAAAATGATTTATTGTTACGGTTAATGGACTAGTGTAATTTTTTATAAGTGTGTATTATTGTTTGGCGTAGTTCAATTGTGCTCTTCGAAGACTGGCTGCATAGCGTGATTATAAAATGAAGGTATGTGTGTGTGTGTTGTGTTTCACAGTAATGAATGAACATGCATGAAAGCGCAACATTTGCACTGAAATCGATACAAATATGAAAATATGTCGCTTGATTAAGTTTTTTCTTCACAACAATTGTAAAATACACAAATGAATTTGAACACTCATTGTAATTTTGGTTTTTCACGATGAATGTTTTTTTGGTTTTATTTCTTTGGATATTTGTTTGTTTATTTTTTGTTTTCATTCCAAATATTGTTTAACTTTTATGGTTAGTCATTTTTTTAAATTGATCGTTCTGCTAATTTCATTTTCTACTCTAAAAAAAATCTTTATTGGTATTCGTCGTCACTGCTGAGAAGCATCGTTTTTTCGTTGTAGTTTTGACTTATTGTTGACACCCGACTACTGCCCTGGCTGCCGGGCATAAATTTCCTTTGATTGCCCAATGTTTTTGGTGCTACATAGCCACCGCCACCTGCACCGCTACCCGAATTGCCGGTATGCTGTGCACCAGTTTGTGATGCTGGATCATCGGGATCATATGAAGATACTCGGATTCCTCGACTGTTTTTGTTACCTTTTGAAAAATGAAAATTGACAATAACAAAAAAAAATACATTTTCTGAAGAATATAGTGCGAACAAAATACGCTTGAGCATTATTCATTCGATTCATGAAAATTTGGCGATTGTAAAATGAATAGGAATATATGATTTAAATGTATATTTGTTATAAAGGATTGATCGTCATTCAAAATATTGTTGTATACTAGAAAATTCACAGAAAAAATAAATGCTGATAAAACTATGAAGCAGGTAATTTTCACAAATGCAAACAAAAAATTTCTATATTATTTCAAAGAATAATATTTCAAATGATTGTTCCAATTTCCAGTAAAATCATGCTAATCGTTTTAACAAACAAGGCATACCAATTTGGTGTTTGAATCCAGAAAAATAGCAATTACTTACCTTCATTTCTTAGGGAGATTTCTACATAAAACGCATCTACATGATATACATTCTAATTTTATGGCATTCAAAGAATGACAATACATTTAAGGACACAAATACATAGGCACGCACATCGAAACAAGAATTAGACAGAAATAATAGAAACCGTATTTTGTCAGTTGTTTTTTTTTTCATCGGTGCCATTTTAGAAGGAATTTATTTGCTGATCAAAATGTTTAACACTCAAAATAAAAATTAATTTCCATTTATAAATCACAATCAAATACAACTAATTATATTATTTAGTTCTGAACATTTTTTTTTTTAATCAATCATTTGTCTTGTTTATTTTATTTCTCTCTGGTCGGTGTGAAGAAAGGAACGGATGATTAGGCGATTGAATAATATTGGATTGTTTAAGGGGTTGTTTCAGTTGTTATACTATAGTTATTAACAAATAATATCGATTTAATGCCCAATACTGGCTATATTTCATCTAAAAAAAATTTATTAATTATCGGTGCATTCTTTCAAATCGATTTTTTTTTTGAACTTCAATACATATATCTCAGTTTTATTGTGTCTGTTCTTAAGTTTCCGTTGAAACTTGTGTATTATATTTTATTTTAATATTTTAAATTGTATACACATTTGAATGTTCATTTTCAATAAAATCAAATATGCTCGACCGTAAATATGATCGATGTATGTGAACATTCCGAAGCGTATAATAACTCTTATTGAAAATGAACATTGTTTTTATTAAGGCACACAAAGTGATTTTTCATGCAAGTTACTGTTCGTTTCTATGATATGTTATATACTATGAACATTTAACTCTTCCAAATGTTCTTATGACAAAAAAAAATCAAGCATAAGCCAACATCAACATTCTGAACATATTCAGACAGTTTTACGATGAAAATCTGTTTTAAACAACAATCACAAGTGCGGTTATAACTGCTTTACAATCTTTTTTTTTCTTTACTCTATTACCATAAATTCATCTCCAGATTTTTCATACTTTTATATTTATTAAAAATATTTGATGCAAGCATTTAACGAGAGTTTTTCTCTTTTTTTTTCTTATTTTAAGAGAAGAAAAATTCATTTTTTAAATAAAAGTAGCGGAATTACTTGTGTTGAGTGTATATTGTGTAATTATTTAAATTTAAGTACAAAATATACACATACATTTTTAAATATCTTTACAATGAATTGTAGGGACAATGAAAAAAAAGCTATCTCAATTTGTATTTTTTTTAACCATAAAACATATATATATATATAAATCGTTGAACAATTTGCGTTTGTCTGATCGCTTTTCTCGTTCAATCGCTGTATGAATACTATTCGCGGCAAATCAAGAGAGAAAAAGAGAAAAAACGTCTCATTTTCATTTGGAGTGGAATATGCCATAATAAGTAAGAATATCATTGATTGAACCAGAATGTTTACTTTAACTACCTAATGTACACAGTAAATAAGAAAATCATCATATTTTTAATACAACATAATTTATAACAATTTGGTACGAAAATTCTAGTAGAGGCTAGATTCTTTTAAATGAAATTTTTGCTTCGATGAATAACATTCAAATATTTTATACGATCCTTTATTTTTCGAAAGGATTAAAGAAGCGATGAGATTACTGCCCAAAATGATAAAAAAATAAAGTTCACGTATACTTGGCGCTACATTCTATGTAATAAGCGTATACTTTCCAATTACTAGTGGTTAGTCCTTTCACTACATTCGAATGTTCTCGTGAACAAATAAGCATTGCGAATAAATTAGGTGTTTTTGTATGACGGGAGAAGATACTATCAAATCGATCAATCTCATTTTTTTCCCTTGAATTTTTCATGATTGATTTCTAAGAAGTATGAAACAGTTTTTGTTGCACCATTATTCCGATCCAAAAATGTTGTACAAAACATCGACAGGCCAAAAAATATTTGATATGGTAATCCAGAACGGGTGCAGAAAAACGAAAAATCGATGAATGACGAAAGGATTCAAAGGTATGATTGGTGAAACCGGGACACTAGTTAAAAAACTATGAATCATGTGTATTACAGACAAGTCATGTCTAGATAAAACCAGTTCAAACTCAGCTTTGTAAAAGTGGTAGTTCATAGAGAATAGAATTTCCGTACTAAATTGCAACATAGCTTTCATGTTACTAATATTCAGTTTTTTCTATTTGCAGTGTCACTGCACAGATTTGATTCACAGCATTTTTTTTGTTTCATTTTTTTGATGTCAACTTTTTTTATCGAAAAAAAAAAATTAAATAAATAAAAAGTTATAATATGTCTATTTATTCATATTTAGAAAAAAATTAAGAATAATCGTAAGGCTTTTTCTTTTTATAAATTTTTGTTTTTAAATCTTTTTTAAGTTTTTCAAAGCTTCTCATACTGTTGAGACGATGTCACTTCTGTAGGGAATAAACAAAAAAAAGAAGAGAAATCAAACAAAAAATCACAAAGAAAATTCAACAATGTAAATTGTTTCGGAGGTGGAATTCTTTGTTAAAAACAATCAACGAAAAACAAAATAAAGAAGCTTCGATGACTTCGTTAGATACGGTTTAGATTAAATTTCTTCTTTTTTTCAACATTTACAAACACCACGCTAATCCTTTAGCAACTTATAAGCTAACTTCTTAAATGTAAAGGGTGAGAAAGCGAGGATAAAAATGGCCTAGAAACCCATAACCAATTGAAAGTATATGTGTTAAATGCTGGTTTGTTTTTCTTTATCAATAAAGCCTAAGAAAATGATTTAAATTACTGAAAACAACGCTTTTAATTCATTTCGATACATATGTTTCTTACACTTCTTATTCAAGTGTCACTTCTACACTTTTTATTGAGTCTTCGTAGTGACGTTCTATAATCTCAGACTAAGAAGCTTGAAAATGTCTTCTGAACAAATTAATTTTTAAAAAGAAAAATAAAGTTCAAAAAGAATAAAGTTTATATCAAAATCAGAAGTATTATAAAATGATAAAATGTTCACCAAAAACAACATTTGACATTTTTCTACTTAGTTTGAGATTGAGATTGTAAAAATGACACTCGTTAGAGCCCAAAAAATCAAATATATGGAACACATTTTTCTACCAGCACCATAGCTTCTGACCAGAAGTTCCGGTTATTTATTTCAAGTCTTCACTTTTTCAGTGAACGAAGGTTACACCACACAGACTTGTCTTGGAAGGTATTTACTTTTTTTGAGGCTAGCCCAAAATTGTTCATTTTAAATCAGAGATTTGGATTGTGAACTTCAGAAGCTATGATTTGTGTTATAAACGTTCATATGTGTTGTGGTATTCGCACGGAAATAGAAGCGTCATTTTCAGAAAGATAAACTTAATCTCTGTGGTAAATATATTTTAATAGAATATGTGTTCACCATTTAGTCGAACTCTAAGGCGCAAAAGAACTGTGTTCAAATTTAAACTACACTTATATTACTGTGTGTGTTGGTGTGCTTTACTGTTGTCGCAGAAGAAAAAAATCCCGTCATCTGATTAACTCATAACATTTATTCGTTTTTTTTTTTTAACGGGGGGTGTCACCCATTAAAATGTATTTGAATCAAATGTTTCAACATAATAAAAACATTCGGTTTTCTACCGAAAAAAATTAAATATAAAACCAAATGAAAACTAATTACAATATTCTTGTTGTTATTTTGTTTAAAAAATTGCGTTCCAAAATAAAGAAGAAAAAAGAAGAAAAAAAGGAGTCAAACATTCTTCATATTGAGGATATGATGTTTGGTCATTGCGCAAAAGAAAATAAAAGTTCAGTTTCGTTTTTTATGCAGGCCATTTTACAGCTAACGAAAAAAAGGGAAAAATCACTTGTTAATATAACAATTTAATTTATTAACATTTGTTTTTATTTATTTGTTTGTTTTATTAAAATGAAATGCGTGCCATTTCTAGTCAACACAAATACATGTGCGTAACACATCGTGATATGAGTATTTATGCAAAGTGAGATTACGTGAGTTTTGAATGTGCCAAAAGTTTATACGAAGAAAGCAAAATAGGTTGTACACATGTACACACACAGTAGATACTAGTAGATTGACATGTGCTTCGACCGTATGATCAAATGCGACCGGATTGGCAAAATGAAACATCACACCTGGTGGTAGGTGCATTTTGTTTGAAAAATAATTATAATAGTGACTATATTATACTGTATTACATTATCACCAGATAGATAACTATATTTATAACTATTTTAATAAATTGCCAAATCACTGGCTTAAAGATAGTAAAAAATCAGTGTTAAGGCTATTCTGGTTTGTGACTATTTTAAATCGAAAAATTTACGAAACTAATCATTTACATAAAGATGACAAAATTAAAATCTATTTATTCGAAAGGCCAAACTTTAAGATGAGTGACGATTGTATAACTGAAATTCTAACATATACCAATACCAATTTTTTCTCAAATTTAATCACAATTCACAAACGACCATTACACAAATAATTATTTTTTTTGTTGGAAAATGGGTTAAAACAAAAAATGAAGGAATAGTGAAGAATGAGGATTAGTATGATTGTTATTACGAATGCATAGTTAAACAAACAACATGCACATATTGTTAAATTTCTCTGGACCAAAAAAGCAACGGTTAATCAAGCGTCAATCGAAGTGAAAATAAAGTGCAATCACACTTACCAGAACTGTATTGAGTGTATTGTTGATATTGCGGATGGAAATTATGAATGGCATCTGTCATGATGTCTTTTGGGTTCATCGTTTCCTAAATTGTATATGCATATCGAAAGATTTAAAAATTTGATTCTGTTTATTTGTCAGTGTGTTTTTTATTTACCTTTAGGCTACTGGAAATAGATTGCATTGTGACTGAACGACCATGTACATCAGTCATGCCACCCTGTGCATAAACCTACACAAATTTTCAAATGTTCGAATTAAAAGAACAATATGATTTTTGTTGATCAAAATTTTTACCTGATATGGAAATGCATAACGTAACGCGATTGCAGCGAATAACATTTCCACGCAAATGAAGAAATTTTGATAGCCAGCTGATACGGAACCAGGCAAAGCGGTTGTTGTACCCTTTTCGTCCACAATTGCCGAAATGGCACCGGCTTTTTCCAATATAGCTAAGCCCACACCTAACGGAAAATCAACGTCAATTTAATTGAATAGATTTAAATGAGTCGTGGGTTCGTGGGTGTGTGTATACAATACCTTGCCAAAACGATAAAAATATCACCGATTTTACAGTACAGAATTTAAGTACTGGTTCGAATGGCGTCAATAAATCTCTGGTAGCAAAATAAAATAGGTAGAGGCCATACAAAGCTAACGATACTGAAATATTATACAGCATTGTAATGTAGATGTAACCGCCATCCACGCTATATTATTCGAAAATGTACCGAAAGAAAACGAAAATGTTAGAAGATTAAAAAATTCGGTAGAGAAAAGAAAGGAATATTCAATATATACCTCCAGTCGCCATCATGATAGTGACCAGATGCTTGAAGGAATATTATGATAAATGCAACCAATGGTTTGACCAAGCAAAATTGCAGCGTGGCTTGTTTGCAAAATCGTAAGAATCCGATCGTATAAGTTTTGCCTTAAGAAAAAAAAAATTGATTATTATTGATTAAAAAGCAAAAATGGAGAAAGAAATTGAAAGAAAATGGTTACCTGCTAAGCAACATGTCCCATAAAGACATGATGATTTTATTGGTTTGCCACGAATTTCGGACATAATATTTCCCTCACCGCCCAAATACTCATAACAGAGAGATAAAAAGTTATATATCACGAAAGCTGCAACGAAAAAAAAGGGATGATTGATTTCATTTTGTTGTAACAATAAGGCGGTTGACAAAAATTGCATAAGAAAATGCTGCATACTAACCTTCATAACAATCACGAACTGTGAAAAAGTAAATGTATACACTATCCGAATTGAAAAATAATAGACTGATCCATGAATATGTCGCATAAATCGGTACAATAAACAATATCCGGACAATCCAACGTTGCTCTTGTGGATTTGTGTACCATCTCAAATGTTGATAAATCTAGAAAAGATCATTTACATCAAATTAGTGTGAAATCTAAACAAGTACTTTTACTTAAACTAAAAATTTTTTTTTAATTTAAATAGTTTGATGCATTTACATTCAATGGCAAGAAAGAGATAGAAAGATTCATGATTCACATTTTTAATGGATAAAATGCAACAACTGTTTTTGTTTATACGTTTAATGTTACGTACATACGTGGGAACTGTAGTGGCCTTGCTATTGGCTATGTTAACATCATAAAACCAGTTAAGAAAGATAATTTTATCAAGGTTTTCTCTGTTTAAAATATGCGCATGAAATGTATAAGAAATCACATCATGTTAAAGGCCTGGCTAAAGGAATTGATTTTGTCCGCATTTGTTTATGAATGTTGCTGAACATACGGTTGCAGTGTCTTTGTATCCAATCTTGTTTTCTTCACTCACCATAACTCTTATAAATTAATGATGGTCGGTGTGTTTTATGTAATTTCTTCTTTAAATTCTTTATATTAAGTGACTTGGTGTAGCTCGTTATGTGATATCACGCATATTACCGTCAACGCAAATATTTCCACGTTCGATAAATAAATAGTTGCAAAATGGTCGACATGTGAACAATGTAAATATTACATTAATGTTAAGTTACAAGTAGCTATGAGAGAGATAAATGCAGATCATTATGGAATTCTCTACTATAAACGATTGTTACACCAATAAATTATTGATCGGTAAACATAATTGTTTCTTTACATAAAATAAATAAATCCAACAGAGAGTCCCTTACGAATTTCAATTTTTGATATTACAGTCCAATCCACATGAGTGTTGTCTCATGTGGAACATTTTTCAGTTCGGCAATATTCACTACATTATTATGAATTTCTTGACTTTTATATATAAAAATATTGATTTCAGTTAGTTCTTAGTCAGAGCGTTGAGAAAGTGACTGAACCGCTAAAAGTAACTGAAAGATTCATTCGTAACTGATATTCTACCATTATGGCGATTGAAACTGTGTAAGGAGATTACGATTTTTTACTCGCAATTATCTCACTTCGGTTATTGTTTCAAAAGTTTACTTCTTCTTTATATTACTCTCTTTGGTGTAACTGAAACTGAAACTGTTATATAGCTTTTTTACCGGAAAAAAACATTTCGAAGTAATTCCAAGAAATTCTAATCGTTTTGACAACGAGAGCTTGTTTACCATTTTCTCTGTTCTCAGAAATTTGCCCATAGACCATGTCTCTTAAAATTGCGATTTTCTTTTTTTTTTTGTTGAATGACGTTATTTTACAATTTGTGTAATATTTATTTGAGTTCCAATTTGATTAACGAAGTAAATCGATCGAGTAGATTTATTTTTATTGATTTTTTTTCTGCGTCCTTTTGAATCCATTGAGGGTTAAAATGAACTGTATCTTGATAATTCCCATCGTGTGTGTATTATGTCATCTATCTATTCGACAATTGCGCACCCAATTCTATCGGATAATGTGTATAATGCGTGTTAAATTAATTGCCATGACCTGAACCATCAACAGATTGAAACACCATTATTTGAAGATTATAAAGTAAAACTCAACTACAAATAATTTTCGCTATACATAATATAAAAAAACCTTCACAGCTCTTCATTTTCTTTCTTCTCTCATGTCTTTATCGTCGATTCGGCCGAAAGTGTGTTTCTTTGTGCGAACTTTTTTTTTCTCTATTCAACGCTTTTACGTTCAATTAACTATCGACACGATTTTCATGTGTGATGAATAAATTGTTGAAACTTTCTTCCGCATTTTTTTTTTTCATATTGGCCATCGACAGCTTTATATGGCATAGAACTCTTATTGATAATGGTATTTGTTTTTGTATTTGCTCTCGATATATTTGAAATACGCTTAAATCCAATTGAAGTTTAATGAATTTAATGGAAGTGAGTACAGCTGCGAATATTTTTAATGTCGAACGTTGTAATTAGATAGCAAATCTTATGATTTGAGCGATTAAAGGTGCGGCAGATAATTAATTGAATTGTTTTCTTTCTCGTCGATTGAATTGACGTTTTAGCAAAAGGCGACAAATGCAATTTGACACACAACTTGCAATCAAATAATTTCTTTTCATTTTATTCTACTTTTCGATGGATATATGGAAATATCAACAACGTGATGCACCAAATATTCACACAGCACAATACAATCTGGTGTTTGTGTGTGTAGGTTTTTTTTTTAAAATTTGTTATGAGTTTGAAAAGTATAAATAAAATGAAAAAAAAAAATATTAGAAACAAAAACAACAAAAAAAGATATTTTCGCTCTAATAGAGCATGCACACTTCTTCTAAAAATAATATAATAATTGGATCATCGGCTTCAAATAGATTATCATTGTTATTTCGCATTGCACAAATGTCTGGTGATGACCAAATGGCACAAGATCGGAACAAGGCGTTGAAAGTGAGTGGTTTTTCTTTCAAATGCATTTAGCTTTTGTAGTTATAAATTGCTTGCCACTTCACTGTCGTTTCTCATTTAAAATCGACTATATCAAAGGCATCAGCGAAAGAAGCTTTTCTCTGAAATGATTTTATGTTGGCAAAAAAAAAAAAAACAAATTGAAAAATATTGAGTTCACTTTTTAATAAGTGATGCGTCATTACGGCTTATCATGAAACGCTTTGAAATATCAAGTGAATAAAAAAAGCAGTGTTTCATATATCGCTATCAGTATCCGTAAGATAACTGAGAGGGATATATTCAGCCAGATATGAGTGTCAAAATTGCATTAGACACGCTTACCATCTCCAATGTCTAATTTAGACAGTGTCATATCTGGCTGAATATATCCCTCTCAGTTATCTTACGGATACTGATAGCGATATATGAAACACTGAAAAAAAGAATAATCAAAAAAATTGCTACTTTATAAACGCAATCAAAAAATATAGCATGTTTTTAACAATGCGAAATATAATCAGTTATCATTATTATGTTCAAGGAACAAAAACAAATGAGAATTTCGTGCATTTATTATTCAAATGAACATAGTTTGCATCAATTAGTGTAGATTGATTGAGACTATGCCGTGTTAATCAATCTTATTGGAGAATATCATATTTCGTCGTTTTCATATTTTTTATCAAATTCAAATGATTCACAATTTTAATCGCAATACTGAAATGTATCGTGGCAGGTTTGTCCGAAAGAAAAAAACCGTCAAACGTTTCACTCATTATCTTATCTTCTGACGATTGAAAAGGCTATCTTAGCGTAGTAAATGTTGACTTTGTATGTCGTCGTTTAAGTCGATAGAAAATTAAATATCTGAAAAGTGTTGCGTTGTGTCTTTTTTACCATGGAAATATGCCGATGAATGATTGATTTGTTTGTTTGGTTGCCGCTTGTTTGCATAAAAAAAAAACAAAAATGAATTGTCTGTCTTACCTGTTGACATGTGAGGAACAATGCGACCCATACACAAATGCCAGCTAGACCTTGGGCGGTTTTTGATTGTAAAAAATAACCGTCACCGACATGGCTCAAGCCTGGTACCAATGGGTTATGTGGATTTTCAGTCGTTACACTAGCCATTGATTGTGTTGGTGGTAAGGTGGTTGAGGTTGTTGATGTGAAATTTATTTCTGGAGCTGGTCCAGACATTATTTATCTTCGTTCACTTCAAATTCACACACACACATATACACTCTTTTTTTCACTATTTATAATGTCAATCTCGATCAATTTATTTTTGCTTTTCCAATTCTCTTGTTTTTTTTTTCGCTGTTTATTTTACCTGTAAAATTCCAATAAAAAAAAACAACAATACACATTAGTAATTAACATAAGAAACAATTAGCCGCGTTAAAGTGGTAAAATCCACAATTACACACATACATACTCAAACATACACGCTTGTAACATAGATTCCTGGTATAGATAGATATGGATAGATATCATATGAAAATTATGGCAAATGCACATCACGTTTTTCCGAGAAGTTCGGCGTATAAAATCTAATTAAACGAATGCATTAATTTAGCTAAAAGCGATTTTGTTTGGTCGTAATATGTAGCGCTATGTTATGTCGGTGATAGTAGCGGTGATGGCAACGGTATTATTTCCATATGGTTTGAATATATGAATGAAGTCTAATGGATGGAGTGGCTTTCAAATAATGCGGAAAATATGGAAAAAAAATCAAATACCCACACAACAAAAAAAAAAAAAAAAAAATACAAATGAAAAAACATGATAAACTAGCGAAAAAAAATTGACATGCATGTCGTTGGTTGTTTGCGATGGACACACAGGATGTTTTTTTCTGTCACAATATTTCGCAAGGGGTTGTGTGTGTATGTTCCACTAAGTGTGAATGGTTCATTACCATTTTATCATTTTTGATTAAATATGATTCAATTCTTGATGAAAGCCGCGAAAAGCGTTTTTCTTTTTTGTATTATCAAATTTGTGATTGGAAACACTTTTCAATATGCCATTATTTGAAAAAACTGCATCATTTATTGATTTAGTAAAAGAGTGAAAGGAAGAGAGGCATCTACAGTCGACGAACAAATTAAAATTTAAGCAGACACTATATGCATAAAATGTACATTTCATAATATTAGATCAAATTTATGTTTAATTGTCGCAAAATAAAATAGATCAATCAGCATCAATATGGTTCGAAAGGTATTCGTTCTTTCATCAACATAAAAATCCTTCTCTTTCTCAATCAAAGTGGACGGTCATAATAATGTCATGGTCAGTCCATACATTTAATTTTTCTTTTATAAGCAAAAAAAAAGACATTCACAAAACCATTAAAATAACAATATCAACTATGACGACGGGGACGACGACAACAACAATCACATTAAACAGAATGAGTGTGTATATTGGATATACATTTGGAGAGATATCATTGCGAAATTGAAATGCAAAAGTAAAAAGATTAACATTTCACATTTGTCTTAAGATAGTTAGAAATCACATCAAAGTATATTATGTTAGTTTTATTCGAGACCATCTGTAAGCAATTTTATTTTGTTCACACGAACACGCACACCAACACAAAAATATTATTTGGTCTTCAATGACGTTTCACACACACATACACAAAAACACAAAAAAATGAACTGGAAACAGACAAAATAACGATGAAATGACCTAAGCACTGATTCGATGAATTGACTCGTCTTATTTTACCTTTTTTAAATACTAAACAGCTATATGGTTCGATATACAATGATGTGTTTGTCGCTTCCAAAATAATTTCAACTCTGGAGAAAATATTGTCCGGAGTGAATAGCGTTGCATAGAAAAAAAATTCCTTCAAAATTTTGATGGACAAAACATATTTAACAATCGTAGATATATAAATCGGCCAACCAAATGTGAACTAGCGTATGGTTTTTGTTCGAATTTCATATGAAATTAAAATTTGTCTTTCGATTAATTTGATTTAAAAATGTTGGCCCATCACTCACACGATCACCGTATCATTAAGCTAACTTTTGCTTCTTACTTTTTTTTTAAACTCTTGGGTTTTATTTTATTGTTTCTGTATCAATTTTCTTTTGTCTTATTCATTATACACGCACACTAAATACAAAGTATTTCAGCTCAAAATCTCATCGAGTTCATGTTGAACGAAATACAGCACATATGTTTAATATATAATATATATTCTCTTAATAAAATTGTCTTTACAATTTTCCACCAAATTTGATTTCAATTTGCAATCAAACACAATTTCGTTCACTGTTTTGCATATTTTCAGTTTACAAATCAAAGTTTTTGGAATGTCAAATTTACAATAAAAAAAGAACTTAAGCGACTACTAAGAAAACAAAACTCTGACGATAGGGAAAAAAATTGTACTTTGCAAGATTGACGGACGAATCATATATACGTCTTTAGCGAAATGCTAAAAAAATGCTCAACAATCGACACAAACACACATAAATATGAACACAAAAATCGCAATTATTATGCTTACGATATATATGGTTAGTTGAATTTTTTCTATGGTGAAAATAAGCCAGTGAGCGAAAAAACGATTCTAGTACTTTCATTTGCATTTCGATGAAATATACGAAATGTTTGGAAAATATGACAGTTTATTTTATTTCAACTTTTATCAAAATTGAATTATTTTCGATTTTTTTTTATTCTTTCTCCCGATTGCGCAATAATCACATAATCAAATATAAATGAAATAAACTCACCACTAGGAACATGTGTTGAATTTTTTTTCAATTGACATTTCTCATTTTTACCTTTTTACTGCCCAGAATCATTTATATGCATTCAAGTTGATACATATGCTAGAGTATCATTTAATTTTTGCGAATTGTTTTTATTAATGTTTTCAATTTTTAATTTTTTCACTTACCAAAGTTAATAGACATAAATATTCAATAGAATGGCTCTGGTTGATATAGATACATGGTAATGAAAAATTATAATCTCAAATTGCAATAAAAAATATTTATTATTATTGTTTGTTTTGTGATCTGTCAGACGTGAAAAAGAAAAATAATTATTTTGAATATTTTTCAGGATTACGGAATATGCTGCATGTGAACGATTAAGCCGAGATATTCAATCACAGATTGTTTTGCGCAATCAACAACCATCTCGTTTATCCACTGAATACTCGAAAATTTCGAGTGGTATTCGATTTAATTTAAAACAATTTACAACAAATTTGGATCAGCTTAACAAAACAATATCACATTCAGCCATGTAAATATATTCAACATCATTGATAATTTATAGGATATGCAAAACTTTATTTGATTTGATTTGGAAACCATTTTTTTAGAACTACACAAGAGGCAGAACGACGTCAACGTCAAGTTGAAACCTTACAATCACAATATGTTCATTTGCAATCACAATTTATGAATGTGGGCAATGCCAACTCCGACCGAAATCAATTGCTGGGAACTGAAAAACCGAGCTACTGGCAGAGCCAATTTGACGATGACGATGATGATGACCAACCTCTTGATGGTTTTCGAAATCAACCAACCAGTTCAAGTGGTCGTGAACCATCCGTTGATGATCTACGCAAACAACAAACCCGAATACTCGACGATCAAAATGAAGGTCTTGACGCCCTTTCGAAAGTGATATCACGGCAAAAAAACCTAGCGCTTCGTATTGGCGATGAATTTGACGAACAAAATGGTATGTTTTATCAATGGTTTTAACTCTCAGTTTTACAGAAAATTAATTTTCTAATAATTTCAGGAATTATCGATAATCTCGTAAGCACAATGGATAATACAAATTCTAGAATGGCCGGTACAACCCGAAACGTGGGTGAAGCAATTCAAAAGGAATCAACCAAATGTTATTGGTTTTTGATCATCATTTTGTTAGTTGTAAATATTATAGTTGCCATTTTATAAATATGTAATTTCGGCAAAAAATAATGTTCGTATCCATTAAGTTTTGATTCATTGTTAGCACTTAAATGGCCATATGTTTATTGAAAGATTTTTTATGTAAATATTAAAATACCAAAACTATAAACTATAAATTTGCTCTTGTTTTTCTTACTGACGCGAGTTTTTACAGCGGTGAAAATGAAACACAAACCAACATGTATTTTTTAGTGTTTTTTTTTTATTTTTGAATCATATTTTCACATCATTTCCATCTATATTTTGCCAAAAACTTTTTGGTATACTTTATACAGATACAATTCATTTTCACAATTTGTTTATTTATTTATTTATATCTCGTTATTATTTCGGTGTGGTAGTGTGTGTTTTATTTTGAATTCAGATGACAATGATCGAAGAATATTCACTTAATAATTGCCCATTTTTTTAAATTACTTCTTAGTTCAAGTCGTTAACATGTGGAACATTTGCTAAATTACCTACAGCACCAATTGACCATTTTCCTGATGCAACTTTTTTCGCCGCCTGAAATTAAAGAAAAAATAATAATTTCAAGGGACATGATTTTCTCATTTTTTTTACAATTTTATCGCATCACAAGTGTGTGTTTACTTACGGCATTAACATCTGCAACTGAAATGGCATCAACGGCAGCAATAAGTTCTGATTTGCCGGAAATTTCACCACGAACAGCTTGTGCAACAAGATCTTCGAAGCGACCGGTTGATGTTCCCAATTGTTCAAAAATGTTGACTTTCAATTGTGCCTTGGCACGATCAACGTCGCCTTGTGAAACTGAACCAGACTTAAGAGCTTTCACAGCAGCATCAACGGCCTAAAATAATTTTTTTTTAAATGTAAAATTTAATGAAAAACACCACCTTTATGATAAGATACTTACTTTACCAACTTCGCTGGCATTTGCTTGCAAAACAAAACCGAACAAACCATTGTCTGAATATGAAACATTCAATGTATTGAATTGGTATGGCTTTTGAAGTGCTGCATCGACAACTTTATCTAATGCGGCTGATGGTGAACCGTATGGAACAATTGGTCCGCATCCGGCAACATTACGAAGAACAGCAAATGCGATGGCCTCCTTTTGATTTGCAAGCGATGCACCTTGTGTTGCAATGGCAACGGTAGCCAAATCACCGGATTTATCAACTCTCAATTGGCTAGCATTGTATTTTGATGGTGTATTTGGTGAACTTTTACCCTCCAATTGCAATTGTTTGGAATAACCACAGAGTAATTCATGGTCAACACCAACACCAACAACGACAGCCCGGTCAGCGGTCAAATAATTCGAAACGAAACTGTGTAAATCTTCAGGTGAAAGTTTGCCAACATTACGTTTTGCACAGAATACCGAATTGCCAAGACCACGATAAAATGCGGCTTGATGCAATAAATCAACGGCACGTGCAACGGATGGTACGCGGGCCAAATCATCCTTAATACGGTAAACGGAATCTTTAAGTTCCCATGGTCGGAACGATTGTTTTGTGGCTACATCTTGCAAGTATTTCAATCCAGTTGGTAATTCGTCACGTTTCAATTCAACGTTATATGCAATTGATTCACGATCCGATAAAACACTAAGATCACCACCGGTTGCTTTAACATTTACAATCACGCCAAATCCGGTACTATTCGCATTTGAGAGAGCGGCACCAGCACGAAGTACGTGTGTTGTACCTTGTTTTTCGTAGGATTCATTGCGAGATCCAGCACTAAAATTCGAAAATTGAGTGAAATAACATATCAATTGGTCTTTGTACGAAAAAAACTCATTGATTTAACACAAAAATGTAAAGAAATCCATACCGATAAGCGATCGAAACATGAGATAGCGGTGAATTTCCATCAATCGATGCAACAATAGTTTGATTTGGTAATGTCGTTACTTGCAATTCATTCACTTTTGCGCTGGCAACCTTTGGGCTGGCTTGAGCGGCAAAACCACGAGTCTGAAAAATCATCATTTTAATTAAATGAAATAAAAAAAAAACGTTCAAGTGTACGAATTCAATATAATTTCAAAGATAAATAGTATGAAAAAAATGAGATCTCAATACGATGATGAATTTTGCAGGTGCTTACATAACACAAAACGATCGCACAAAATCATTGACATGGGTTATGAAATGAACATAAAGAAAATACCCATATGAATTGGATTTCATGGTTTTTTTTGTAAATACTTACAGCAATTGCTCTCAAAAATGGAGTTTTACTTGCAGTACATGCCATTTTAGTATGTTTTGTTGATAACCGAAGATTTCTTTAATTCACAAATCAATGAAATAGTAAAGCTCGGGTTCTAGTGCGACAGAACATGCACACACAGTGACAGAGACGATTTTTTTTTTCGTCAATGTTCGATTTAATTTTTTGACAGAATGAACATTTGAACATTCCAAAACATGGCGACCGATGACAACAATGAAATCAATTCACCACATCAATCTAGTACTACGTTTCTATAAGTTTATTGCTTTATGTTTATTGAAGATAGCACACTTTTTAAATCGAACATCGAGCATCGAAACAAGAATCGAAGAGTTATACCAATGCAGAGAAAAATCGACACAAGCATTAAAATTTCGTTGGAACCGCAAACAAAATTGGACAAAATCATTGATAAAATGGACAAATTCGTTGAAATTTCTTTTTTTTTTAATCATGTATTATGGAAAGATTCAATGAACAAAAATAAATTTTTGTGACGCACTCTTGTGCTTATAATGCAGTTCGATAATTGATAATGTACTCCCGTACAAATAAAAAAAACCACCAAAAACAATCCAATGTTTGGGTTGTACCAAATTAAAAAAAAATCCGTAGAAATTCTTTTTTATGAACATGTCATAAACTCAAATTTTGTCGCAAAAAATTGAAATGGATATTACATGAACATTTTTACCGTGATGCCCGACCTCGTGAACCGTGTTAAATCATGTTTTAACGGTTTTAACCATGATTGCCGACTCGTGAACTGAACCGTGTTAAATCATGTTTTGACATTTTTTACCATGTTAAATGGTTTCAGACTACGATGTACCATCATGTCCGACCTCAATAACTGTGTTATATGGTGTTAGACCATGATGTCCGACGGTGTTAAATGATGTTAGACTACGATGAAGCATGATTTCCGATATCAGTAACCGTATTAAATTGTGTTAGACCACGATGTACCATGATTTCTGACCTCAATAACCGTGTTAAATGGAGTTAAAATCGCTTAATTCGCTTAATTCGCCAAAAAATGTCATTTTAAACCATTTGCCACGGTCCATCATGGCTGGCCATCACGGTTAACACGTTTTACCACGGTCCATTCTCATATTTTGGCAACAAAAACTATAAAATACAGGTAAAATAACGGTAAAAATACGGTTTTTTGACGATAATGGCCGTGTTAGACCACGATGGTGGACCATGATGTACTTATGTCCACAGTCAGGCCGAGACCTTTCCAACGGTATCACTTTTATCCGGATCGGTTGAGGCGTTTGAGCGGAACAAACAAACAGACATAATTTCGCTTTTATAGGTATAGATCAAATAAATAAAATCAATTCACCACATCTAGTACTTCATTTCAATCGGTTTGTTTAAATATTTAGCAAATATTCGCAATTCTAGCATTTTCAATGAACTTTTATCACATTTATTTCGTTTTTCTCATTTGAAAATGATGAATTCCATTCGAAATCTCTTTCTGAAAAACATAATAATAATGAAAATATGTTAGCGCAAATTTCAATTGAAAAGAATGGATTTACTTCATTCTGGTATATATAAAATGTGAGTGTTTATTTAACCCAGCCACAAATACATATAAACAAAATCACAAACGCACACCAATCCATGTATGTATTAATTTATTTACGCAGAACCATATAGAGCGTCGTCATACATGGGTTTGGGTGACTATTATCGTCGTATAATATTTTGACAGATTGAGAATAACATTTGTCTCGAAAGTCATCATAAGCTACTGCAAAGCAGTACACACAAAGTAGAAAGGCCAGGGTGAAGCGTATATAGTATATCAAAACGCAAACAGAGTAACGAACAGAAAAGAAGAATAGAGAGAAGAAAAAAAAACACACAACAAGAAACAAAACAACATTCATTAAAAAAAATTATCCGTATTTCGTCTAATCAAAATCAATGTGTAAATTTGTGTAAAAGAAATCTATAACGTTTTAAAATTGTTTACGCGTCTGTTCTATTATATATATTTTTTTTGCGTTTTCGGGTGATATTGATGTGTTTTATTTAGTTTAAAGAACCAAGTGCAACAAAAATAAAAAAAAGAAAATAACAAAATCCATAGAACTGATTCCGATAAGTAATTTTTTCAAAAGATTTCATACAAAATAAGAAAGAAAGATGTCATCATTCTTCAATGTTAGCTCGTTGGCCGGCAATGTATTTTCTACACCAATTGGACAGCGTATTGGTAATTTATTTATCCATATTTCTCATATAATTTAAATGATTACTACTCGCGGTAGTGACACATTCATCGACAATCGATACATGCAATTTACGTATACCAGTTTTTTTTTCTCTTCTCAAAAACAAATCACTATGTGTTACATTATGGAGTCGGAAAATTAACCAATTTGTGGTGAAATATAATATATTTACCGTGCTGGTAATCATTCACATCATACAATATTAATTATAAGAAACGGGCTAACAAGTGCCACATATGACACAATAAAACGAGAAACAAAAACAATAACAGCACCGTCATATATACGGGTACGCCGTATTTACATATGCCAAATTAAATCGGTTTATCTATTTATTCCATTTGCTCAGGTTATTTTCTCTTTTTTCCATCACACTTCCATCTCTCTGTATATTTTTTTCTGGTTTCACTTTAACTCAATCGGTAGAAATCGGTATTTATTTCCAGATACTTCTGTTTTGGCTGAAAAATTTCTAATATCTTTTATGAAGAGAAGAGAAAAAATGACTGTGTTAAAATAGAAAATTGACGCCTAAATATTGTGGGGTTGCTGTGGGTGTTTTTTTTTTATTCACGTGATATACTCAACGTCTGTCTGTGTTGCATTTTCACTCCTGGTTTTCACATTCATTATTCGCGTAATGATTATGATGATGCAGAAATTACATGTATACTCACACTTTGATATAGTACTTTATGACATACTCAAAGCAATGGACGTACTATATTCAAAATGATCTTATTGGAATCTGATTTGATTCCATGGCGAAAAACAAACAATTTTAATGACATTTTTATTTGAAAAGTTTGCTATTCGAGTGAAAAAATTCCACTGGGCCTATTTTTGGGTAAACAATTTTTGTTAGTTCTTGCTCAAACAAATGTTGCTCTTTGAGTCTTTGAGCCGAAACTCTATGTGCATCGGAGAGGAAAAAATACAACATTTCACGTTGAAGTGATTTAATTTAATCAATTTCAATTTCAACCACAATGGCGTGGAAATTACACAGCTATTTTGATGTGCTACATCACCCACAACATCTCTTGCTCTTTCTATATCACACATGAATCGTTGAGGTGAACGATTGTTTTTATTTTTATTTTGTTACAGCTACTACAATATGAAATTCTCTTCAAAACGATTTGTTATTGAAATCGCTGAAAGAAATCATATGCGAAAAAAATCATTACTTGCAACAAAATAAAAGATATCATTATTAACGATTTACGTTTGAATGTATAATATTTTCAAAATAATCGTGATCTGGTTAATCACATAATTATCTCAGCGTAACAAATTGGTATCTAGTCGAATGGGTTTAAGGTTTTTTTTTTATCTTTTTGAAAAACACCGAAAATTAGACGAATAATGATTACAATACGTTCATACAATAAAAAGAAACAAACCATAAAAGTCGTAAATGTGTGTCATGTGTGTACAATTGTACATAAACATCAGTAAACAAAATTTCACTATAAAATTAGTCATTCCCTCGAAGAATCCAAAGTTCGTCACTTTGTATTTGTTTATATTTATTTCTGGATTTAAAAAAATATCAAGTTACAGGTCGTTACAAGGATGTTTGTGTCTTTATATAAATATTAATTTAGTGTTTACATTGCTCGAAAATCGATCCATGTGAATCAGATAAAAGACGTTTTATTTACCTCTGTAGATTAAATTTCAAAGAATCGATATCGCTATCGATATCATATTAGATGAATATTCTCCGTTCCGCCAAATGTCTATGAAATATGCATCACCTTTCTTTGTCATATGGCGGACTGTGTTTTGTTTTTTGTGCTGCTTCATCGGAGTATTGATTTTCCATCGTTTAAACTTTCAAATGAATATAATGAAAAAAAAAGAAAATTCTTATTGTTGTATTCAGTTCATGCCATCAATTTGTTTTGTGTTACGTCTGGTCATTAAATGGTTGAAGTAGTAAATTGGAGTAAACCATTATTTACTCGTGTTTTTTTTTTGTTCCATTTGAATTGAAAATATAGAACATGCGACGGACGCATCACTTGCCTCCGAAAATTGGGCGCTCAACATGGAAATTTGCGATATGATAAACGAATCATCGGATGCGGCACGTGATGCAATGAAAGCTATACGCAAGCGATTATCACAAAATGCCGGTAAAAATTATACAGTAATCATGTATACATTAACGGTACTCGAAACATGCGTTAAAAATTGTGGCAAAGCATTTCATGTGCTTGTCGCAAACAAAGAATTCATACAAGATTTGGTGAAATTAATTGGACCAAAAAATGATCCACCGGCCGTTGTGCAGGAGAAGGTATTGAATTTGATACAAATTTGGGCCGATGCATTTCGATCACAACCGGATTTGAATGGTGTCGTTCAAGTATATCAAGAGCTGAAGAGTAAAGGCATTGAATTTCCTGTTGCCGATTTGGATGCAATGGCACCCATCTACACACCACAACGGGTAATTTTTGACACATTTTTTTTTTAGTTTTTATACAAGAGCACAATAAATCCAATGTATTTCTTCATGTATATAGAGTGTGCCAGAGAGTGCATCACCACCGATTGTTTTATCGGCATCTCCAAAGAATCAGCCAGATGTAACACAAGCCACAGTGCCAGCTGTTACCATTCCAACTGGGCCGGTTATACTTTCACCCGAACAAATTACCAAATTACAGTCGGAACTTGAAATTGTCTCAATGAACATGGCCATTTTTGGCGAAATGTTGACTGCACTTAAACCGGGACAAGAAGATCCAACTGATTACAAGCTTCTCGCCGATTTAGGTCAAACTTGCAGGTAAATTTTTCGATGCGTACTCACTTTGATTTGTTAATTAAAATTTCCATTTCGGTTTTGATTTTCCAGTGAAATGCAGAGCCGAATAGTCGATCTAATCGGCCGTGTCACACACGATGAAATAACCGCTGAATTATTGCGACTAAACGATGAACTAAATAATTTATTTTTGCGATACCAACGCTATGAAAAGAATCGTGACCCGAAAAATTCATCGACACCATCAGCTATACTTGGAGCCGCATTGCGTGCTACCAGTGGTACATAGACTTTTTTTTACTTTAATAATGATATTGAGCATTAAATGAAAATTTCGTCAATTTTAGATGGTAGAGATAAGGATTCGTTGATCGATTTGGAGGATTCAGGCGAATCCAATGATAAAATTTCCAACAAATTTTCGGGATTATGTACGTTTTTTATTCCACAATTTTGTTTTCTCGTCATTAAAAAACTGTTCACAATTTATTTTCTTCTTGAAAAATTAACAGCTGTTGGTGGAATGGCAAGCTCACAACTATCACAAATTAATAATGTTACAGCTCAATCAGGCAGCAAGGATGTCGATGAATTCGATATGCTGGCGCAATCGAGAAATGATGCTAAGACGTAAGCTGGACACACAATAAGAAACAAATTCAATCACATTCATTAACAAAAAAATATTATTTATTTTATAGTGGTACACCTTCGAAAGGCGCCAAAAAATCCGAAATGGTTAGCATGGCTGTAAGTATACTATATAAGTAGTATGCTATGGATTTTCGTTATAATTTTTCTATTTGGAGTCGAGAAACAAGAAAGATAAAACACACAACTGCATTTCAGTTTGTATTCTTTTGTTATTCTTGGTTGAACGATCTGTTTTTTGAAGAAAAAAAAATTCTGTTCATTTTCTTCATAAAAAATGCTCCATATGTAAAAAGTCCAGCAAAAAATATTAACGGAAGATGTTTTCATTTCTTTTAGAATGCCAGTGAAAATGAGCTCGATGAAATGGCAGCTTGGTTGAAGAGTGCCGTAAGTATTTTGAAGTGTGGTGAAATTATGTCAATATTGTTATTAAATGCCAATTCCCGAAAAACCCTAAACAGGATGCAAATGAAAAAGGTCCCGAGGATAGTTTGACCAGTACCGAATTTGAGAGATTTTTAGCTGAACGTGCTGCTGCCGCTGATAATTTACCAAATATTGCAAACAATGATTCGAATAGTCAAGCACCAAAAAAAAATTCAACATCGAAAAAGGCCGAAGATAGCTTACTACTTTAGAAATATATTATATAAATTTAACCATATTAATTCTACACTAACCTTGATCAATTGGAAACATAGAAACGCAGAACCAAAACGAAAAACAGAAAATGATGAAACAAAAATAATACGCAATTTTTTTTTTAAATAAATGATTTAATATGACACGAGAACAATTCACAATAGAACCGTACATTATCATTCCACAATGATATTGATCAACTTGATATATAGCAAGGAAATGAATCTATTATTTATACATATATATATATATATATATTTATTATTTAATATTTGTGAATAATTTTATTGTATTTGATGAAAGTGTCAAGCTTACATGTGTTATATTTTTTATTTAAAAAAAATCAAAAGAAAAAAAACGAAAGAAAAAAAGTAGGCAAACCAACACACGAAAATCGAAATATAGACATCCGCATGTCTTTTATATATATTTTTCATAATTCAACGTTTTGACTTTCTTTTTAACGTTTACTTATTGAAATGAAATACATGTTTTGACGTATATTTAATATATTAAAAATCGCATGTAAAAAAATATTGCAAAACAGCAACAAAAATGGTGACAAATCATTTAATATCGATACAATAAATTATTACACCGAATATTTTGTTTTGTTTATTATTGTTTGGGTCTGCTTGGGTACTGTCAAACGTATTTCGTATATGAATACACTGCAATATCATCATAAATACATTCTTATTTGACAATAACCACAGATGTCAACTACGTCTTTAGAACATTACTAAATTTTTTCAAAATTAACAAAGACTTTGTAATTATTTAACAATAGCTGTCTCGTATTCGATCGGTTTTCAATTTGAGCGAGCGAGAGATAGAGTACGTATTAAGAGTGTTTAATTTTGCATGTGTTTGTGTCTAATCCACTCAATTGGAAAATAGCCGGCATACAAAGCTGCACTTATCTCTTTCAAACACACATCAGCATTATTCGTATTCATATTTCATGCTGTGAAAAGATTATATACTTCAATTCTACATATAAATATCTGCGACTCTCCAGCTGAATTATTCAGTTTCAATAACACTGCTGAAGGTAAGTTATTGTTTGTACTGTTTTTGTTTTTTTTTTGCATCTGTTTTCAATTTACGTCGTTTGTTTGATAGTTGTCAACTATCGGAAGGCAAAAAAATCTCCGTAGACAGTTGTTTAAACAACTCAAATTTATTTAAATCAAACATTTTGATTCAATTTTTTTTTTTTGGCGTGAAAGTTCGATGTTTTTAAATATCATGTCATTTTTGCATAAAAAAATGAACAGAAAAATTCACAAAGGATTTTTTTTTTTCAAAACATACACATAGAACTTCTTTAAAATTAATGAGCCAAAAAGTTGTGGGTGTTTAATTCTCGTGTGTTTTTTTAAGCTCACCGATATTTTAAATGCGTAACAGTGATAAATAACGTATTTTGGTCAGCAAATCTCACTCAAATTCGGAATGATATGGTTTCTCAAATGAAGCGCAAAACTTGAGTATAGTTTTTTAACGAGAATGTTAAATGAGTTTTTCATGTATAATCTCTAAATACAACTTTTTCATTGAAATGATGTTGCCTTCAATCACACTCCAGTGCAGAGAGTGGCAGACAGTCACAATTGAATAATTACAATGAAGGCAAATTGAATAAATGGGCGAGACGGGTTTTTATAAATCTAAACGACAGATTATTGTGACTTGGTTATTTTTGTTCATTATGATCAATTTAATGAATATATAAAGTAACGAGAGAACGAAAAAAAATCGGCGATCATCCGAGACACTTAACACAATCGTAGTTTTGCATGGAACCGTAGATGTATTTTTCCATGATAAGCGTCCATTGAAATATAAGACAAACGATAAGATTGAATGAGAATGTTACATTTAAATTGCACATTTTTATCAACTGTAAACAATCGATGTTTATTTATCGCACACTCGACCGATGCGCAAACATTGTGGTTCGAGTGTCGGTTTCTTTTTTCAATTTCACACTGTAATCAAGTTTTATATATCAGTTTACTTGACAGCAATAATGGCCAACCCAAATCAAAAAATTGTCTACACAAAGGTAATAATTTGTCATGAATTAAGTCAAGTCAAACGAAATAAACTAGATATTGATTTAATTATTTGATATATGTTTCATATGCATATCAGCTTTTCATCAATAACGCTTTTGTTGATGCGCAATCCGGTAAAAAGTTTGCAACTTTGAATCCAGTGACGGGAAAAACTCTGGCAGAGGTCGCTGAGGCCGATAAAGCTGACGTTGATTTGGCCGTTAGCGCGGCAAAAAAAGCATTCGAACGTGGATCGGAATGGCGTAATTTAGATGCATCACAACGTGGACGACTCATAAATAAGTGAGTCGTTTTTTTTCTCGCTATAATTATAGATTATGTAATGATTTTTTTTTGGCATTAGATTGGCCGATTTGATTGAAGAGCATAAAACCGAACTAGCCAGCTTGGAAGTGTTGGACAATGGAAAACCTTTTGCCGAAGCTGATTTTGATATTCAGTGTTCCATTGATACTTTTCGGTATTATGCCGGTTGGTGTGATAAAATTCACGGCAATACAATTCCAGCCGGTGAGTATGTATTTTGGAAAGACTATTTTCACACATATAAATAGCAGACATGACTAATCTATTATAGACATATCCATAAACTGTTCCTAAGTGTTACAAAGTGACGCCATAAAAAAAATTAATTGTTCGTTTCAGATGGTGGCAGCTTAGCAGTAACTCTCAAAGAAGCCGTCGGCGTCGTAGGTCAAATCATACCTTGGAACTACCCACTTTTAATGGTATGTGTACACTGTGAATTAATGAAATTTTGTTAATTGCTAGGTTAATTGTTTGTGCATAGAAATGAAATAAAATCATAATTTCAACTAAATTTTCAGCTAGCTTGGAAATTCGCACCAGCATTGGCTGCAGGCTGTACAATTGTAAGTGAAAGAACTTTTTTAACTTGAACTATTGTTTTTTTATACATGAAACAAAAAATATTTACAATAAAATGTGTAGGTGTTGAAGCCAGCAGAACAAACTCCATTGTCTGCATTGTTTGCTGCAGCATTGTCTAAACAAGCTGGCTTTCCAGATGGTGTTATCAATGTTGTGCCGGGCTTTGGTGAGACGGCCGGCCATGCAATTGTCAACCATCCCGATGTCCGCAAAGTTGCATTCACTGGATCAACTGAAGTTGGTCGTATAATTGCAGAAACTGCAGCCAAATCAAATTTGAAAAAAGTGTCACTTGAGCTTGGAGGTTCGATATTCGATTGCATTTCTTTTTTTTTTGTTTATTGAATTTTTGGTTTTTGTTTTTTGATAGGCAAAAGTCCACTGGTTGTCATGGAAGATGTCGATCTGGATGAAGCTGTTGAAATTGCTCACAATGCATTATTTGCTAATCATGGACAGTGTTGCTGTTGTGGCAGTCGTACTTTTGTACAGGAAAAAGTCTATGATGGTAATTAAAATAACATATTAGTCAATTAAAGAAAGAGATTATCTTGGGGTTACCCACGAACTCGATACTAGAAAAACTAGAACATATTAGAAAGATGTCAAATGTACATGTTATATGGCGTTTTACTAGAAATATTAGAAAAAATTAGCACATATTAGAATCCGTGGTTTCCCCCTCGGAGATTATTCACTTTAACATCTTTGGAAATTAAAAATTATTTTTTTCTTTGTAGCATTTGTCGCAAAATCTGTTGAGCTCACTTTGAAACGAAAGGTTGGCAATCCATTCAGCACCGATGTACAACAAGGTACGGAATTTTTTCACACATTATTTTTCATTGTTGATCAACCGTCATTTTCTTGAAATAGGTCCTCAAATCGATGCTGAAAGTCAGCAAAAAATTCTGAAGTACATTGAATTGGGCAAAAAAGAAGGCGCCAAATTGGAATGTGGTGGAAAGAAATGGTCGAACGAAGGATATTTCGTCGAACCAACCATTTTCTCAAGCGTCACTGACAATATGACCATCGCACAAGAGGAGGTATATCATTTTCATCTTTGTTAAACTCTCATCAATCTTTAAGTCATTTCTTTTTAATAATTGAAAGATTTTCGGACCGGTACAATCGATATTAAAATTCAAAACCTTGGACGAAGTTATTGAACGTGCCAATAAAACTACGTATGGTTTGGCTGCTGGTATTTTAACCAAAAATATTGATTGGGCTTTTACATTTGCCCGTGCCGTTGAAGCTGGTTCGGTATGGATTAACTGCTTCGATGCAACAACTGCTCAAACTCCGGTAACTTTTGCCATTTGATAAAAGAGATTCTATTTTCACATTCAATTTTTTTTCTATTTAATTTAATTATAATTTTAAAAAATGTGTTTACAGTTTGGTGGTTATAAGCAATCTGGACATGGTCGCGAACTTGGTGAGGATGGTCTTGAGCCCTATCTTGAGACTAAAACAATTGTCGTCAAACTTCCAACCAAAAACTAAATTCTTTCACAAGCCAAAGAGGCTTCCTTAAACCACACAAATGAATATTATTTTCAAGTATTTTTTTTTAATATAATTTATCGCATCAATCCTATTAATGAAACTCGTAACCAATAAATAAAATCGAACGTTTAATAACACTACAATCATTTCTGTATTATTTCGGAATTATCCATTGAAAGATTGTAGAAATGTATATGACATTTACATGAAACACGAAGAAAATTAATATTTAAAAGCCATTTGATGAAATTATTTTACTCTTTGAATGTTTGAATGAAAAAATTAAAAGGAGCGATTTAATCGTCATAATAAGTGAGAAACATAGACAAAGAGAGAGAGAGACAAAGAGAAATTGAAATCTACGTGAGTTTTACACTCTTTATTGAAACATTTACAAACGTACAACACAAAGAGTAGACATGTAGTGTGCATTAATTCGGTCTTTACCCATAAATTTTTTCGGTCTGAATATCACCAAGTTTTCGCTTGAAAGGAGACGGAAACGACAATGAAAGCCATCATTGAAATTCATGTGGCCAAACTCATTCATAATGCAATAACCGTAGTCGATAAGTGCTTTTGGTCCTTTTCTCAACACTTAAACATGATACTGTCTGTCTGAGCACCGTACTTTTCGCACTAGCGATAATCAACCACACAGTCTTCTTTTTTTATGTAGTCATGCTGCAGCTTAAGATGAAGAAAAGAAAAGGAAAGATAAAGGGTTGAACACATGGCCCCGCGCTATATAACATGGCCCATGACTACGACATATGTAATTTTGATAAATCTCAATTAGTCGATTGAAATGCTGATTCAGTTATTAAAATTATGTATGAAAAATATGTGTCAACTTCTCTCTCATTTCAAGTTGTACACTTGGCTTATTTTCGTTGCGAACAGAACAGCATTTTTGTCTCATTTCACGTTTGTATCTCTCATCGCTTTTTGTCTTTATTCGCCGTTTGTTTGTGTGTCTCTTTTATGTTATCTACGGAACAAAACCGAACAGTTTGATAATTTCTAAAAACATACTCTCAACACTTTGAATGGATAGTCAAATTCCAGTCGATGTCAAATATCAAAACATCATTTACTGAACAATACTAAAATATATCGATTATGAATATGTATCAACAACTTTTTTTTAATTCGAAATTTTGCATTTGGAAAAACTTTACTCGATTTTGTTTCAATTTGACATCGACCGAAATTTGACAAGCCATTCAATACATTGTGTAGTAAAATGCATTACCTAAGTCCCAAAATTAAGAAACTTTCGATTATTTTAGAGACATAAAATCAAAAGAATCAATCCAAACCGAGCATATTGATATGAAAAAGTGGTCAAAATCTGTTCTTTGTGCACTCCATCTGGCTTCTATGATCCTTTAAAAACGAAAGTCCCACAATTTTGACAAGAATTTTTATGTTTGTCATGACACATACACCCGTGTTAGTCATATTCTCCAGACATGAGAATTCGTAAAGTGTATTTTTGAGACGCAAAGCACAGATAAAGTAAATAGGTATAAAATGACGGTTATATGGAAGCATGTTATGCAGAAAATTTCAAACGTTTTCATTTTTCCACATCCATTTGAAGTAGTCATCTCTTATTTAAGTTGGCCTTTGAAAAGCAAGCAAGATTCAAGAGGATGACGAATGATGAATAGGATCAATATTAAAAGTGGGTTTTTGTATGTGTTTGTGTGTCGACGTGGCTTTCGTGTTGAGTCAAATTCCCGAAACAGGCACATGCTCAAATGATAATGGTTATTCTTATGGTGTTGAAAACTGAGTTGTCGGCTACTTTTGAAAACTCCAAGTCGATTACATTGCAGTGAAGTTATTTTTCGTTCGCAAGACACATAACACACAATATGCTAATTTAAGTGGTGGCTTATGAAAGAAAACGCTAGAATAATCATTTAACGCTAGAAAATGTGTCCGGTGGAAAATGCTACACTCGCACTTTCTGTCATTTTCATTCGCTTTTTCTCACTTTCTTTCGCTTTTTTTTTTCAACGTGTGATTATTTTTTGAATTGAACGATATGGTAATTTGGCGAATTAATGTTAATAACAGTGTTCACACAATTTACCGTTGTGGTTGTTTCGTGAACTGAATTGGTGGTGCTCATTTCGATTTACCATTTTGTCAGCAAGGATGATTTGTTTTTTTTTTGCCGCAACAACAACATGAATGAGGACCAAATGTGAATGCAAATTCTACACCAAATAAAAGTTATTCAACAACAAGTTTTTGTTACATGCGTTGCACGTCTTTCTCTAGCAAAACTGTAAAAAACGAAATGAAATGAATTCGAAATCATTTGTCAACACTGTTTTCTTACTTCTGCGATTAAATTCAATTTGCTGTATAAATTTGTAGCCAGAAGTGGTGTTCATTTTTGAAATGAAAAAAAATTCCATTCACCAAAAAAAGCGAATAAATGAGCTCTGAGTATGAAAAACGACCGCGAACAGTGGAAGAATGGAATTTTTCATATTTCTGGATTCGATGAAGTAATAAAAAACGTGTCACAGAATCTTGGGGGTCCAAATTTAATTTTGCCATTTCTACGATTCTTATGATTTCTGCAAGCAGGAACTGCATACAGGCCAACTAAGACCATTTAATGTAAATAGATAGATCTACATATATTTCGCAAAAACGTCTATTTAATGCATATTTCAACTCGGACGCTGTATATGCTGAGCTCAACAATGGTGTCATTGTTTGAAATGAATAAAAATGTTTGTAACCACCCGTGTACAAAAAAAGTGACTGACTATTTTGGGACAAACTGACTGACTATTGACTGTAAAAACAAGCAACCTTAGTTAAATTTAGTTAACTTCAACCAATTAAACTAAGCTATGGTTAACTGCAACAGCTAACTATAGTTGACAATAATCATAGTCACCCGATAGTCGAAACGTCCCAAAATAATCGCCTGACTGACTGAGTAACTATAGTCGATTGTTTTCCATAGAAAATTTTAAAATTCATGAATATAGCTAACTATAGTCACTTACAGTCAATAGTAACTTAGTCACTTTTTTTCCACTCGGGCATGGTGTTGACATGTTTTTACTTTTAATATTCATTTCACATTACAGAGAAAAATGATTGAGAAAAGACAACGGCTCATTTACATAGGAAAACGTCAATTGATATCGTTGGAATACGTAACACTTAAAGAGTAAAGAATAAAAGACTTGAAATAAAAATTTAATTTAAAAATGGAACACAGTGTTTTTTTAATGCGATTATATACATGCAAAAAAAAACGCTGCATTTCAAGTTTCTAGATTTTTATTTCAAGTTGGATTTTCACTCCAGATCATTACATTATTTCTAAAGAGCATATCGTCCCCAGCTCATAAAGAATTACTACTGTTTGGTTTCCATAAATCACTTACATATCGTATTTCTTACATGTTATTTTTATTAACTCTCAGCCGAGATAATTTCATATTTCAACAAGTCACTTCGATTTTAAAGCAATAAAAATGAAAAATGCAAAACTGGTGATTTAAGCAAAGTCGAACAGCCACCATACACAATGTGATATATCTGAATTGTCTGAATATTTATGGCCGGTTTTGTAAAAAAAAATGCGAAGTGAATTTTCGTCGGATTTAGTTCTTATTTTATAGTGATAAGACATGGGTCGATCCCAAATCAAGAGCGAAAAAAGCATTCTAGCTGGATAAAGATTGTATATAATACTATATAAAACAATAAAAGTGAGTGATTTACGATATAGTTGTCAACCGTTTGTTTACATTCGAACGGATATTTTCGTCAGAGATGTTCGATCGTAGAGTGTCGCAGAGACTTTGTATTCGTCCGTTGCTTGTTGGCTGAAATTCAACAAATGAATACGAACAACTTTTTGATTCAATTGATGCCATTGATCGCGACATTATTAACCAGTAATGTGCGAGCTACATTTTACAGGGGGGGGTGATTTTTCAAAAACTAAAAATTCTCTCATCTGAACAACA